TCCCACGCGACGAGAACGCCAAAGGTCGGAACCGTGCGGGGGGGCGCGTCGGGCCGTCTGAGTGCATGTCAGCCACTCCGGGACCGACTTCAATCCTTAATGTGTTCCTATTTGGATGCATATTATCGGAGCAATCCTCTTCCGCGGAGTTAGGATTCGGGAATAATAGCAAGCCAGGCAAATATACCTCATTAAAGGAGCTTCCTTTACATTGCTCAATTACATATGGATCCTCATCGTGAGCGGAACGTAAAATTGATTCTCTTATAAGCGCCTGAATATTCATGACCTTCACCTTCCTTCTGTACCGGGATGCTGGTGGGATCGAGCTCGGATTAAAGTCGAATATTTTACATAGGGCTCTCTTCTTTTCCCTACTGTTCAAGTTGTACCAGGAAGGTACAGGGACACTTATACAATACTTGAAAAAGGAGCATCATATATTGTTACTCCGGGAAAGATGTAGCGAAGATAATTCAACGCGAAAGTAAAATTTAAGAAATTCACTAGGAAAAAAAGGAAAAAACGAGCCGGGCTTACAACAGATTGGAGGGGCGCAGAAATTACTTTGTTTACCACCTTCGTATTTTCGTAGGTATGCTGTCTCTATCATTAAAGACCGTGTTCCACTATCAGGGGGTGGCGAGCTCCTGTCAATTTCATCAAGCAGCCTTTTGCATTTTCCCTGGATCTGGTTACTGTATGTATACCTAGTAGAAAGCCTTAAACCACACTAATTATCACAAACTAGAGTTATCTACTAGATTGCTGAAATTATAGGACGTGATCATGTCTCCAATCTGGACTCACTTCTCGAAGAGTATTTTTCACCCTTTAGGTTGCTTTCACATCTTGCTATCTCCTAGTACATTTTACTATTTGCAGCGAAGAAAACACCTAGAGCTAGGAGAACAAATATAAATCAGTAATCTACAAATATCTGCTAAATTATCTTCGTAAATAATGAATTTTAATAAGTCTCATCGTTTATTCTATATTGGTTACAAAGCCACGTTTCACATTTCTGGTCACAAGAATTCTCACGGTAACATATTTAATTTGATGTATTAGATTAGCTACCTAGGCATTGTTCGATTCGTAGTACTGACTACCTTATGTGCCTAACGTGCCTAACCCAACACAGGAGGCCTCAGATGACTATATGCAATTCGAAATTCTATTCAGTTCCTTATAAAAGTATCCTGACAAAGGGGTGCAATAGATAAGGCTATATTAATAAAAACGCGGGCCAAGAATAGTATAGTGAGTACAACATCGGTCTTAGAACCGATTATAGAAGTATGTGGGCTAGAATTGATCTAGAATACTCAATTGAGACATAAGGCTCGCAAGGATGGTGTCCTTGAAGGCAACCCCCACGCTCGCGGCTCATATTAGACGAGACATATAACTTATATTCCCACCTTCATAATACGCCATATCTACGTTATATCTCGTCTTACTATATACCAATATGGCAGGAAGAAGAGATTTATAGTCGCATACCTAGTAAAGACGGCGACATCGCTTGAGATGGGCAACTAAAATAGAGCCAAATAGGAAAGACAAAGTGGAAAATCTACACATGCTAGGTAAATTAAGCACGCGCTATTTGGGCTTCTATAGTAGTTCCGTCAGGCCGCGGGTTCTTGGCTTATAATAGCATATATCATATACCACTCCCGCAGCGGGGGTATCGACGGGCCCGTTCCCTAGTCGGGGTAAAACTCCATGGTGATTCTTCGTTGTCCATGAGCCTCATACAGATCAGACCCTGCCCTGCTAAGGAGCGGCAAACACTAGCTGCCGCACGACCCAGAGATAGAGCAAATTTGGAAATGATGCGGCGAGATTTCTTACACATGTTCGACAAGTTCGTGTCTTCGGTTGTGCTGCTTACTCTGGGCTAAGCGAAGGGGGGCAATATCGCCAAGTAAGAACTAAGCTGTGAAGAAGATACGAAATTGCTGGAGGGCACAAAAGATTCCACCTACCTATAGGGAATCTTTGATAACCCTCCCAAACGGGTTTTATCACGTAGTCAAATGTGGCGAAGCTCGAAGCCCGTTACGGAAGGAGGGAAACACAATGCCGAAGCACGATCATGATTGGTAACGGGAGCAGCCAGTTCAGGGAAAGTCATATTCAGAGTAGTATCCTCGGAATTAAATCAAGACGCGGAATGATGAAAAAAACCGACGAATCTGGCCCAGCGCCCTATGCTATCTGGTCGGCCAATACTATCAAAGCTATAATCAAAGAAGCGAGAGAATATTGTTGCTAAGTAAGATGAATTTCAGATCATCGCATGCGAGTTCCTCTCACTCGAAATAGTCATCCCTATGCCGTTCTGATCCCAACGGATTCCAGCAGATGAATAACGCGGTATACCAAGAGTGCAGTGTGATGCTCGATATCCGAGTAGAAGGCCTGTATATCACCACGAGTCAGCGGACCCTAACATAATCCATATTGAGGAATAGGTAAGACAAACCCTGAGATCCATGAATAACTTAAAAGTCAGTCTGCATAGCGTCGGCGTCATTCTTGGGTGCTGTGCCGACATGGCCAGCCTGGATGTTATCCTCTGCATCGGAGGCAAGCTTAGCAGCCATCTCGGCCTCCTCAGAGTCGATCGCAGACTTCTTCTGCGCTTGCGATGCACGTGAAGTCTTGGGCTTAGGCTTCGTAGGGGTCTCGATATCTTCATGACCATCATCGCTTTCGTCATCTGCGGCCTTGACGTTGGACTTCTTCATGACGCGGCGCTTGGTGGCTTTGGCAGGCTTCTGCTCGCCTCCGTCGGAATCGCCGAGATAATCGTCCTGCATGGCGTCTTCTGCAGCTGATTTGGTGCGTTTGGTTGTCTTCTTTGCAACTGGAGCCTTCTTGGCCTTAGTACCGGTATCACTTTCGGCGTCAGGACCATCCATGGAAGCTGCCTTGCGCTTTCGGCCCTTGGTAGGAGTCTTAGCAGCTTCGCTACCTGCCTGTGAGTCCTCTTGGGGGGTGGGGAAGTCTCCAAGGTACCGGTTGCGGAGTTTCTGAAACTGGTGCCTATAAATGAAAATTAGACACGTTTCGTCCTCGCGATTATAGACGCATAGATGCAGAAGCTAATCGCCCTCAAGTCTCCCCATATACATAGTGTTATATACATATCGAAATGCGTAGTTGGGATGGAGATCAGACTTACTTGAGAGCCGGAACGGTGTACTTGCCATCAAATACCTCCTTGGCCTTTTCACCAATAGCCTTCCAACCTTTGACAGCTAGTTCCTTGTTCTCTTCCTGCATGATGAGAAGGAGGAGATTCGCACTCTCGTCGGAACTCCACTTAGTAGAGTCCCCATTTCCGGCGGTGGCAGACTTGGCGGTCTTGTTAGACATTTTGTAACGAAAGTGTTAATGGAGAAGGATGGTGTAAAGAGGATACGACTGGCACGGAATATGTTAGTGAGACTTTACGTATTTCTGAGGAGATGTACTCCTAGATTCCTACTCTAATTGTAGAGGCGGAATAAGGGACAATCAGCAATATCGACTGTAGTTTTAAGGCAAGTGCTTGTGGTTCTAGGGCAGGGGGTTATTTGGTAAACGTCTCCGGTTTGGTTGAAGTCGGGCGATATCTACTTTTCCAGGAGACAATGATAACGAGGGAAAGCTTCACGAGATATAAAAGGACAAGTATATTTGATGCTTCGAAACGTGGCAAATGGGATGATGTACCAAGGTTATAGTTCAGATCACGAGAGATAGGATATGTTGATTGCACAGGTGGTGTTGCCTAAGGAAGGATAGCGAGGGAAAAGGACTGATAGATACCTACCTACCTTTCGTAGATAGCTTGGGTATCAGATAAAATACCCAAGTAGAGTGTATAGATAACGAAGACTTTATCTTCAAGAGATGAATGTGCAAAGTTTGGTAAAAAAGAGGTTGGTTGGTTTATGTCAAGTTAGAAGTTGAGGTTGGTTTGGTAAGAAGGCAAGAACGGGAGTACACAAACATGTAAATAGGTACCTACCTAACCTAACCTAGGTATTTAGTGCTGCTAAAGACCGAGGGAAGTTACACAAGGAAACCACACATCCGGTGATAGTTGCTCCTGCTATTGCTAAGAACCGGACGATATCATAACCCTAGGCAACTACAAAAGGAGGTGCACCAGTCAAGCGACGCCAAACATTTTAATCACCCACCTACATCCTCAGAGATTTACCATTATTTGGTTTATCTCATTCTTCCTCTTTCCTCTTTTCTTTTCTTTAAAGGTTCGACCGAGTGCCTCCTTAAGTTCTTGCATCGACCGTACTGATCGATGCACCTGGTCACTTGTCCTCTATCTACAATTTATCGATTCAAGGACACATCTCTCTGCCCTAGGTAGCCACAATTTTCTTTACCTCCCGCAACTTTCTTCGTTGCCTTAGGAAGAAAACTACAACTGCAAAATACAAATTCGGATATTGGTAAGTCCCATCTAACTATCACCATACATTCCCAACATCATCAAAAGAAAAAAAAAAGCTAATCAACCCAAAACAATAGAGTCCTTGGTTCTCAAGTATCTCCTCGAACCAAATATCCAATTTCGATTTGGTATTTCTTTCTAGCCATATAGGTAAGCATCTAATCCTGTTGAACTCGCACACTATAGCTATACAAACTCTCAACGCAATCCCCTTTACATTTCAACACATTTACAACACTACTTTTCCACGTTTATCCTCCCATATTCCTGCTTTCCTATTTCTACACTTCTGCACATATTCTCCCCATCCTTCATTTCAAAAACCTCACCCTAAATGTATTTTAACTAACAGCCATATCGACTAGAACTAAGCTCTTCACCATACAAGCCACAGCTTGATCTGAAAAGGATACTGTCCCACGCCTTTCCGTTGTGACAACGTAAGTTCCCATTTCTCTCGCATATCTCACTCGGCTTAGCTGAGGTCGCCATTTGCTACCTACTCAGGTTACTAATTTGGCCATAGATGGCTTCGAGACCACTCCTAGTTGAATTCCTTCCTAAAGGAGGATTTCAATGGTCTTCCAATAGCGGGGCTCATTTCATCCGAAACGACCAAGCTCGTAGGGTTGTTCGTGCAATGAAACTGGCAGGACGACGTCTCGATGAATCGGTTTGCACCGAATACATCGCTCGACTTTTCGACGCGGCGAAAGACTTGGTACGCCATTGCCGATCATACGACGCTGCGGGCTTCTGGGGATTCGTCAGTTGTCATGTCCCATGGGCGGTACGCATTAGCCCAGAAGATCTGTACGACCTATCGATTCGGATCATCTCAGCCAGGCGCATCTTTCTTGACCAAAGGGATTTCTGGGTTGAGATGAAACAAGAGGATGATTTCAAGAACATCCCGGACAACTACTTCATCCGCGTCTTCAATGAGGCCAACACGGCCGTAGACAGCTTTACCAATGCAGTGGCCGATACCTACAAAACAACCCGAAAATCAGAGAGAAGTTCTATCCTGCGTGGACCAATGACTCTGATAACGAGGGGACTGCTGAGGCAACGAAGGAGAGATTCCGTGAAAAGTGTGAAGCACCCCGCAATCTCCCTGTCAAAACAACTGCAGAGGACCAAAGCAAGGGTCTAGAAGGCAAATACGAGGAAATGGTTGAGATGGTCGGAAATGTCGAAATTGTCGACAGAATGGACGAGGGTATGGACGCTGAGATGGGTGAGATGGACTGTGAGATGGACTATGAGATGGAGGATGCCATGGACAATTAAATAAGCGAAAGAATCGATGGAAGATGTGAGGGGGCTGATGAATCCGGCCTAGAGATGCGAATTCCGGAGGAACATGTCCGGGGGAACGTGGATTTGCCCATACCATAGCCCATACTATAACTCTCTCCTTTAGTTTCCCTTAGAGGTTTACCTCCTAAGTTCACTACTACGGATAGCATATCTCAGTAGTCAGTAGCAGATGAATTACTCGTTGCATTATTATTTACCATATTACACGACTTTAAGCCGCTAAATTTAAATGCGGCCGTGAATTTTGCTGCTGAACATGCGAGTAAATATCAAGACTGAAGATCCTAAATGGTAATTGCCGGTAAATTAGGTACCTGTCGAACTGGTCTTGTATTGCGGAATGCGTTCTCGATTCTCCAGGACTACAGAACAACTCCGTGCTTTAGGTACCTAATATATCTTACCTTGGGGCCTCCTTCCTGCCTTTGATGCCTAGCAAATACCACACAGCTGTCCACATCCGCTCGCAACTGTATTTTGCCCTGACGACGAGGATCACCTGGCAACAGTACCTAAGTTACGTGTACGTACCTTTAGTATGAAAGGTACCTAAGGTTATAATTACAATTAGAAGTCCAACTTTCACCAGGAAGGTCGGCCTTCGGGCTGAGGACTTCTGTCACTCAAAGAATCATTTGGTCAAGTTGGTAGACCCTGAACTTTCGGCTGCAGACGATAGTTCGATCCTGACAAGGGGCAGATTTTCTCAGCTCAGAGCTTGCACCCCCAACTCAAACTTGGGTAGTTAAAGAGTCGAAATGATTTACTGTGATCCTTGAAGGAAGATCCATAACAACCTTGCCAGTATTTACATACTCCTGGGTATATTGGTGACAACAAGGACATTTTAGGAATTAAACTACTAATCACTCCTAACACTTGGATTGCAATAAGCTCTATTTTTTTCTCACTCATTCTAAATATTACATAGAGATAAATTAAATCATATCCTTTATTCCTTTTTTATAACATCTTTTCCTTTTCTGCGCGACTTGGACTGTACCAACTTATCTTCTTCGGCAGAAAGATAACTATCGATGGTTAACTAACCCGTCCAAGTGCTATCCGAATTACCGACAAGTTTAGAGTAATAATCTTTCGTATACTGTAAAGCGTTTCATTATATCGAACATAGGGGAAATTTGTGTTGCAAGGTGGCGCAGAGGGTATAGAAACAACCTTATTATTCAGCAAGATATTTTTTTTTTAAAAAAAAAGAAAACTATAGAAGCTTGTAATCACGCGTAATGAAAGTATTCTTCAACGTAGATGTATCACCGAGAACCCTAACAGCGCAAACGGTTATGGAAAATAAAAGGATGCAAAATAGGAAGCGGTTGATGCTGCTAAGAGTTATGGTATGCGGTAGAATGGAGGAGCACGAGAAAGGGAATAGCGACCTGGATTATGCGTGATATGTACAACATTGCTGTCGCAGTGGGCGGATAGGATTGACATGTACCTTCTCTTCTGTAAGAATAGAGGGGTTATAATTGCAATTAGAAAAGAAACTTCCAACATCAAATTGGGAACTTCTGCCCCCCACGGGATCACTTGGTCAAGTGGTTAGATCACTGGACTGTCGGCTGCAGACGACAGTTCGATCCTTGTGTGAGGCAGGTTTTTCCAACTCGGAACCGTACATATGCACCCCCAACTCAAACTTGGGTGGTTGATGAGTAGAAATGATTCAATGTAGTTGCCTCGAGGAAGATTCATGATAGCTGGCTGTGGCTTCGCGCTCGGGTGGATTGATGACCGAGGTTAATGTCTTGGCCTTTAAGCGACGCAATCACTCACAACCTTGGAAATGCAGTACGAGTTCCTATTTTTTTTTCGAAGTCTTTCTAATGTATATATAATCCCTTAGCCACTCCGTCCAACCTCAATATATATGTCAGGTACCTAGCAGCAATTCACTTCCATAATTCTTGGACTGTATTTCTACAAATGCATAAAAAAGCCAACCGGATAGAAATTACCAGACCGCAAATAAAATATAGATAGAAAATAAGTTAAGCCAGAAGAAATATATAGCTAACCACAAATCATAGCTTTTGTTCAAAGAAATATTAATCTTTCAGTATTCGCAAGCAATATATTGCCACCTACGGCCAGCATGTTATAAATATAATATTCTTATTTATCTTGCAATAATATACGCACTCCAAAACAAATAATTCATCTCTCTCAATATAAACTAATTATATCGTATTAAATATAGTGATTACGTGTCAAACCATCACATTTCAGTCATCTTATTCATATACATCAAATAACATCTACATAGCAACCCATTAACTACACGTACCAAAGCCCTTCTGACACCCAGTACCACAGTAAGTACTTCCAGTGCCGCAATAGCCATACTGGCTACAACACTGCCCCGACGGACACGCCGTGCCAAACCCTGTTCCGCAGCGATTGTTGGTCGAAACCGGCAGTGACGTCGTCGGGACGGCGGTCGAAGTCGTACTCGGCGTCGGAGTCCGTGTGGAGGTCGTGGTGGAACTAGTCGGAACCGGGGCCTGCTAAAAATAAACCGGGCTTACGTCAGCGATCTGATCTCCATCACACGTGGAGATGATGTCATATATGTCGATATGTATACATAAAGTTCGCATCATCAAAGGGTCAATAGGGGAAGGAAGAAGGTAAAGACCGAAACGGACAATAGGACAAAATGGGCTGGTTGCAACGGCGAATGAAATAAAAATAGAACTCACCACGCAGGATAACCTCGTATCCGCACTCGACGTATTCAGATCCCTCTTCATGTTCTGGTAGAAATTCAGTCCGCCAGCCACATTCGCCGCCGCATACGTCGCGTCCCAGACGCTAACGCCGCCGAAATTCGCGCGGCAGAAGTACGCGTCGACGAGGCTCTGCGCCTGCGCGGGCGTGACCACCGAGGTAGCGCTAGCGGCGCTGCCGGAGCCGGGCAGTCCGACGAACAGGCGCGCGTTCTTGCTCGCCGTGCCGCCCAGCCACGACGTCCAGGTGTCGAAGGTGAAGCCGGTCGTGTTGAACGCGCCGCCGGGCGCGTACTTGGGGTTGGCGGCAACCCAGGACGCGGCGGAGCACTGGGGCGTGTTGTAGTACTGGACGAACAGCATGTCGACGACGCTGTGCTGCAGCACGCCGAGCAGGTTTGTGTCTGGGACGACGCACTGCGGCGACGCGGTCAGGAAGAGCGTCTGGCCGGCGGCGGAGCCGAAGTTGGCGCGCAGCTGGTTCGCCAGCGCGATGTACCCGGCCCAGCTGTCGGTGGGCGGGTGCTCGATGTCTAGGTCGAAGCCGTCGACGGTGAAGCCGACGCCGTTGCAGTCGAAGGGGCGCGGGTTGCCGGCGTTGACCCAGGTTGTCGTGCGCGGGCCGAAGAGGCCCCATAGCGTGTTGGCGAAGTTGGTGCCGTTGGTCGCGCCCGTGAGTTGGTACTCCGGGGTAGCGCCCCCTAACGAGAGGAGAATCTTCTTGTTGCTCGTCTGGCGGCACGTGTACAGGTCGTGCTGGATATTAGGGCATTGGTAGAGGTGGTTGTTGGTCGCGTTGTTCACGCCGTTATATCCCGGCCCGGGATACACCCTATAATAGGTAAGTCAGATTTTATGTGCTAATTAAAAGTCAAGACTTCCGGACTTGGGAACGGTAGCCCCTATCCGACCGGCCAATGTGCAAATGTTCACCCCTGAGCCAGATCAGAAAGGTGTGGATGAAATGGTACATACGTGGAACCGCATTGGTTTCCGAAGTTAATCCCAGGAAATCCATTGGCCTGTGCTGGGAATAAGTTCACAAAAGACAAGACGATGACGTCGATACTCGAGTCGGCGCAATAGGTGCTAAGCGCAGGTTGATTTGGTCCTTGGCCCTACGTTGAGATATGAGTGTCAGAAGGGCGACACCATGGAAAAGTAACTGCTCACGTAGTAGACGACGACGTTGTTCTTAGATGTTGTGCTAAATGCGGCTTGCGCGGTAGACAGCAACGTGGATGCCAAAGCAAGGCTGAAGGCGAAACGAATCATCGAAAATGAGGGTTTGTGCTCTCGACGCTGTTCGACAGACGTTTTGGTAAAAATGGAAATGGGGAAAATCGAATAATGATACGCCAACAAGGCTAAAGACTACGATTTGCCTCGCTATGAATGATTTGCTCAGTCGAATGAGTTATCCCAGAGCGATGCAATGAGCTCGCGATGGTCTATTTTATAAGCCCGAGGCCCTCTGACAGATGACATACACACATCGCCTACACGTTTCCTAGGCCCTTACGAAATTGACCACGAGGTGCGTATCTCTATTGAATCATCTTGGTGGTCACTAGTTCACCTACATGGTAAACATTTAGAAATGCCTTAACCTAAGGGTTTAATCCACCTCCTCAGGAGTCTACCATTAGATGCCACGGCTAGCCAATAGGGGCGCGATTCAGGCACGACTCTGGGGGGTGGCGAGGTCGGATTTTCGAATAGTCTAACAAGCAGCCGTTTAGATATCGACTGACTCGCTCGCGGAAGGAAACCGCACATAACGCTCAAGTCAGCCTCTTCATGGCTTTGTGATGTCATCAGCCTTCCCCCATCTTGACGTTTCGTCCCCGCCCGCCCAATCCTTCTCCACGTAACCCAGCAACTGCTTAACTTCCGCCACCTTAGCTGAATCGCCCGTGTTCTTCCCAATATTGTCACTGATCTTAATCGCCGGGTTTCCAGCAGCGGAACTCAGCTTTATAACAATATTTAGAGGTGCTGATTTCTTTCCCGTGCTGAGATGAACGAAGTCGTTTGTCAAAAACGTGCCGACACCAAATGTTGGCTGGAATCCATATTCTTCGGATATCCGCTTGTACTCGATACACTTATCGATATCCAACGAGTCAGAAAACACGATTGTCTTCTTATCCTTGATGCCCTGACTCTCGTAGAAATTACGCATCAGCTTGACGAAATCCGCAGGGTTGCCAGAATCCTGTCGTACTCCACCGTATATATCGGCATAGCTCCGGGGTGAGGTTGCAGATTGGGTACCTTCACCCTGGACCGTAATATTCGGAGTATCCGGAAGATATCTAACGGGCTTACTAAAAGCCTTTAAAAATTCCGGAGTACCAAATGTGTCTGTCAATGCGATTCCCAATACGCCCTCGCCAAAGCAGCCAACCCATCGGCGTAGCGCCTCTTCGGTTGCTATTTCGTAATCATTCGTGATAGCTGCGATGCCCATAAACCACTCGTGCGCAACAGTTCCGATAGGCGGTAGGTTGAATCGCATAGCTAGGTGGACGTTACTAGTTCCCGAGAGCTTGCCCGGGAAACCGCGCTTCTGTGCCTCTTTGCTAGCTTTCACGAGACCTCTGAAGACCAATGCTTGAGTGTGATAATCTCTCCGTCTACGGGTTCCGAATTCGGAGAGGATGCATCCTGCTTCGAGGAGGCGCATACCCTTGTCATACGCCTTCTCCTCTTGGCCATCGTAATTCCAGTCTGTGTCCATGAACTTGAAGTACGCCTCAGACGTCAGAGCAAGAAGTGGGATCTCATATAGTATAGTGTCAACCCACTTGCCCTTAATCTCAATGTGGATGTCACCTAGTACGTCTTCCGCCCCCGTGTCCGCCCCCGCGGGGTGGAAAGTCGGGATTAGTTGTTCGCGGGGCTTGAGCCGGAATTCCTTCAAAAAGTCTAGGTATGAGGCCGAAAGATATTTGCAATGCGTTTGCAAGAAATGGAGTTCGTCATCGGAAAGTGAGATATTGCCAAGCTCTGATAAATATCGAGAATTAATATATAAACACCATCAGATAAATAAACATGTTTGCACCTACTGCTAATCTGTTCGCAAAGCCACGAAAAGGCTTTGCGCGACAACTTCTTCTCCGGAGTACGGTTGGTAAATGCATATGTGACAGGCACGTCAGTGTAATATTTGAAGACGGCGCATTGCATTGTCAATTTGTATAAATCGGTGTCGAGGAAGGATATGACACCTTCCGGGAAGGGCGTTGACCAGTTAAAATCCATATTGATAGTAGTCGGAGGGCAATAGTGCGAAGATGAGGGAGGTCATAAAAGGGTTGGGCGAGTAGTTGGATAAACTGCGCAATAAATACAACACAATCGGTGAGATTTCCCTGTCCTAAGAACTTCAGCCCTTGGAATGATTTCCTCTTAGTTATACCTCTTATGATCTTTATATCCAAAATCTTATGTCTAAAAACCAAGACACGGAAATGGCTCAAATTATTAGCTGGCCTTGTGAGTTTGCTTGACGATAGTTATGCAATATGCGCAGCTTCTTTTAAGTTGCAGTTGCAGGATGCGTCACCCCCACCCATCACAACCTCAGGTTTGGGTCTTTGCTTTGTGTGAGATGTGAGAAGCTGCATGAAAGAGTAACAAGCAATGTGGGGGGAGGGGGGGGGTTACTTAGGTACCTAATTAATCATTAATCGGATCTGCCCGGTTCTTTACAGCGCATGCGCAAAAGCTAAGCTTCATCTGTTAACTACCCGTGGTTAACTAGGTACCTAACCTAACCTAACCTAACCTTTTAACCTTTAACTAACCTTATGTAAGGTGTTTCAGTAATAGGGTTTCTGAGGCTCGAGTCTTATTGGTTGTAATGGGTATTAGTGTGATTACATAGTAGTGTGTCTAAGACAGGTTATGTAATCAAAGCTTCTAAAACCCCCCGGACAAAGTGATTTTCCAGCTCCTACCATGAGACAGGGCCTGAGCTTTCCAAAATCGTGGCCTCAATTGAACCCCGGATATTTTGGGACAGCTCCTAATGACCACGCTATTCATCGTCCACACGCGACTCTCTAATCTTCTTCTATCTACCTTCACTTTTCCAATCCTTAACAATCGCGTAAAGGAAACGTTCTTTGTCTTCTAGTTTATTCTTCGGCCGTCTCTTAATTTTCGCAATGGTATGTTTATTCCATAATCTATCTATAAGTGGCCTATAATACGAAACATAGGGGTCGAACGATATATTGATTCAACGATTATCTATCGGATTCTACTCATTGTTCGTTGGAATCGCGCTGACATTTTACGCATGGATGTAGTCTTCTCCTCGCGCAGCTTCTCCCGTCAACTCGCCGGCCGCTACTGGCTCGAGCACCGGCCGTCCCTCTTCTCCTGCTCCTCCCGGAGGTGCCCGAACTGCCATCCGACGAAGAGCCGCTGCCGACCAGAAGGAAAAGATTGCAAATGCGCGACCGAGCAGCACTCGCGCCGCTGGTGCGGGTGGTAGCAGCAGCACAATGCTACGTATGTGAAAAGAAGCCATGCTCAGTACGATGGGACCAGGTATTAACGTTGTCTAGGTCTCTACACGGACGAATCTCCCGGATTGAAGGTCGATCCCGTTGTTGTCTTGGTTCTCTCTCTAGTGTTCATCTTCAGTGTTGTTGCTTTACACGGTACGTCAAAACGTCTGGGTTACATCACACTTTTGTACTGATACCTTTCCCAGTCATTGCGAAGATTACTCGACGATTCTCAAGCTAGATGAATAACGACGGTTGGTTGTGTTAATGAGGTTGTTGTGTGACCACCGGAGACGGCGCGGTTATGATCAACTGCGACTCTTCTTTGGATGCGCAGAGGGCGATTGGCAGGCAGGAAATAGGCTCGGCGGTAGTGATGTTGAGCCAACTCCACTGGTCCAGAGTCGGTGCCTAGATTCTACCGGACTAGTCTCTTGTACTATATAAAAATCTGGCAGGATCGCTCAAAAGTTTCTTTGCCTTAACTGAGATGACATTACACAGGCGTTGTGCACAGTTGCTCGTGTTTTAAGAAGATATCATTACAAGGCATAACGAGTCAATAACTTTGCCTATGTGATGAAATGAAGTGGGCGGGGGCATTGCCTCATAATATTTAGCTTTCACGATATTCGTCTTACTGAGATGCATTTAATTTGCCGTTGTCAATTAGGTCACTGTTTAACTTGGTAAGCCACAGAATATTCCACAATCTACCTATGCAGTCAGACTACAAGCTGACATCTGTCACAGCAAAGACCAGCAGCCAATGTTATAATCGTCTTTATTTTCAAGTGACCTGGCTTGGAGTAGAGATCACGTTTGACCTAAATAGCTACATCAAATCCAAGTCCGAATCCAAATCTGATAGCTATTCAACCCCTTAATTTTCCAGGCTTCCTTCAAGCGAAAGGCTACATAGCTCACCAGACCGAATGAGTGCGAAGCATTTCTTAAAAGTCAAACTTCTGGCCTACTAGCTTCTCGCTAATCTCCCACAGCTTGCGAGCAGCCTCTGGGTCTCTGGTATACTCGTATGTAGTGGCAATTTGACAGTCTTCGATGTACGAGCCAGGTTTGTCGTCGAAGTCTGGGTCTAGTGCTGCGGCGAGTAGCGGCGCGGCTCCCTGAGACAAGGTCTTCTTCTCGCCCACGCCGCCCCAGACCCCCCCGGGGTTGTTACGTTTGGCTGCCTCGCCGATCTTGTTGAAGTCGTAATCGGTTAGGTGGGCAGCCAAGTTGGTACCGAAAATGGTACCGGGGTGTGGCGCGTAGGACTTGATGCCCTTGCTGGCCAGCCTCCGCGATAGCTCGCCCGAGTACAGGATGTTGGCGGTCTTGGCTTGGCCATACGCGCTCCAGCCGTCGTACTCCTTGCCGTCGGAGAAGTTGTAGTCGTCGCCGCGGAAGGGGGAAATGCCGTGGCCTCTGCTCGTCACGTTGACGATGCGGGCACCGGGAGCTGCGGCGATGATCTTGTTCATGATGAGGTTGGTCAGGAGAAAGTGGCCGAGGTGGTCCGCCGAGAACGTCGTCTCGATTCCTTGCTTGTCCAGCGTGTATTCGAGGACGTTCATAACGGCGGCATTGTTGATGACGACATCGATCTTCGGAATTGAAGCGTCGTTGTTGATTTTCTCCGCAGCTGCTCGTACGGAGTCGAAGTCGGTCAGCTCGCAGGTGACAAAGGTTACCTTGACGTTGGGATTGATGCTCGCGATCTCCTCCAGCACGGGGTCGACCTTAGCCTTGTTCCGGCTCACGAGGATAAGGTTTGCTGGCGACTCGCGGGCTAAGGAGACAGCGGTTTGGGCTCCAAGACCTTTCACAGTAGTTCCGGTGATGAGGAATGTGCGTCCCTTGATCTTGTCGGCCAAGGCTTTAACTAGCTCTTCGCTTGTTGTGGAGAATCCAAAAGGAGACATGATGTCAAAAAGCTAAGTGCTGTTTTATTCTGCTTGTAAAAAACCGGCAGAAGGTTGTGTTAATTGAGTGTGTCTTTGTGAAGACAGTTCACTGGCTTGAAGCCTCCATATATATACCTGATATTTACTCTCTATCGACCATTGGCATCGGCGATATACTAAGTCAATCGTCGCCTTTAGGCCATATGTCGAAGAATTACATGGGTAATTATTTGAATCATAGCTCTCATAGGCCATATCGTATATCATATTCTATCCCAGCCATAATATTGATGTCATCTGCAACATCCGAGTCTTGGACGAGGTTTTAACGGAGTTAAGACGTATAATCCGTATACTCTTGGCGACTTATGGGTAGCACTAGGCAAGACGTGGAAATATATGCATTGGATCTCATGATCTGGGTAACAGATATTAAGATTTCCGGGTTATGAACCTGGCCGATGGCACTGTAGAAGATGGAACGGTGGCTGTTCAAGGTGTAGTATAGTGTAAAGCAGCCGGAGTTAAGTGTGAGTAATAACATAAACTCCTTAACCTAATGATATATGTATATATATTTATTCCCCCCCCTCCCCTTTTTCTTTTTTTTTTCTGATATTAACTATATTCTTTTTCTTTCTACTCCACCGCCGACGAATTCTAAGCGTACCATTGGACTCACTATACACGCGACTCGTCATATGGGACCATATATTTATAGTTGTACTTTTTAGGGATGTCTTTATACTAGTACTCCCCCTCCTTCATTATCGAGTTATCTGGTTTCCCTGTTAGGTTTATATATCTGCAATATATTCTTTTCTATAAGTCTCCAGCATGCTTAAGACTTTAGTATAATTAATGCTTCGTGAGACCTTAAACCAGCGATTTTGACGAGTCAGTTAATAGCTCAACCTGACTTGAACCTGACCTCACCCAGCTTGGATAGATAGTAAATATTTTTTATTTGTGTAATGAATACGTACCTTAAGGATATACGTTGTACATATTTTGGTGTAATCTGATTGGTGCATTTTATGTAGCTAGAGCTATGGCTTTATAAAGGGTCTTAGGTCAAGTCGAGAATATGGCCAGGTAAGCCTCCAGAGTTAACATATTGAAAGGCAGTTAAGTCTGTACGGTTATTTAACCTGGCTCGGCTCATGGAACTCGCTGCAGGCTTAGACACCTTTTATACTTAATATAGTTAACTAAATCCCTTGATGTTTTAAAAATTTCCAATAGTATCTCCTTAATAAATATCTTGAGCTAATGGTAACTATATGTATTTACATCTGAAACAGGCGGTTAGATATTTATATTCAATGAATTTAACCATCGTATTGGGGCTATCTTCGCGGCCTATCAATTGCACCATGGGTTTACGAAAAGTCTCGTATCATATTGGAGCAAAGTCCGAGCTGAGCTTGTCTGTACTACAATCATGTGACATTGCGGGATCTACCATGTCAGTTGCCCTATGTATGACGCTAATTTATATAAAGTAGTACTAGTACTTTAAGTATCCAATAAGGCTGACTTTGCCTTTACTCAGCCACGATCCTCACGTCACTAATTGTCACTACTTTTTACAGAAGTACCCTGTACGAAATTGAGGTACTATGGTAAATACATAATCGGAGCTTGAATCCTTCGCATAGGTATCGCATCAGCCCCCACGACCCCTCGCTCGTACGTCGTACTTTAGGTCACCATACTGCTGCCACATGCATCATGGCACAACATAGAAGGCTATCAATACCGCGAGCCACGTAAACACTTATTCAAATCGAACGACCCCTAAACACTACAAACCCCTTTTCAAAAGACGAAATTGTTATTCGCATCTCATGGCGCAAAACGGCCAGCAGGTAATTCGCTAGCCAAGCTGTTTGAGGCTGAGGAAATCCGAAGTTCGCTTAGGATGCGAGGTTCGCGGTACGTTTACGGTCTAATAGATACTATGTTTAAATGTAACAGGGTACGCACGCACGTCAGGCATCCAAATAAAACAGCCCCCGCTCTAGAACTAGCCGCAAATAAGTGGGGGAATAATGGGGCTTCTAGAGCACAATCCCCTGCTTTAATCCCTGTTCGGTAATGCATCATCGATGCTTAACCACAAAGTTGCTTGTTACCTACTTGTTATCATATCCCGCGAATCGCAAATGCTTCATGATCTGCATCATTCAATATTATGGTAGTACCTTGCATTTACCTTACGCAATATCTTATTGTACCTCCTACTCCACAAGACAAAACTTGTGATCGATAAATCCCAATTATATACCATTGCTCTGCTTCCTTCAATTCTTTTCCCTTCTTGTGAATCGTGATACCCAGGTTGACTGAATAATATACCCCTCCTTTTATCTTCTCCCCCTCTATATCTGTTCTGTATCTCAAGCTTTACTATTCTATTGCATCTCTTTCCGCATTCCTCTCCTCGATAACCTCACCTATAACCTGTATATTCCCTCGTATGCCGTATTGATTATTTAGCCTAGATCTGTCACTATGACTATAGTTGACGAGAAGGCTGCGCTTCGCCGTGCCGAAGCCAGTAGATCTGTTCAGCGTCCCAGTCGCACCTCTTTCAGCAACGCTCCGGAGGTCGTCTCGGCGCCTGGTTACAGTCGTGGCCTTATGTCTACAGACTTTGAACTTGGGGCAGAAGACGATGTGCTCCCGGCCTATAGCGAAGTACACGATCGCTTCTCTCTTCACCAAACAGGGTTTGAGGCAGGAGCTGCCGTCACTGGTAGGTCTTTAAATTACCAAATCATAGCGCTTTTGTAGCTGAATAAGATTTTTTTTTTTTTTTTTACAATAGATGACGGCCGAGTTAATATCAACATCAATCAGACGAATAGGCGCCTGGCCGATTTGTTAGCGCCCGCCTTGCGTTATCAGGAATCTATACACGAGGATCCTCTTCCGCCTGCCTATATCCCTCCCAGCTTGGGTGGTCTACCAGGACAGACTCCCCCACCCCGGTTGAACGTTGTTATACAGATCGTGGGATCGCGAGGTGACGTCCAGCCATTTATCGCCCTCGGAAAGATCTTGAAGGACACATATGGCCACCGTGTGAGAGTCGCCACTCATTCTACCTTTCAAAAGTTTGTCGAGGATAATGGTCTTGAATTTTTCAATATCGGAGGCGATCCTGCCGAGCTCATGGCCTTTATGGTGAAGAATCCGGGGTTGATGCCAGGCATTGATGCGTTAAAGAGCGGAGAAATTACCAAGCGAAGAAAAGGTATCGAGGAAATTGTACTTGGTTGCTGGAGGTCTTGTATCGAAACTGGAAATGGCTTGGGACCGGCTCCGCGATTCGGCCGTAAGAGCAAAGATGGCGAAGACGACCTAAATCCAGTTCCGTTAGGTGATGATTCGGGTCATAAGCCATTTGTCGCGGACGCCATCATTGCAAATCCTCCTAGTTTTGCGCATATCCACGTGGCTGAGAAGCTCGGAATCCCTTTGCACTTGATGTTCACGTAAGTCTCTCAAAAACTCGCAGATGGGAAATTTCTAAAATTTATAAGCATGCCTTGGTCGCCGACAAAGGCATTTCCACAGCCTCTCGCGAATATTCAGTCATCAAATACAGACCCCGTCACTACGAACTATCTTTCCTACGCAATGGTCGAGATGATGACATGGCAAGGGCTTGGCGACGTTATCAACCGCTTTCGTACAAAAATACTTGATCTTGAGCCTCTCTCAGTGCTCTGGGCCCCTGCGTTGTTAACCCGCCTACGGATTCCCTACACATACTGCTGGTAAGTTTAATTAGAGTCCTATCCAAACATAACTTAACCCTTATATTGTATCCCAGGTCACCAGCACTCATCCCCAAACCAAATGATTGGGGACAACATATTGACGTTGCTGGATTTTACTTCCTAAATCTTGCATCATCTTATACTCCGGATCCTGAATTAGCAGCATTCCTCGAAGCCGGCCCCCCGCCTGTTTACATAGGATTTGGTTCTATTGTCGTTGACGATCCGAACGGTTTAACACGCACGATTTTTGATGCGGTAGCGGAGACGGGAGTACGGGCTCTCGTTTCGAAGGGTTGGGGTGGATTAGGAGCTGATTCTGTTGGGATACCGGAGGGCGTGTTTATGCTTGGTAATGTCCCTCACGACTGGCTATTTGAGCGTGTCTCTGCCGTCTGCCATCACGGAGGTGCCGGAACTACGGCCGCCGGAATCAACGCTGGCAAACCTACTATTGTTGTGCCATTCTTCGGAGATCAGCCGTTCTGGGGAGCCATGGTCGCGAGAGCCGGAGCGGGACCTGAACCTATCCCTTACAAGAAACTCACAGCAGAAGCATTAGCTAAGGCAATCCGAATGTCATTGATGCCAGAAACCCAGGAACGAGCCCACGAATTAGGTGAGAAGATACGAGAGGAAAAGGGTACGGACGTCGGAGCACACAGCTTCCATAGACATCTCGACGTCGACAGGTTACGTTGTGCTCTAGCTCCCAGCCGGGTCGCTGTATGGCGTCTTCGGCGAACACAAGTCCATCTTAGCTCGTTGGCAGCGGCGGTACTAGTGAAAAATGGATATCTACGGTATTCAGACCTGAAATTGTGAGCGGAATTAACTTAATCTTTTATTGTGATTTGGTCTTACTAATTCTCGTCTCAGGTTCCGTGCAAATGAGTACAGCACCGAGGATCATCCAACGGATCCCATCTCGGCATGCGCATCGGCACTACTAGGAGACATGGGCACCATTGCCATGTCTGCGGTGGACGTTCCTCGAGGTGTTTTCAAAGGAGGAAAAGCATCGGAAACGAAGTCAACAGGGAAAGGCGACGATTTAGCTACGATTGCATCGAAAGGGGCTAGTAGTAGTACGCTGAATCTTGCTGATCAAGCGGGTTCGACTACGACGCTGCCGCTCTCGGATGTAACCAGTACACAGTCTAACGCGACCGCCGTTCACCCGCTCGGCATGCATCCGATCGCTATGCAATCAGAGGCTAATAGTCTACCCAACTTAGCGCATACTATGTCAGCTAGCCCAGGACATTCAAGATCGCCTTCTGAACCAGTGCGCAGTCCAGGTCATCACCGAAATAGCTCAGCTTCAAAACAAGGAGCGCAACCTACCACGAGCGAGTCTCTAGAGAGGGCTCTTCATGCCGGCAAAAGCATTAACAATATCGTGGCAACTGGTATGAAGTCACCTATGAACTTTTGCTTAGGTGCCGCGAGGGGCTTCAGAAATGCGCCGACTCTGTATAACGATGATACCGTCCGTCCCGCAGAGAAGGTTACTAGTTTCGCTAGTGGTCTCAAGGTCGCCGGAAAGGAATTCGGGTTTGGAATTTTCGACGGTATTACTGGGTTAGTGACCCAGCCTCTTAGAGGCGCAGAGAAAGACGGCGGTATTGGGCTGCTCAAGGGTTTTGGTAAAGGAATCGGCGGCTTTATGTTAAAGCCTGCAGCAGGTAAGCGATTCCCTGTCTGATTTAATACGACTAAGCACACTAACAGCTCTTTTTAGCCTTATGGTCCATTCCTGCCTACACCATGCAGGGTGTCCATGCCGAAATCAGGTCTCTGTTCGCTCAGAATGCTCAGAAATACATTGTCGCATCCCGTATCGCCCAAGGCCATCACGACTTTAACGACGCATCACCCGAGGAACGCGAAGACATTGAAGTTCGTTGGCTTGCTAAGAAAGAGCAGATGAAGGGATTCTACACTTGGAAGCAGAAGGAAAAAGGAAAGACCAAAGAAATTTCCCCTGCTGCATCGACGCATGGAACAGCTATTACGGAGCAAATCGCCAGCAACGAGCCGCAGAGGACGGGATGGCTGCAGACAAGAAGTCTATCTAGCGAAGACCGAAGGAAGCTACAGGATCAGAAAAATTCGTGGAAGCAAAAGCAGGCGGAATCAGCGGCTACGGGCGGTACGTTTATCGATGAGAAGGTTCGTTCAGTTTCTGGTACAGGTAACACACATGATGAGGAAGAAGAGTTTGAACGAGCCATTATGATTGCAGTGCGGGAGACATCAACTGGAGACGCAAACGAAGATGCTCGAGTCGAACAAGCGATTCGGTCGAGTGTCAGGGCATTACGAACCAGATCGACAACTATAGGCTCATTGGCCTCGACAAACTCTCGGGCTTCTAGCACGCAAGACTCCGGATACTTCACCGATATTAAACGTCCATATCCAGAGGACATCAAACACCCCGGGGCATCTGAGGATTCGATGGAAATCACCGACGAGGAATATCAGGCATTGATCGAACAAGCCGTTCAAATGAGCATGGCCGACCAGTACGGAAGCGGAGTCCGAAGACACGACCTCGAGGATAGCGAAGATGACGATTTTAAACAAGTGCTTCAGAGATCGCAGACAGATAGGAGCATAGAAGATCAAGATGAAGAAAATTTTAAGATGGCGCTTAAGGCTTCGGAGGCAGAACATGAGAATAAGGGTGGGTTTTCTGACGATGAGGAGCTTAAGAAAGCTATTGAAGCTTCTCAGGTGGAGAAAACCCAGGGAAATAATGGTGATGATGACGAAGAGCTGAGGCGTGCCATCGAAGAGTCCGAGAGGGCTCACAAGGAGGAATTAGCATTGAAGTCGGAAGAAGACATCGTGATGGAATTCGTCAAGAGACAAAGTCTGGTAGAGGACCAATATCGCAAAGCCAGAAGCAAGGGGAAATATGCCAACTACGAAGACGACGAGGATGAAGATGAGCAGCTAAAGCGGGCTTTGGAAGAGAGCCTACAGACGGATAGCAGCAAAGAACTTGGAGGTGGGGGTGGTCCGTCGCGTTTCTAGGATTAACGGGTCTTTCGGGTGAACATGAGACTGCATGATACATATTGATACCCTTCATTGGTTGGAAAGAAAAGAGGCGGTTATAGTGATACCTAGTAATTATTAGAATAACATGGCTAACGTTACATTTTCACCCGGCGAGGCTATCGATTCGAGCTGTGAATGCAAGTGAATGCATACGGTTGAATAGTATGTCGATTTTCACAAGATGAATTGAGATGTTAGATTGCTATTCTTGGCCTTGGAGACTCCCTAAACTGGAACAGAAATTATGGCGTGAGCTGCAGAGGTGTGTCGAAGCTATTGGATTGGATCAGATCAGATCGAATCGAATCATGGCTTTGATCGTAAGTGGCGTTGGTAGGAATAGCCTCGTATCCAAGATATGTTGTATAGGTACCTATGTTACATTTTTCTTTTTCAGATGTATTCTTCACCCCCTCCTCATTACATATTCAGGAGCTGAGATCGCAGTTCATCATAACTACGTGCCTCGGTAATCACACGCTAGCTCCGGCGGTTATCACGCTTACAGCGGTGATAGTGACGAGTCACATACATACATAAATGTGGTAGGAGGCCGGAAAAGCAACGATTTGTCACCTAGTCAGCCCCGTGTTCCTGTTTCCGTTTCCGCTTCTAGACACGTGAATGATCTTGGGCTGAGTGTGAATGGCGTCATTGGGGGTGGGTTATAGCTGTCTGTTTATACACGACGGAGTTTTGTGAATTCGTGAACGCTGGATAGGAGGCTGTGATAGATGGATACGATAGCGTCGATCGGGTGGTAGTAGGGGGTCGGAGGGGGGGGGGTATTATGACGACGACGATGATGATGACGGCGGCGAGGTGTGTAATATGAAGTATGCTATAGTAGCCCCTATCAAAGCGCAAAAAGAAGACGTCGTCGAGTATAAGAATAGAGTCCAGTCGCCCTTTCAGAGCAGGTATGTCCAGCCACCACAAGAGCATCCAACAAACAGCATTAGATTCAATACATACACACATACACCTAGAACCACGCCAACTCACCAAAGCAATATGCCGTCCCACAAGAACCAGACCTCCGCTCCCACCGGCAGTATCTCGCACACCTCGCTCCCCGTGCACTCCAAGCCAAAGCGCGGGGACGAAAGCCCGGTTTCCAAGCACTCGGACCAGGACATGGTGGAGAGCCCCGCCGACGAAGTCGTCGCTGATTACGACGTGAAGCTCGGTATGTCTATCCTGGCCGCTTACCCCTTTCCCTTTCCTTTTCCCTTTCCCTTTCCCCAAAGCCCCCTTATCCAGCCTAACTCGTCTAGCCTCGGGGCTTCTACCGATGTGATAGCTAACAATAAAAAAGGCAAAGACGAACAGGAAGCCATTGACACCTCCAACATCATCAGCGAGCGCACTCGCCATGCGAAGCCTATCAACGGGAGTTATATCCTGTCGGATGAGGAGGAAGACGAGGATGATGGGGATGTGCTGTTACGCGAGGACGGAACTATTGTGTCTGCGGGTGCGGGTGCGGATGCGGAGACTGTTGGTTAGATGGAATCGATTTGATTCGAGCTATTATTGACATGGAAGTATGGGGTGGTTTGACAACGGGAATTAGTATAATCGAGAGTTGATAGTTAGGTATGGGAGGAAACTTGGTCTAAGTCCGGAAGATTGTTCTACGAGAGGGAGGGAGGATCAAGTACTGATATCATGCCGCTCTTTCATCACGCGGATTTGGATGGATGGATGGATGGAAATATTAACGAATACAGCAGCCTGTCGACTCTTTAATATTTCATTTTACTCGTATTAGCTACTAGGCCATACTTACCAATCAGGCAAATTTCAGTTATTGGAGCTTGATAGTCATTGCATGAAGGAGCCTCAAGAGGATGAAGTAGTATCAGATTTATGCAGTTGAGAGAGATAGCCTCGTAGACTATATGTACACTTGGTGTTACAACAGAATTTGATGCCATTATGCATTTAGCTCCTGATCCTTCTCCGGCTCTGTTGTTGGCTCTGTTGTTGGCTCTGGCTCCGTTGTTGGTTCTGGCTCCGTTGTTGGTTCCGGTTCCGATGTTGATTCCGGCTTCGACTCTGGTGCCAGCTCTGACTCTGACTCTGGCGCCGATTCTGACTCTTGGAACATATAATACGTCTTCCGCTGCTCTCGCGTAATCTTAGCCGGGCTACCGACCATCAAGTCCTCGCCCTTATTCGTCTTAGGGAATGCGATGACATCCTTGATGGACGGGACATCGCACAGCACAGCCATTAAACGGTCGAAACCGAAAGCGAACCCGGCGTGGGGCGGACACCCCGCCCTCAGTGCCTCGAAGAGGTGAGAGAACTCGGCCATGCCCTCTTCCGTCATTTTCAGGACCTCACGCATGATGAAATCCTGGTGCTTGGCGACGTGGATACGGCGGCTTCCACCGCCCACCTCCACACCGTTGATGACGAGGTCGTAGTGGTCGGCCTTCACCTCGAGAGGCTGGGCCTTGGCGGCGAAGAAGTCTCTACCGGTAAGCGGAGCCGTGAACGGGTGGTGGGTCGAAGATAATCCCGCAGTGCCACCTTGGCCCGGATCCGCATTGTCCCCGTTCGGTGTGAAAAGGGGGAATTCAGTCACCCAGAGTGCCTTAAACGAATTGTTTTGAGGTATGAACCCTTTCTTGACGGCATCATCGTATAGCGCCTTTCGAAGCCTGCCTAGCCAAGTAGAACTTCCATGGAACGTCTCTCGTTTTCGTGCGTGGATGATGATGATGTCTCCGTCCTTGCATCCATGATAATGGCTCTCTTCCAATTTCGTAAATTCTTCAAACCTATCAGCAGATTCATGTCCAAAAGCCGACAGGCCGTTGAGCGGTTTGCTGGAGTCATAGACCAATACAGCTGGTGTACTTTCAGGACTTAGCTTGACTGTAGTATTGTTGGGTAGAGAGTCCATGAATTTTCGGATGAATTCCCCAGCGGCGTAGGGCGACAGACCCAGACGAAGCTTCATCATTTCGACGTATGGGTCTTCTAAGCTTGTAATTTTTTGGATAAATTCTTGAGGTAGTTTGAGATGTATCGTACCGCGAATCTGTCTCTTAGTAAATAAAAGGGAAGTTCCGCTGGGAGGTTTCGCTTACATTTGTTATATACGGATGGATAATTCGCATATCGGGCTTGTCGGTACCAAAATGCTTCATTGCCTGGGAGTATGTCATAAAACCGATGTCTTTATATTGAATTCTAGGATAGCGAGTTATTCCATCTCCAGGTCCTGGTGCCTCTTGGTCTTTCTTCTTCTTTTTTGGCCCCCTCGGCAGGGTTTCGTCTACACCGACGTAAACCGGATGTCGAATGCCGTTGATGTTAGTTGGTGACCATTTTTCACTGAGAGAGAGAAATATTTTAGCCAAGAGATTTGAAACGAGCTTTATCACATCAAAGCCGTTGGCAAAGGCCATCTCTATATCGAGTTGAGTGAATTCGGGTTGCCTATCGGCGCGATGGTCCTCGTCACGGAAGCATTTGGCGAATTGGTAATATCTCGTAATGCCACCGGCCATGAGTATCTGTTTGTACTGCTGTGGACTTTGCGGCAGTGCGTACGCATAACCTTCCCGCCTCGTTGGGACTAGGAATTCCCGGGCGCCTTCTGGAGTAGACTTGAAGAGAAGTGGCGTGTCTACCTGGATAAAGTTTTTGGATTGAAGATATTTTGTGATGGTTGTCTGTAGACTGCTCCGTAGTCTTAACCTGTCACGGAGGAGAGGATCGAAACGCAACTGTAGGTGACGTTGGTGAGGTGGCCACACGGCATCTTTGGAGACGATAATATCCTTTGGAAATGGATTTAGACAGTGTATGGATCGTAGTTTGAGATCCCACTTCCGGGCCGACCCGGGCTTCTGCGTGGTATAGGGGGGCTCTTGAAGGGTTCCGGTCACAATAACTGGACTGTAGGCTGGTATTGTCCTAAGGTCTTGGTGAGCCAGGAACTGCCGCGAGCCATCCTCGCTCCAGGTGGAAATAATCTGAATACGTTTCCGAGAATTGTAATCGGATGCATTAGTTAACTCACAGAAGCTCAAGTTTGAGCTCACATCCCTTCGTTTATGAATAAATCCGTGGACGGTCACTTCCTGCCCAGGCAGGTAACCTACCATGGGCGTAGCTTGGTTTTTTGTAAGATCGATAACTTTTATATGTATTAGCTACAATTTATTCTGAATGAGTCTTTGCTGATTTATCTTACAATTTTTATTATAAGCTTCCCATCGTACGCTAGGATCAGCCGGTTCACTTTCGCCGCCTTGAGATTCCGCAAGGTCGGGTTCCGTAGACTCGGATTCTATAGATTCGGATTCTATAGACTCGGTAGCTGTGGATTCGGAACTTGTGGGTTTCGATATCTCATCATGAAGGGTTCTTGTGTGCTCCAGTCGGAAAATGGGTTGGAATCTACGCGGCAGGGACTGCCCTTTGATGCTCGAAATGCATCTTAGGGTAGTCCTCTGCAAATAACTTGAGATAATTCGAACCATGGATACCTCATCCGACTATGTTGGTCTTGATGAGTGGAAGGTTCTAATAACATACTACTGACATGTTGAATGGAAAATAAAAATGTGATGTACCTTAGGTACCTACATATGTAAGGATAGCCAGCCCCACATTCAAAGGTATCTAGGTACATCATGTACCTCCTAGCTTACATGATGTATGTAGGTACGGAATACAATAGGTGCCTACCTAGGTACCTATTAGCTGATAGCTCTAGCGGATAATTGCGGCCCCGCCCCCGGCGCAAAATCCCATTTTCTAGGAAAGCTTCCGCCGAATTTTTGGAACTTTTCTTTTCCTTCTTCTTCATCCTTCCAATTCAAATAAAAGTGAGTTTTTCGACGAAACATCCTATTCCCGCCATACTAAACAAGTTACTAACATTTATTATCGCAGATGATGAAAGCTGCGTGTACCATATGATGTCTTCCTCCTTTCAAAGCTTCAGAACTCTCCCCTTCGGGGCTTAAGCGGTTCTGTTGCAGCGAGAGGTTGGAATCATGAAATGAGCGTTCGACACACCTCGACCTTGTTTACATCGGACGCGAAAAAGCAACTCTGATTACTGTTGTAGTAGGAAGGCTCTAATTTCTTTTCCCAATTACCCTTTCTTTTTGTTGATTTAATGGAACTGTACCTTGTTTGCTAGCTTTTTTAGCCATGTCTTAGCATGTCTTGTTTTGAAATGATTTCTAAGATAACCAGAATGAAAATATTCTTTGCGCTTTCTTTGCACGCTCTCGGTGATTTTGTTCATGTTTTGATGGGATTTGATGCTATAGCGACATGTGTCTTAGAACTTGACTACCTGTTGATACGAATAGGAGGCAGGTACAACGCAGACAATGCTTCTACATACACATTCGCAACTCTTACCGCTCAACTGTTAAGATGGTTAATATAAGAAATCTAAATTGTATCCCTCAATAGGTACTCCAGAGCCAGGCATTGTCTTTAACTGGAATACTATGACCTCATAGCTGGGCATACTGATATTTGGTTCGTTCCAGAATTAAATCGGAGCCTTGGAAGTCCCAAGGTACTTGGCTCTATGTTTCCACAAAACCGGGCAGGTTCAGGTATGTACTATTAACCTAATGCCTTGATAGGCACCCCGCAAAGAATACAGGAATTCGTTGCAGACTAAAGAGCATTACATGCAGATGAATGTATGGATACTATAGTCTTCTTAACGAAGTTACAGGGAATTTAAGTAGGTATAGCTATGTACTATATTAGGTACCTACCTACGTAATATGGTGGCTACGTCCATATGAGGTATAATAAGTAATAGATACATGCAAGTAGTTATCGATACATGGATACGAGTGGGTAGGAGATGACATGGACCAAACCTTAAATTAGATTAGGAGCCCGATATCCCGACCGACGTTTCCCAAACTTGCGGCTGGTTTCTGGCTGGTCTCTTTTCTAAACTCCCATTTCTCCAAAGCCTCTAATCCATAGGACGGTAAATTCCCGACCAAAACAGTAACGACATAATAACCCAAGAGTCAATCATTCGCAAATAAGATATTTAAATGTATTAGTAGTCGTATGGAAAAGCAACCTTCTCCGTCCGAAATGGAACAGCCGTAACAAAGCCAACCCCGTCAATGTCTACAAAACTTGAGTCTACTTTAGTCCATCCATCTTCTCGATTTACTCTGCCACGAACCTAATCAATCCCGACGTCGCACCTCCGATGGTGATTGTCGCCTTTGTCTAACATTGAAAATACTCTTACGAATAATTCTCGGCGCTCCCGTTCCACGTTCCAACTCTTCGTGGATAACGATATCGATAATACCGGCTAATACTTGACCGGAAAGCAAGCCGCCCGACAAACAGACATCTAGTAGCTGAAGCCTCACTCGGTTATTACCATCATAGCCATCATAGCCATCATGTCTAGTTCTTTTGAGAAATCCGTCAAGGGTGCAACCAAGATCAAGGTCAGTCTGCGCCTCACGCGGCACGTAGAGCTAAGCCAGTCTAACCCCTGACAATGTTGCTGAGTAGGCCGCTCCTCCGAAAACCAAATATATCGAGCATATCCTTGTCGCTACGCACGCCGGAGAAGCGGGAGTGGGGGAAGTTTTTCGGGCATTGCAGTTTCGATTGCGGGACTCGACATGGACCGTAGTACTCAAGAGCTTGATAACAATCCATTTGATGATCAGAGAAGGGTCGCCGGATGCCACACTAGCGTATCTCGCGAAGCATCGAAGCCAGCTAGCAATAAGCTCCTTTACCGATGGTAAGTTAATAAATAGCCCCGGCCTGTGCGCCCCGGTGACGTCGTCGAGGAAATATTTCTGATGTATATGGTAGCGCAAATCCAGGGGCGAAACATACGACATTATGCCGGCTACCTCGCAGAACGCGTACGCGCATACCGAGATACGAGAGTAGATTGGGTCCGAGCTAAAGAAACGCGACTTGAGAAGCTTTCGGTTGAAAAGGGAGTACTCCGAGAAACCGAGGCGGTTCAGCATCAGCTTACTGCTCTGCTGAAGTGTGACGTATGTTATGCGACTCTCCCTTGATATAGGAGCGACACTGATTCTGACATTCCGGCAGGTTCTTGAGGATCCCGAAAATGAAATTACAATTACCGTGTTCCGACTTTTGGTGCTGGATTTATTGGCGCTATTCCAGGTGTTGAACCAAGCTATGATCAACATTTTAGGTAGGTTCGAATTATCTACGAGCGACATACGTCTAGGAGACTAAATGGATACCAGGTCACTTTTTTGAAATGTCAAAGCCAGACGCGGAGAGGGCTTTGGAAATTTATCAGAACTTCACTAAACAAACAGACTACGTCGTACAATATCTGGCTGTGGCGCGACAATGGGAGCCTCATACTAGAGTCGAGGTTCCTAAGCTGAAGCACGCTCCTATCAACCTTCGACGGCAACTAGAGGACTATCTGAAAGATCCCGACTTCGAAATTCATCGAAGGCAATACCTGGCTGAGCTCGAGGCTAAAAAGAAAGGAGGGTCTGGTTTGTCTTCGAAAGCCGATAAGGGTACTGCAGACTCTAAGGCCTCTACCACAAAGTCGAATGGACCATCCGCAACTTCATCCAAGCCGCCGCAGGCAACGAGAGGGCCGGATCCGGATTTAATCGATTTCTTCGACTCGATCGAGCAGAACCAAACCACAATGGCAGTACAGCCGAATCCTCAGCCGCAGATTACCCAGGCAAATCTTCCTATGTCTACAGGGAACCCTTGGCCTTCAAATACTCCATTTGCCGTACAACCAACCGGCCAGCTCCAAGACAATGGTTTTATACCTCAGCAGACTGGCTTCCCAGCTAATAATGCGCCTTTCCAACAACAGAATGTTGGCGCTTTCTCCCAGCAACAACAAGTACCAAACCAGATACAGCCGAGTTTTACCGGTGCTGGTTTCGGCGGATATGCACCGCAATCTTTTGCGCCAGGCAGTCTTCCTCCTATACCTCAGAATTCTATGCCTTCTTTCCAGCCTGGGACTTTATCCCCACCTATGCAAACAGGGCTTCAGCCTGGCCAGCAGATAACTAATCCTTTCAGAGCGTCCATGTTGATGGCCAACCCTACTGGAGCACCTAATAATTCCTTTGCCGCACCAACTAGCCCCCAACTTCAGGCCGGCGGTCTTAGCCGGCAAAATACCAATCCTTTCGCCAGATCTTCCCCTCAGCCTGCCGCTCCCTTTTCTAATCCTCCCTCCAGCTCTCCTTTTCAGTCGCAACCTCCGGTTCAGGCCCAGGCCCCACCCATTCAAACAACAGCCACGGGCACCAATCCATTCGCCAGGAATTTCGGGCAGCCACAAATGCAGCCTCAGAGCCAGCCTCAGACTCAGCCGCAAAGGCCTCAGACGAGCGCCGGGCTTATGCCGCAGCCTACGGGAAGTACGAACCCGTTCCGGCAAGGAGCTTTTGTAAACCATCAGACCGGAATGGGTTGGCAACACGGACAGCAGCCGATAGGCGGGGGTCTAGATCAGCTCGAGGCTATGTCGGTGTTTCCTCGACCTACTACCCAGACGCCATGGCAGCAGTAGGAAGACGACTAGCGTGATGCATGAAGGAAGGGGGCTTAGCAGCTAGAAGAGAAAGAAGACGGCGGCAAAATCGCATCTCGAGACGTTCTCTAACTTATCACTGAGCACATAGAGCGAGGCGTTATCCTAAGATTTCATAATCTCTCCCTGAGCGTAGGACAAGACTGGAGGAAAGAAGAGAGAAAGAAGGAAGATTTAAGAGAAAAGGGCTTTGCCAGAAGAAGCTAGCAGAGGCAGGCAAGAAAGCTCACATGATTCATCGGATATCCACGGAAGGGTCCCTGTAAAAGAAAATAAATACAAGATCAGGCGTTGCCCCGAGGGGAAATACTATTACCGTTATTCTCTTAAAAGGGCTGGGCGGCTGGGCGGAATCGTGAACAAGCAAGCATTGGCGAACTCGAGGTTACTTCATGCGCCTGTATTATTCATGCCTTGTTGAATTCAATTACGTTTAATAATAGGTTATTGCGTAATAGCTAGCACGCCGCCGCGCTACAGGTTATCGTGAAAGAACACTCGACGCTGCGAACTATTTCTACCTGGAGTCAAGCTTTGCAATTTGAATTAGCAGACAGAAGATAGATATTAGCATGTATTCACGGACGGCAAAGATATAGTTAGGTATATAATCAAATTTCAATAACACCGCGATGCAGTGTTTACCTGTGCAATATAATATCTTCTTAGGGAAAATACCATGTTTGAACACTGTCGCTATGTAGCTGAATGAAGCCTACATTTGGATTCCACTTCCCCCTATTTTCATGCTATGCTTTATCGTGTGTATAAAGATGTTACGACGATGTATGGACGACATCATTGCGAAGTCTAAGGCCTCCCCGGCCAATAACCCTGCTATCCTCAACCCTACCTTCAATCCGAATCCTAATCCAGTTAACTAGGTTACAGGTTATAATAATCCGGATCAATATTATTGTAAATTATGATTATATGATTATTACAAAAGGTAACATGATATAGGTGACAGTATGATATAAAATACAGTTGCGAAGACAAGGTATTAGCGTAGCGTAAAATGTTCGGGTATTATGAAAAGATATGGCTGGCTGTGTTATTATCTCGAGGTTGGAACCAAAAGGGTGTCATTTATTGAAGGTGGTGTTTTGGGGAACTTGGAACATAAAATCTTTGAAACAAGTTATAAAGCCTCGTTTACATACTCAAAGTAAAAAAAACAAAAACAAAGCATTTAGCTCTAGTATTAAGTTATAATAACCAACTACTATTTAACAAACTGCTCGATAACATTGTAACTAACTTTTGGAGCAACTATGACAGCTATACAGTGTCAACGATTTACCTTTAGTGACATAGCAGTATAGAATTATCCTTTATCTGTCACCAGTAACTTGCAATTATTTATATCTACATTTGCCCATAAACCCGAAAGTATCCTGCAAGACTTAGTTGTTGAGAAAAACGCATAGTTACCTCAAGACATTAGCCTTGCAATTAATCAGTTCTAATGATGGCATACCTAGGTACCCGTGGCGTTGGTTCGCTGATCCAAAAATGCCTTCCGATCTTTTCCGCAAGTTTTCTCCGGGTTAAGAAGCCATAACGACATAGTCACTGTTAAATGGCTTTAATGTAAAACTAGCCGAGTTGTAAAGCTGGTGTAAGGGGTAGTTATTAAGTGTAAGTGGAGGAACCGCGGGGTAGTTCTCTATGCTGTATGTAGGTGGGTTAGGGTAGTTAATACTATTATGTTTAATATTTTTAATGTTGACTTTTGCCAAAAAAAAAACTACAATCAACTGTGGTCTTGTAGACGAAAGCCTTTGCGCACAGGCCAATCGTGAAAAACAAATACTACGAAGTAATCCTAATCGTATTTCGTCTATTGGAATGTAATCTTTTCGTGGCCACTGTGCACGGGCCAACATTGGAAATATTTAAATTCTATTCCTAATCGTAATCGGACTGGTTCAATTAGATTGAGGAGGAGGAGGAGGAGGGCAAACGTAGGATCTTCTATTGCCCCCTCTCAACTACCCCCCCCCCCCCTAAGCAAAAATATCCTCCTCAACTTTCACCCCTGTCGTCCTCCCCGTCCTCGCCGCCTCCTCCGCACTCACCGTCCCAACCGCCTTCTGCGCATCCGCCTTCTCCTCCGCTACGAACACGCCCAATCCCGCAAACGCATCAAACATGGCGCGCGCCTCGTATTCGTGGGCGCTGTATCCAGGGACGCGATGGTCGTCGCGGCTGCGCGCGTCCTCGAGCCAGGGGTTATCATAGCGCTCGTGCAGCTCGTACCGCGTGGGTTTGAGGTCTAAGCCTGCGAACGCGTCGTATGGTCGGAGGTAGTAATCGGCGCCCTCGTCGCGCTTGGATTTGTCTTTGAGACCCCGGATCGAGAGGAGTGTGTCGGTGGATGTGGGGGCGGGTGTGTCGGATGCGTTGAGTAGGCTTGGGAAGTTCGAGCCTGCGATCTCGGCGACGCGCGCTCGCTTCTGCGCGATGATGCGCGCTTGGATTTCTGCGGCGGTGCCGGGTTCGCCTCGCTCGAGAGCTTCCATGACTTCGGTGTTTATGGAGGCTTCTTCGGCGCGGGCGCGCTCTTCTTCCCGCTGGTCTTCGAGTCTGCGTTGGCGCGCTGCTTCCGCTTCGGCAGCTTCGCGCTGTTTGCGCAGGGAATCTGCTTCGCGGCCTTTCTTCTTATTCTTCTCGATATCATCCTTGTGTTTCTGCTCGTACGCAAGCAGCTTCTGCTCTGCATTCCGCTGCTCTGTCTCGTCTCCATTAACTAAGTCGAAAGTCAGGTCCTCCACCTGCTGCAGGTAGTCGTTGTAGTCGCGAAGCGAGACGAAGTCGTCCTGGGTCATGTTGAAAACAGCTTGAACGCGGCGGCGCAGGTCGACCTCACGCTCGATCCTGAGGTCCTTGAAAAAGGCCGAGCGGAAGCCGCGCTGGCGCAGGGTCTTGGTGCAGGTGGCCACGGGGCATTGCGCGGGCCCTTTGCTGAAGATGTTATTGACACAGTTGATGCACATTGGATGATAGCACTCTGGGTTGATTAAGAATTCCATTTCTGTATTCAGATATCGTATGCGATTACACACCGGGCAGGTGTCGTCTGGGACGTGGTCGAGCGGTCGCACGGTAAGCGTGGTGGCGGTGGGTATAGGCCTTCGAGACATGATTCCCTTTTTTTTACTTGCGAGTGTATGCAGAGCTCTTAATGCATATAGGACTGCCAATGTAACTAGTGTTCAGCGTTAAGTATCTCGTCCTGCGAGGTGGGTTAAATACGAGGAAGAAGGTCGGTTAGAGCGGTGGATGGGTGAGAGAAAGCCTAGTGGAATAGTAGTCATTCATTTGGGCCGAATCGAACTCATCTTATGAGGGGTGAGTTTGTAATTAATTACGGTACAGTAATTTCCAATGTTCCTGTAAGGGATAACCACCAAGACGGCTGTAGTACGCGTTGTGGTAGAAGAAAGAATAAATGCAACTTAAAAGAAGTTCTCAAGTTTGATTTCACCTTCACTTTAAGACATTACCTAACGTGATGTACTATGTACACATGTACGGCCTGCAGGAAGCTAAAATTACTTGCTTGTTTTCTATTGGTCTATAATCTCTATACATAGTAGAAGCAGCAGGGGCACATCCGTACATGCCCCACTACCCAGGTTAAACAATTGCCCCTCCATCAAGCTTTAATAAATAAATATGAAGCTTCTACATCTTCGCTAGCCTTCTCACTGATTCTCTTGCTGACCACAACAAACCCAATACAACAACATTGCGAAATTATAAACCATGGCAGACAACGGTACGCACGTGTATTAGACGCGAAATAGCACCATCGGCTACAAATAACTAACAAGCTACATTATCATAGATCCCACTCCCGAGCAAGAAGCCGCCGCCCGCGCCAAGGAAGCCGAGGAACAAGCAGCGCTGCCCTACAAATGGAACCAAACCATCGCTGACCTCGACATCAACATCACCGTTCCCGGAAACCTCAAGGCCCGAGATATTGTTGTCGAGCTCAAGAAGCAGAAGCTCAAGGTCGGCATCAAGGGCCAAGACCCCATCATCGATGTGCGTATATACCCTACCAAGGCTACCAACCACGATATACATACTTGTACCCGCACTAACCCACCTCCAGGGAGACCTCCCGCACACAATCCTAACCGAAGAATCCACCTGGACGCTCACCTCGTCGCCGGACGGGACCAAGACCATCGAGGTCCACCTGGACAAAGCGAACAAGATGGAATGGTGGGCGCACGTCATAACCACGGCGCCCAAGATCGACGTGACCAAGATCCAGCCCGATAACTCCAAGCTGAGCGACCTCGACGGCGAGACCCGCAGCATGGTCGAGAAGATGATGTACGACCAGCGCCAGAAGGAGATGGGCCTGCCCTCCTCCGACGAGCAGAAGAAGGCCGACATCCTTAAGAAGTTCCAGGCGCAGCACCCCGAGCTCGACTTTAGCAACGCCAAGGTAAATTAAGATGCTTGCTCCCTACCGAATCACGGAAGAGTACAACTGGGAGATAGGGTGACGACTTGCTTGCTTGCTGCATATAGTCATAAGGCCACGCGAAGTATCAAAAGAGTACGGAAAGGCTTTGGAATAAAAGTGCATCTTATTAATTACGTATGGTATATATAAGTGCTACGAGAGAAACGAGATGTACAGGGTGAAACGAATCGCCATAACCACAGAAGAGGCAAAGAAGACCAAGGGTAGTGGCGTCAGAGAGCCCTGTTCTGTTTTCATCTTGGAATCGCTAGTAATGACATAGCAGATGATAGCCGCTACGCATCAATTGTCAGATTAATAAGCGTTCCGTCGCGGCTTGTCCGCGGTTTAAAGAATGAAAAACTGAAATATCAAAAACCACTTACATTAGGTACATAGCATGAACTCACCTATTGTCGACGGCTTCCTTTTGATTTATTATACCCGTTGCGAGTTTCAGGACATGTTGGCCGTAATAAGGTGATGCATTGATGCTACCTACGAGCCAAGCGGGTGTCGTCTACATGCTAATTGCCAAGGTGACCGTTCTTCTGCGAGGCCTATCTCATGTTATAAACCTCTTCAATGACGAAGACCTCTAGTTGCAGGGGAAATGCGAACCGCAGTCGCAGAACGAGCCGAAAACTAAGCATATCACTTGGGTCAAGTTAACACAAGGCTTCGGCCCTCTTTAAGATTTAGCCAGCCTAGCCGCCTTGAAACGACTCATCCGCTTTGGTCCACCCTGCTCTTCATCAAGTGGCTGGATAGGACTTTCATCTTCCTTCATGAACCCGCCCTGTTGGTGGATGAGCTTGTTGCGCATCTTGTAGTACTCTTCTGTAGCCTGTTTTTGTAGCATATTGGCGTCGAATTCGTCCGGCCCCCTAGCTTCTGAGGATGGTTCATGCTCCAAGACAGAAGTCGCTAGCGTCTGGTTTTCCGGTCCTGAGGGGGTAGGTCCAGCGACACCAGGAGTGTCTGGCATGATAGGGGTACCACCCAGGGCTACCGGAGTTGCATTTATATGGGCCTCATTATTCCTCGCTTTTCGGAATCGGGATACTTTCTTGCTTGGTGCCGCTGTTGGTTGCGTTGTCCTGCTGCTGCTGCTGCTGCGCTCCATGACAACGTCGGATAACGGGTCTATCTTGTGCTGCCTAGATTGTGTTTGAGACACTTGCTCCGAAGCTGACGCTTCGGCTATATCAAGGCTCTGGGCAAATCTAACGCTCTTTTTGTTGTCTTGTGTTGATGACTGCTTTTCGACTTCGGATGGAACGATTGGTAGACTTTCGACATTGCCATTTAAAGCATCTTCGTTCTCACGTTTGATGCTTATACGGCCAATACCTTCTACCATATCGTCCTCGTCATCTGCTGCCTGGCTCTGACTGAAAGTATAGCCGCTCAGCCGTTCCTTGAGTTCTAGCATCCGCCGTTTCCAATCGTCGTCAACAACGAGCTTGGTCTTACCCCACTCGTCTTCATCGTCTTCATCTTCCTCTTCATAGTCACTATAGTTATCTGTATCGTCGCCCGTAGATCCTTCTTCTAATTGCAACTCAGCCACAATAGGGGCCATCTCAAACTCCATCGTATCTTTGTTGTAACGAATCATATCTTCTCTCAGTGCGGCATCTTCCATAGATTCGTCGGCAGGGAGAATGGGGTCTGATATTATGCTCTGCTGATCCTTAGCTTTTTGCAGGATCTCTTCTAGTCTCTTGGCAGTTTCTGACTGCTCCAGCTCTTCTCCAGTTTTCGTGTCTTCGCTAAACGTCACGCTCTTCTTCCTAGACGCGGATTGTACTTTCGCTTTCTCCTTGACCTGCGAACCGTTAAGCGCATCTGGAGCATCATTTGGCGATTCATTAACCTGGGGTTCCTTAGATTGATGGTTTGATGTACTCAAGCCGCCGTCCGAAGTTGTTGATTTGCCATCCTGCGTCTTCTGCGCGGCCTCGGACATTGGAGGATCAGTAGGTGAAAACTCAGGAATTCCAGCCTTCCGAAGAGCTTCAATAACTTGGGGTTGGGTATCTCCTGAGGTGCGTAGGCTATACGACACGATGTTGTCGTCGTCGTCCAGCTCCTCTAATATCTCAGTAATTGGTAGTCCATCTTCATCAGTTGCGTCTGGGTTTGCAATAATTGTGACAGCAGCAAGTCTATTTTCTGCCTCTTCATGCTGCTTACCAAGCGTGTCGATATTCTTGGAGACATAATCCAGCCGATTATTGAGCGTACTAATGATTTGCTCGACCTTCTTCGAGTCGTCACGCCCGAAGACATCAACGAGCTCCTTCTCATTCAATAACTCGCCCTTGAACTTTTCTCGGGTGTTTCTCAGCTCCTTCCGACTAGCTGCTGACGGTAGCGACTTTACATCGACTCGCAGCGCTTCATACTCTTTCTTCCATTGTTTCCAGTGGCCAAGCGCATTAGAAAGTCTCGTGACATTTTCCTCTAGCTTCTGCCGATGCCTTTCCAGGTCAAGAAAGCTGTCTTTAGCGGCAGCCATTTTGAAGGTTAGAAAGTAATGATATGCAGTAAATACTTGTCCGGAGGCAAACGCGATATGAGAAAGTGTTTTTTGATTAGCTGAAGAAAAATGGAGTTTGTTCATTCCAAAGTTTCGAGTTGCTGAAAAAAAGTGAGGCTGGTATCCACCTATAGGTCACGTGCTATCATGAAAGGCAAGCTCGGAACACGAGCCGGTATTACATAGGTACCTAGGTATATATCCTTATTAAGCACACTGTTATCGCCTTTAGCAAGCAAATATCCCTCCTGTTTTAACCTGTGTTTAATAGAAACGTCAAGTTATTAAATTGAGAATGAGGCTACAAAACAGTGGTGATTGATTAAGTGTGATTGCGTGTTTTCTTATTACATGAAGCTGAAGGAATTATTAGACCTCCTAACTACGGAGTGTCACATATTATGAGAATTGAAGCACAGCTTCGCGTGAACAGATCCTCCTAGTGTACAGTTGCAAAGTTTCGTCTTCCAGTCTTGGGATTGAATTGTTATATCCTAGCCTCCAGCGTAATTCAAAGTGGTATATCGCGTTAAAACGAACTCCTATTTGACTTCATTCACCTAACCCTTATGAAACCAATCCAGCCTCTTTTATTCGGAAATGATTTTTTTTAATTCACGGCCTAACCACAGCATACGGTGGCTTCCTTCGCAGCACTTGTTTGCTGTCCACTGATATAATCGTTAGGGTTGAAAGAAAACATAGTGCTCAAGGGGTTTATTAAAACACTTACCCGCCTAGCTTCTCCCACTGGAAGATGAAACTGCCGATGTAGGCACCAATGAAGATGCAGATGATGATGTAACCGTTGTAGTACATAGCAAGCCTAATGAAATATACTAGTTAGCCACATTAATCCGCTTTGATGTTATCGGGCAATGCAAGGAATAAAATTAGGAGACCTACAGCATGAGGAAGTAAGCCACGACAAACTGGGCTGTGTGAAGGAAGGCACGGATAGCCTGCTCGATCAGCTTGGGTCGATAACCGTTACCAGCTACGGGGTTGACTGAGGGTGGCTCTCTAGCAGGAGTCTGGCCGGGTTTTGACGAAGTGCGACCGTTCTCGTTATCATTGCTAGCAACAGAAACAACGAGGCCATGGCTAGCATTGTTGCGGACGAGGTAGTTGTCGTACTCTTTAACAGAGCGGCGCAGGAACTCGAGTAGGATAGCAAGCAGGATGACACCAATGCAAGAGCCTGCAAACATTCCCTTTGACGTGATGTGCCAAGAGGAAGAAATAAAGCAGGCATCAACAGTGTACCAGTTCCAGAGCATCTATTCATATTAGCTAGTCCTTACTATTACAAGTTTAAATAATCAATTGCATAGATAGAAGTCCGCTTACGTTGATCTGGCAGCCTCCTCCCATGCCCGTATTCATATCCATTGAGGCAGTGCTCGACGACGATGCAGCAGCAGTCATAGTTGGGGTTGCCATGTTCATCGTGCTAGACGTCGTCATTGATTCCATCTCCATCTTGGCTGGATCATGGGAATTGCGTCACAGGCGGTAAAGAAAAGAAGAAAAGAAAAAAAAAGTAAAAACCTGCCAGCAGAGAAATTTTGAGTTAAAGGCAGTGCAGCAGAAACAACGGGAAGACAGTTGACAGTGGACGGCAGGTCGAACCTTAATTATTTACGGTTGTCATAGCTTTCGATGTTCCAATCTGATAGACTGACCGTTGAAGGAATTTACATGTAGCCACCCTTGTTGTGCCACCGCATGGGCTGTAATACATACATGTAGTTTGATCCTGAAAATCTAACAGATGTAGATAGTTCCAGACTGTTGGTACCTTGACATATAAAATACCTACTGTAGGTACCTATTCCTGGGCCGGGGGCACATTTGAGCAAGTTATGGCCGTAAGGTCCACCTGCCGCCTTACAATATTGTACAGTATAAGGTGGGCAACTACAACCTTTGCGGCCTTCTACTTACGCGCCTATTGGGCACCCCTAACCTATGGTCACACAAGAGAGCAAATATTGTACATCTCCGCTTGTAGCTTCGTCTAGGTATCTTTGTTATCGTTAGACCCAAACTCTTTTCGGCTGCTATCGCGCTTTAATTGGTCTTCTACAATTTGATGCCAATTATACCGCCAACCGTACGTGAGTCTGCTTCGGAGAATTCAACTTTAATCTATCATCTATCATATCAACAGGTAGATACGACTAGGCAATATTTCAGATTACTCACAAGCCACATCAAACAGCCTTAGCAAGTGCAAAAATATTTATTATTACTTTTCTTAAAGACAGATACACATCTCGATTCTTTATTGGAATCCCTAAGCGAGATCTATATCGCTAGTCTCGGAAAATCTCCACGGCCCTTCTCCTATTATGGCAGGAAAATGTACGACAGTGTCCGCAGTGTCTTAGCACAGACTTATACGAAGACGTAATCGGTGTCGCATTCTAGAGATGTTGGATTAGGTGGCTGACACGAGGCGGAAGAAACAATCAGCCTTGATGGTTAGGTTAGCCTTCGGCAATACCTTCTTGGAAACATGATTGGCGATCACTTACGATGTACAACACCCTCTGGACTTGACATTTTTCTGAGGCTCCGAAGGAATCTTTTCTCGCTTCGACGCCTCTCGCTTTCGAAAATCATCTCTACTCTGACCAGTGGCACACAAAGCGAAATATACCGCCCCGTCGGAGTCGGTTCCGTTATCCTGTACGGCTAATTTTCCCGTCATTTCCCCAGTGGCAAGGGATTCCCGCACTACCTTAGCCTTAGTGACATACAAAACCTCACTGCCAGCTACCTTCGCCACGCAGTTATGCCAAGGAGTAGGAATGTGCAATAGGTCACGAGAAGTCATAGAGTTGCTGTGCGGCAAGAGTGATTCAACTGCTCTGACCAATTTGGGGTCAAAAAGTTGAACACCGAACTTGGGTCCAGCATTGTTGTGTCTAAGGGGTACATATCGTTAGTTTTGTCCCCGTCAAGACTAGTGCGACAATGTCTGAGGTTAGGCCTGGGTAACTTACGCGTGGATCGACAACCGAATGTGGTTGGGGAAGAGTAGTTCCACAAGGTTTGAGTATGCTTGATTTCTCTACCACCGTTGCGGTTAGTTGGTTTTTGCTGCTCTATACAGCTCGAGGATGAAATTTGGGTACGGAAAGGGGCTTTACCATCATCATCTCAAATGCTACTTTGGACGAGAGTTTCTTCTGCTTTGAGCGGCTCATTGTTCGCGTAAACGGATGGAGCTCTAGATCCTCAAGCATGAACCGCGAAAATCCGCGATATAATGCTAGGACCCCAGCCTCTTGGGACTCAATCTTAGCTCGGAGCGCAGTCTTCTGCGATTGGCACCCAGCCATTAAGAGACGTCGGCAAAGTTCGGCTTCTACTGTTATTCGCGTCTGGACATAGTGATTGATGGACGGAATATCGAGTTTGGTAATCTTCGCAATCTTGGACGGGCTATTGTACTTCTCCAGCTCAAAGAGGTCGACAAGAGATTTGAAACCTACTCGGTCTATGTTGCCCCTTTGGAAGCCGATTTCTCGGTTCATTTTGATCAACTTCTGACTATACGCGTCTACATCTTTATCGTCGACACCAACTATATACGTTAGTACAATTTGTTAGAGTCAGGGACAAAGATGGCACATACTGCAGTCGCTGAAAACATGTCCGTCGCTAATTATCCAGAGCTTTGCACCTGCGCTGTATATAGCTTCGACAGCTTCGACAAAGCCGTGAAGATGTTCTATGGCCAGCTGCTCGCCATAATCCGGGTCTTTACCCGTGACCTTGTCTGTATTGGTCGATTTACAGGGGAAGGCGGGCAGGCAAAATTCTAGCTTTTGACCCTGGGAAGTAAAATGGTGAACGCGTTCCGTAAAGTAAACCCGTCCAGAGACACTCCACTTATCATCTTCACCTTGATATCGAAGGTACGTGTCGAACAGGGACACTATTTTCTCCGTAGCCAACTCGGTATAAAGATCAGAAGGACCCGGATCAGCCTGATCAGCGATGGCAAAGTTGGCCTGGCGAAGGAGCAAACGATTGAAAAAGGCCTCGAACTCTCTCTTAGCATCCGTGGGGTTTACTAGGTTATCAAGGATGATTCCGGTAAAAGATCCATTCGAGCTCTGATATAGCTCGTACAATTGCAAGCCCTGTAAGTCGTCGTCCAGCTCAGCGCAATAATAGGGTGTCTTTTCTACGCTGACTGTGTCATTCCAAGTACAAAGGTCGACGCTGATGATGTGCCAGTATTGTCTGATTCGGGCTTCCTGCGGACCTGTGCAATACAAGAGGTTACCATACGAGTCGCGAGAGAAGGCGGCCTGAAATCGATAGTAAATCGACTCTCCTTCTTGGGGAATCTCCATGGTAGGCTGATGGCAACTTCCGCTGGCTGATCCCAAGATGCGTGTCAGGTAAGGATGGGGCAGCTCTTGAGAAACGGAACACCGAAGATATCCTGGGGATCCGAGGATACATATCCGAATATATCTTGCTCAGTTTCCCCAATCATTTCGTTTGTCAATATATCCAAATCACTGTGGATCCATTTACTCTCAACATCGAAGGGCTCGACGTGCCATAGCTTGTGTCAGAAATCCCGAATCAAGACCGTTCCGGAAAGTATCTCCGCTTCAGACAGCAGAAGGTCCCATGAGACAGTTTCTTAGCGGCTTTTTACGATGGTGTCTAAAGCAAGGCACAAATATAAGAACTATAGCATCTTGAGCGGGACAAAATAGTCGAAGACTAGGATCTGGGGTTGAACTGAAGTCGCATGATAGACAAACCCCGAAGCGCTGAGCCGCAACGCGTGTAAGGTCTGCGAGATTGTCACGATCATCACAGGTGACAATGTTTCTTCAGGCAACATAAAGTTCTGGAAAGGATGCCTTCAAAGCAGCAGTCCGACCCAGATACGCATATAAAATAAGAAGAAGTGGAGAGCATAGAATATAGCGTGAGCTAATATGAGGTAGATGATCCTCAAGGTTGTTTCTCAATTAGGGATGGCGTGTCCGTTCCGTCGGGTCAACTACCGAATATCTGGGAGATATACTTGAGGTAGGTATGTGGTTTTATCTTCTACTATCTTCTACCACTATTTATTTAACTATTTATTGAGAGTTCCTTTCTGTCACTGACGCAGCCTAGTCGTGGGCTTGATAAAGAAAAACTAAGAATAGAAAAGGGGATCAAATCCCTCGCGTACTACCTAGGTAGGTAATCAAAGACACAGAATCTCGTCTTGCCTTAAGGATGTGTGAGTATTATCCACATTCCCCTGCCAAATATCTAGAGTCCTTCTTGCTTTGAGACTCTAACTAGCTGTTTTGTATATGTATGCCTGTCACATAGGAACCCTAATTGGGTAGCATATAGCATATATATCTAGATGTAACGGTTGTTTCAGTAAAATTCTTGGGCTAACTGTACTATTCCCAATGTTCTTCTAAATCTTGTTGACTACCTGGAAAGGGGTCAGAGCGATACTTTCCATGGTCTTACCTCAAATAAGGTTGCTTAATGTAACTTGACATGTAGATGCGGGAGAATTATCTAAGGTTTCGAGATGATGGCTTGTACATAACTGTCATATAGCGCCATATGCTACCCCCTTTTTCCTGGCCGACTTCTGTAATTATGGAAATAGGCACAAAGGCAGCCAAGGCTAGGCTGGGTTATACCCGCGTACTTGACTACTTGACATGGAATAATCAAGGTTTAGGTTATGTATTCCAACAACCCAAAAGCCCATATTAATTGGGTTGTCAAGTGGTACAGTTAACTTGTAAGCCAGGTCGTGTTTTCTCTTCAATATTTTCTACTTCTTCAGCGTTTGAAACATAACTGTACTCTGGTAACCGAAGAGTTAGACCTAGGAATCATATTCATATTATTCATATTATTCATATCCAAAGAAACTGCCTAACCTAGGCGTACGCAATAGAGAACTTAAAGCTCAGAGCGCACGTATGATACCCGAACCTCTTGCATAGGTACCACCCACCAGAGGTACATCTTGTCACTCACCCGCCCGACTACCACGTACACAGTCCACCAAGGAAACCCGCCGTGTTTTTACCTACTCACGCCCCGCTCGTCGAAAACGACCTCGAAATCTCGCTAAGCCTCCGCGGCGCCAACGCGTCTTCTGGCCGATCGCTCGACGTAGACTTCGAAGTATGTCTGCGCGCCAAGTTGATCCTGCGGGAAATGCTTTCCTTGATAGACGAGCCCTCGCCATTAGCCTTGCTCGAGCTGCGCCGTAGTCCGTCTAGGAACTTGACCTGCTTCTTCTTCTTCTCCGGGACGGCAGACTCGTCGCTCGTGGGCCTGGCTCGGTTCTGTAGGGTGTGCATGCCCTCGAACCCACGCGGCTGCTGCGTTACTACGCCGTCTTCGGCAACGTCTACTACCCCGGCATGCGGGTCTACGCCGTACGACCGTAGCATGTCGTCGTGTTCCTTGACAGCCTGCTCCGCGCGATGCGTCGCCAGCACAGCCGCTACGTCGATGCCCGCGCGCGCCATCTCCGGTCTGGCATTGACGTAGCGATCCGTAAACGGGGTCCAGAAATCCTGTCCAAGTAGCGTCGGTAGTAATCTCGGCTCCAAAACATGATTCGTACGCGCCGCCTTATCCAAGATCCAAAAGACATCTCCGGCAATCGTCTCCAGCGCCAAATCCGCCTTCCTCTTCTCGTCACCACCACTCCCACCCTCCTCCTCCCCCTCCCCTCCAATCCTCTCCCTCCTACGAAGATAATCCACATACCCCGCCGCCGCATGATCCAACTGACTCGCCAAGCCCAGCACCCACGCGCCACCAACCCTCGACCGTATCCTCTCCAGCCTCTCGAACCCATCGTCGAGGTACTTGATACGCACGCGACACACCTTCCCACCCCCGTCTCCGTCCCCGTTACCACCACCACCACCACCCCCACCGCCACTTTTAACCGGCACCCCCACCGAGTCCGCAAACGCATCGTACCCGCTCGCCGCCAGCCACGCGCGCACGTTATCCTTAGCGTGCGCCGAGCACAGGATGCTCACGCGCGAGACCCGCCGCGCGGCGAACCCGTGGTCCGCGAGCGCGCCCAGCCCGCAGATCGCGTACGGCACGTGTTCGAGGGCCGCGGCGATGGTGCCGAAGACCTGCGCTAGCTCGGCCGGCGTCAGACTCGACGTGCTCCAGCGAGCGCGGGGGTCCGCGCCGCCGGCCGTCGTTGGGAAGCGTTGGCGCGGCAGGCCGGGGCGCGTGTGTGCTGGGAGGGGCGGGCGGGGGAGCTGTGGTCCCGCCGGGGCGGACCGCATGGGTTGTTCGCTCTCTAGTCTGGCGGGGAGGTGAAGCGGACGCTGGCGGCGGTCTAAGTTCTCTCTTACCTGGGCGTTGTACCGGTTGCGAAGGGACGTCGAGTCCGTTGGGGTCGTTGGGCTGGACATTTCGTTCGGGCTAGGCATACAGCACCAGATTAGGTTTAGGGACAATCTATCCGTATTAGAAGGCATAGCGTTCGACTGGCGTGGGATACTCACTGTGGAATTAGTTATAGTTTCGATCGTCGTATAGTTGTATGTAAACTTAGGCTTTGCTAATGTAGGACGAAACGGGATAACTGGTTGGTGCTTTTATTCGGCGATTATAATTGTATGGATGCGGAACAGGGCGCGGGCTAGGTTATATAACTTCTAAACAATGTCTTTGATCATAGGCGACGTCTTTGTAAAATTATCGAATACCTTTTTATAACCTGATCTTCAAAGATCGACTGCTTTACTTCAAGAGGAACAATCCTGAAGCTGAAGAATGAACCTTTGGTGTAGGAACATTGTTATAGATAATAACAATGCTTAACAAGGACAAAGCGTGGACAGTAGATCGAAGTAACCCTAGAAAACAAAAAGTCAACAATACGTAGCTACATAAGCATACAGAAATCGAAACCCTTCACAGTAGAAAAAGACTAAGATGGTATTAGCATGGGCGGAAATATTCCCTTGTTCGTGATACCTCGCTAGCACATATGCAAGACCGAGCCGTGAAACGAGCCGTTCATTATCGGGCTCTCTAGACCGGGCCCGCTAGCCCTTCCAACGCCTATGATACACTGCTGAGGATCGAGGCCTCAGATTGGAATTAAATTTGTTCTCGAGAATGCAGATTTACAATTCCTCGTCCTCGACGTCCATATGATCCCCATTTGATTGGCCGTTAGCCGCTGCATCCTTCTTGGGCATCGTAGCTTCTTTGTCGATCATCTGCCTCGACACGGAAACGATGTTGTCCTCGATAAGCTTCTGTCCAACATCCTCAAGATGCTTCTTGGGGTCCAGCTTGCCAACGTAGCGCGTCTTAAGTTGGTCCTTGGTTAACTCGGTCTCCTCCTTGACTCTCTTCTCGTAGCCCTCGGCTAAGGTCACCAGTGTCTTGAAACGATCCTTGTTCTGCTCGTCCTCGTGTCTAAAGTCTTCCATCTGCAATGCCTCGGTCCATACGTGCTTGTGCAGGTTCATGAGCATGTTCTCCTCCAGCGCGGTCTTGCGATAGTTGATGCCTATGGAGTAGTAGTGTCGGTTGAGTCCGTGAATAAGCGCTTGGATAGAGGGCTTATTCAGGTGACCCAGGTTGGAAGTACTCTGTCTTGGCTCTTGTCCGAGCATCAGAGATTGCGGGTTGATGAGACGGAAAGCATCGATGACAACCTTTCCTTTGACTGACTGTATGGGATCGACGACGACGGCGACGGCTCTCGGCGTTAACTGCTCGAAGCTTTGTTGGGTGTTGATATCGACCGAGGAAAGCCAACATCCGAATCCGGGATGAGAATGGTACCATCCAACGACCGACTCAGGTCTGTATAGCAGTATTAGTACAATTATAGGTATAGGAACAGAGGTAGACGGGACAATCTTACCGTCCGGTCTGCGTCAACATGTCCATCATCTTCTGCTGGAATACCGGGTCGACAGCTTCGACACTGACACCGGTACCGCTCTGGGGCATAGCAAAGACGTCCACCACTCGTACTGTGAAATCGTCGACGAACTCTCCCAGCATAAGTCCCATGACTTCCATGGGCACACCAGCTCGTCCGTGTCGTAACATCTTGAGTAGCGTAAGGGAGGAGATGTATACGGTCTCGGAGTTATCGATTAGGTTTTGGTTATCCTATTTGGATAGTATATTAGCACCCATCCGGGCTATCTAGAAGACTTATGCCGTCGAGAACTAGGCTTCTTACCGTCCCCGGAGCGGCGCCGAGTCCCATGCCGCTGGCACCGGCAAGCATTCTGTTCAACCGATCCATCTTGATATATCGGCGCTATGGCAGTGTGAATTGCAGTGTGAATTGCAGTAAGTTAACAAGATGCACCGAGTCGTAAAACCAACGTAGATTGACGACTGGACTGGCGGGAATAACGGGTAAGAGTAGAGTGTAGTAGTGCGCGGTAATGCTTAATATTGGTAGAATTATTTAAGAGGCAATCTTGCGAAAAGATGAATGATGGAAGCTCGCATCAAAATGCAGGCGTTGACGAAGCCCGGGTCTGCCTGCATAACGTACCTTAGGTAATTACCTAAGCACCCAACGCTAAAAGCTATTAGCTTTTGATCGATAAGGGAGCTCGGGCCAGGTATGGATATTTCCACGTGACTTGATCGTTTCTTAGTTTCCGGGAGGTACGAAGTACATTAGGTAGGTACAGGTTCCATATGTAGCTCCATGCCCGTGCCGATATCCATATTTTCAGCCTTCATCAGTCTCCGTTAGGCGCATGTACCTTTGCACCTAGGTTAGGTAAGCACTAAATCTTTAGTGCCGTCACCGTCGGAGCCAATCCCAACGTCGCTTCGTCGCCCAGTCCGGTCAGGAGCATCAACCTGTTTAACGCTTATAGAAACGTGCATGTCAACTAACGAGGCTATGCGCTACCTATGTATATGGTAATGTTTACTATGTAGAAAACCAACGTTAAGTCATAAGATATGATAGACTCCGGTATAAGTAAGTGGAAGCATAAACACCTACCTACCTACCTACCTATGTTATGAGTATTGAATATTAATTCTTTTTATTATCATATAACTAAATGAATATAAACATTCACAGAGGTTAGCCCCGGGCTCGGGGGCGATCACGTACGTCGCACTACATGGCTGAGCTGATATGATTCGGGCGGCCTACAGCTCCTTGGTTGGGTTCCATTCACTTACCTGATAACACAATAAAAGCCCTGTTTACTTCATAATCCCGACCCTCCTTTACCTCGTCATGGGGTCTGATAGGCCAGGATGGGGCACACACAGCCTGCCTGGCGACAAACTCGGGATCGTCTACCCATTATAAGCCCATGTTCCTGCCAGGAGGCTATACATATTTCCCAATGCCCTCAACATCACCTGTCAAACATTTACTTCGGAGCTTCCAACGAACAAGCTTCACGATGTCTACATACGGTCTGTTCCAGGTACACGACTCGGGGGAGGCCAAGGTTGAGTACGAGGTTGAGACTTTTATAATTCTTGAGTCTTTACTAACTTAGCATACTAGTATCGTGCTCTTACACGGGCTACGGGGTGACATAGAGAAGACGTGGACTAAGGACGGCGTTATATGGCCGAAGGACTTATTGCCCCTGGATGTCCCCGAGAGCCGTATCTTCCTCTTCGGCTACGATACTAGCATTGCCCAGAAAGACCTCACGCGGGTCGCAAACACAGAAATCCATAGCGATGCTAACGATCTCTGCTCTAAGCTTGTGGCTGAGCGCTCGAGCACCGGCACGGCATGTATATCTAAGATCCGACTCAGTATTACTTCTAACTTACAATCCAGGACAACCGCCCTATCATCTTCATCGCCCACAGTCTCGGCGGCCTAGTCGCAGCCCAGGTCCTCGTCCACGGCGACCAGCGCGCCGAGGCATCGAGCGCCGAGGCCATCGCCAAGAACATCCGGGGCATGATATTCCTCGGGACGCCGTTCAGGGGGTCTCCCTCGGCGCGGAAAGCCGAAGCCGCTCGGCGGATCCTGCAGGTCTTCGGGGTCAACACGCAAGAGCACACGTTGAAGCTCCTCGGCGTCGACTCCGAGCGCTTGGACGAGCTGACCAAGGCTTTCCCCGAGGTCCTTAATAAGCGTCGGGCTTCTAAGAACCCCTCGGATAGGATCGAGGCGTTCTTTTTCTACGAGGTTTTGAAGACGAAGATCGGGTTTGGCTCGACGCAGGTTAGTACTTGGGCGATCGTATATGTTCCAATGTTCCAATCAGTTCTCCCGAAGTAACAGGTCACTTTGCTAGATCGTCGAGCCCGAGTCCGCCCAGCTTCCAGGCTGTGGCGACGCAACCCCTATCCGCGCCGACCACATCGGCATCTGCAAATTCAAAACCCAGAAAGACGAGGGCTACGGCGTGGTCGTGGCCGCTATCCGGAAGATCATGATGCCTACCGGTGGCGAATCCCAACAGGTAAATCACATGCTTAACATGCCTATACCTACCTATCTGCCTGACAAGGCTCGGGGGAAGTGTAACAATTCGGTGTGGAATGGCCCTGCTAACTGTTACACCACCACTCACAGGGAACCAAGATCATCAACATCCTGGGCCGGGCTGTAAACGTCGCAGCTGACGACATCAACATCCAGAACCAGACGGTCAACTTCTAAAGAGGATACACCGGGGGAGATCTCATGCAGGCTAGGTACCTAACCGATCCAAGACCAGTGACATGGAATTTTCAAAAAAAAAAAAAAAAAAAAAAAAAAAGCGTGGCTTAGAGCGGGAGAAGGACAAGTACCTAGTAAATAGCGCATCTTGTATCTACCTACCAATCCCACCGTGCCGGGCACGTTGTTGCAGAGCTGCACCTGTGGCTCGCTATGTATACATACCTATGTCACCTCCCCCCCCCTCGTCAGCATTCCGCCCCCAAATCTCCACCCGAATCCCTGACCTATCACATCCATCTCCCTGCTCCCTGCGCTATTCGCCAGAGGCGCATCCCAGGCTCTGGTACCGACGTTCAGCTGAAACACCATTACAAGCTATCAGCTGTGCGTTTTGCTGCATGTTAGGTACGATTCGGGAATAGTGTTTCTGTAGAGAAGACTCCGTCTTGGGAAATAGTGCTGGGGATACCTACCTACGTTAGGTAGTTAGGTTAGTTAGTAAGGTATCTTTGGATATAGGAGGCTGGCATATGTAAAAGTGACTCTAGCTCATCGATTTCATGTTCGATTTCATATTAGCTGCGCGTCGTCCCTATGTAGAGAAGGTAGGTAGATACGCAGGGCAAGATCACCATGTCCGAGCCGCCAACAGTCTGTACGTGTATTCAATTAACGAAAGTCCCAATTTACGATCTCCTATATATTCCCAAACGAGCACATATAATCACCACATCGCTACATCGTAATCTTACATCCCAGGGTTTGATCATGTAAGTTCACCTCTTCCTCTTCTTCGACTTTTTCTTCCTGGGTTTCAGATCCTCCTCGCCCGAATCATCGTCGTCAGATGTCCTCTTTTTCCTCTTCGACTTATTATTAGGTTTTCTCACCTCATCACTGTCGTCGTCCCCAGAGTCGTCGCTGTCATTTTCGTTTTCATTGTCGTCGGAGTCGTCCCCGTTGTCGTCATCGCTAGAGTTCTCATAAGGGAGGTCCTCCGAACTACCTTCCTCAGACTCCACCCTTTTGCCTGTCTTTTTCCTCCTGTTGTTGTTGTTTTTCTCGTACGCATAGATCGGGTCCGCGCGACGCGTTACAACTGGGTAGCCCGGCCAATTGTCTAGTCTGAGGATTCCGTCCCGGGCTAGTTGGGAGTCGTCTTTCCCTAAGCTAAGCTCTTTGAGGTAGCTGTCGAATTCGATGGCTCTCTCCGCGACTTTAGCGAAGTGTTCTTTTCGAATTTCCAGAGGCTTCCCCTGAGTTCTAGCTTCGTAGTTGGCAATGGCGATAGCGGTCTGGAAAGCATTTCGTATTTGCCTATAGCGAAAGACACGTTAGATAGTGTTATGCTACTATTATAGCGTAACTCACCGTCCATTCCAAGGACGCAGCTGCAACTTCTTCAATCTTTTGAACTGCTTCTCTGCGTAGCTCAGTATCTCCTTTTTCGGGAATTTGAATTCTCTCTTTTCGCTCTTAAACTCGTCTTGAAGCCTGTCTAGGTTGTTCTCCCAGATTTGCAAGGTTCTTTTTCGATTTAGCTTGGGATAATAAAGAGAGAGATGTATACGAGATTTGAATGCTCTGTCGATAGTCCCGACTCTGTTAGTAGTGAGGAAGAGAATACCCTATCACCCATTTGTTAGTGTGTCTTTACTAATGACCACTACACGATATGCTACTGACACTATAGTACTCCAATGTTCGTAAGAAGACTGTTTTGTAATTCTGTTCTCAGTACATGTTATAGCAAGTATTGACGGGCAAATACTTACCTGACACGATGGCGTTGCGTGTAATATCGTGGTTTGTGCGTCTACTCAGAAATATACTGTATCCTACTTAGCAAAGCCCTATTCCCTATTATCTAAGTCGCATGGGGTATGCCTTCTTACTCAGCTTCGTCTAGGAGAAGTACGCAGCCCCATTTATGGGCTAGCTGGAAGTTCCTCTCGAGATTCGTCTCCACAAGCTGCGCATTGTCCCCTATATCGCCACATGTGACTGGGAACAGCGGTCTCTTGGTATGATCGGCCACGCACTCGGCAGTGCTTGTCTTGCCAACGCCGGGTTCGCCATGAAGGAGGATGGTGAGGCCTTTGCCTTTTCCTTGAACCAGGTCTATTGGTGATAGCATACCCTCCCCCTGGGGTTCTTGATTGTGAGGCTTTTGGTGGTACTCGACCAACGCGAGAATAGTGTCCTTGATGGGGTCGTCAATAACGAGATTTTTCCAGCCGTTCTTGTATTTGACTTCGCGGAGAAGATCGATATCGAAGGTCGCCCATCTTCTGGTATGGAGAACGAAGCCAAAGACCTTGGGAGGCAGTAATACTAGTTGGTCATCTGTCAGTTGGTCCACAAGCCACGTCGAATTGAGAATGGATCGTTTTTGGTTCCTAATCTCGTTGCGATCCTTTTCGTCAACTTCGAAATCGTCATAAATTACATCGTTTCCACAGCACCCTACCGCATCGCACATCGCACAATATGGGTGAATGTCTTTCAGCTCTCGCGGGTCATCGTCGGCAAGATTTTCAACCCCTATCTCGGGCTTGTTCTCTGGCTGTTCGACGAACGAGAGCTGAAAGTCAATAATAACCTCGGACTCAACCTGGATACCGCTGTTAGAAGTATATCAAGTTATATGGTGCCGTAGGATCACTATACCTGCTCTGGGCGTTTGTCGAGGGTTAGGCCCCTGTATAGTTTATGCGCCGTCTTGGCCGGGTTCGATAGTTCTGCAAATTTCTTTCCCCTTTCCAATAGTTCATTCCGAAGTTTCTTACTGTCAGCTTCGATTTCGAGAGGGATTACCGGGAGCGATGTAATCTCCCTTGCACCATCAAACTTAGGCATTTGGAATGTTTGGTTGACAGGTCCGTACTGCTTGCCATCAAAGTGCATATAGAAGCATTCTATGATGAGTGATCCAGTAGAATAGCCCGCTTCTTTCAACTTGATCGACGCATGGTTGGTAGGAGGCTCTTTCCAAGGGTTTAGTATATCTCGTCCGCCTGTTACTTTAAGTATACGGTATCTACTCTAACGTCAGCATATTATTTAAGGTACCGAACAATAATATTTGGTGTCTCTCACAGCTGAACTTGGCTCTTGCCTGTCGTTCGTACTTCATCTCCAGTTTTGAATATGTACCAGAGATCTTCAAAATAAACCATCTGTCCGATAGGACTTAATCGATGTCGTAAATTAACCTTTGGCTGTAAATATTTACGTATCACATCGCACAAGAGGCCAAGATGGACCCGTGCCTCTTCTGTCTCTGTCTCGTTCGGAACACCATGGTACCCTCCAGGTGCTGCTTCTAATGTTAGTCTGCAGCTTCGTAAAAAGTTGGAGGAGTCTACTTACGAGTAGTCTTATTAGTGATTTGTTGAAGGTGATCCCGTAGCTTGTCAGTATATTCAACTAGGAGCTTGAATGGCTTGAAGAATACAAGTTTGTGCCGGTGCTGGCCAACAACTGTCTCAAGCCCAGTTGCTTCTTTGAGTACCTTTAACAGGATTGGTGATCTAATCCGGATACGATAAGGTGTCCCTGGCTTTTCCCTACTTGCTGCGCTTGGTATGAAGTCATGTTGACTCGGCATTTCGAGGCCCGGCAATTTTCCTTGGGGATTTTGTTGGCCTGGAAGTTGAATCTTCTCGGTCTTGCGGATCACATCGTATCTCGGCTCTTCTATTAGCACCTCAATTACTGGCTTCGGCGTTGGATCAAGCTCTGCTACGTGCTGCCAAGAACTCGAGCTAGCTTTCGGATCAAGGTCAGCTCTCACGCCGTACTCTGACCAGGTCAGCTCGTTGATAACGCTAGTACTTGGTGGGATTGACGCCGGTGCTTGCTCGTCTAATTGTGGTTCGGGCTCCTTAAGGATCTTTCGAAGTGTCTTTTCGAGGTGTAGTATGCGATCTTCCACTAAGTTAAGGTATGATTGAGATTGAGCTAGCCTTCGTCTGGCTTTTTTACGTCTCCCTGGAAGTGCCTCAGCATCATGATAGGACTCGTCATACAGGATCGATATCCATCTCCTATCACTTATTTTATCATCCTCGGATAGTTCGGCGGCGAGATCGGATTTCTTCTTTACGTTCTCTTCTTCTTGTCCACCATTCTCTGTCGTGCCGTGATCTGCATCTTTTCCATTTACATCCTCTGTTCCAGTGTCATTGGATAAGCCTTCATTGTCATGGCTATCATCTATATCTGTTGCCATGGTGGAGTTGTGCGATGAGATGGTGTCGGCGTTCGTGAGAAGGGAGGAGGTATTAGACGATGAATCATCTATAGTCGCCGCCATTCAAATCATCTAAGTTGTAGGTGATAGTGTAGGGGGGATTCATACGAGGCTCTGGGCGAATTACTGTGGAGTTAAATCAGAAGAACGTTCTAAGCTGCCTGTGCCTCAGAGTATAAGTTTAGGGTATGATTATAATTCCGTAAAGGATAAGGCTACGGGTTCTCATGACAACTCCTTCCCTTCCTTTCCAGTCGGTCCGAAGTATTAATAGACATGTTGGGTAATAGTCTACATGTACATATAGCAATCGAGGCTATAGGAAAGCGAGGATCCCCACCCCCCTTTAATAGACTAGAGCTTTTGAGCTGAGAGAGCCGCATTAGTGGCACGATATTTATTGCCGCTTACATCAAGTCTACCAATTATATTTTGGACACTCCCCAGTTGACAAGGATTCCAAATATACATACAGGGCAATCCATTACCAAAGGAGTCGCACTGTATACGAGACCATACTATTGCCTTACGTACCCAATATACCTTGCAAGCCACGGGGTTCGACATGATCACCAGCCGTATCACCATCCTCTTACTTTATAGAATATTCACATCTTATAATAGTATACAATATTGAGCCGAAATGATAAGTAGACGTCGCAATGGAAGTCGAGGGCCGAAACTTACAAATAGACGGAAAAGCAGTCAATGCGGCCCAAGGTGACGTTTCGGTTGAAAATCAGCATATTGATCAAAGAAAGGATCATGAAATCAACCAGAATCACCAGACACACGTGGTTATTAACAACCAATATGACAGGGGCATCTATGAACGTCGCATGGTACCAGCAGACCCTGCTGCCTCATTTATCGATCAATTACTATTGAGGGCTATTATTCTCGCTCAAAGCGATGACATCAAATACGACGACCGTGTCGGGAGCCACGTCCGCGTGGAACAGGCCGATCGCCTGACGGAGCAAATGTACGTCGTTCTGTCGCCTATATTATACGAGAGCTAATCATCTATCCGGGCTTAGTGCCTCACTATGGGACAATACATCACCGGCAGTAGATAATATCAACAAGTCTATTCGAAAGTTCCGGATCCAGGTATTAGAGCCAGAGATAGGCAAAGACAATACACCGACTCTCCCACATAAGTCACTAGAGGATTCAGTGACCTGGGTCCGAGCAAGTTTAGCATGTGCAATTTCTCAATCCAGAGACGTTTATACGACTCGAAGAAGCACCTCACTCCTTCTCCTTGATCTTAAGAAGCATATTTATCCTTATTGCTATTGGGTGAGCTTGCTTAGGAATCAAAATAAATCATGCTGCTTGAGTGGTAAGTTTTTATATAATGAGATCTAAGGCTGTCTTCTAATATTGATATTATCAGACGCATTCGGCTGTTTGATCTCGGTATGTCTTCAGTCTTACAATATCTGCCTTGATTTTTTAACTGCATTTCACTTATATAGGTACCTACTATAGGCTACTATAGGTGGTGTTGAAATCGACTCTGCTATTCTCAGATGCCTAGACGAACTCGCACAGATGTTCTACCACGCCGAAGATTATCTAGCTCTTTGCGCATCTCGCACTCTTAACAAGCCTCTTCATGAGGATACCGTTCAGACGTTTGAAATCTTAGTAATACTACTCCAAGAATTACTCGAGTATGCCTGGAGAGGTAACAAATTAAATAGTATGGATAGCTATACCCTCATTAGCATCACATAGACAACTAATTATAAAAAAGAAAGCCAGAAACAAAATATATCACTCCAGACGGACGAGCTCAAGAAAAGTCTTTTTGAAATGAATATAAAGTCCAAAACACTAAAGAACCCAATCAGGGCAAACGACCTCAATACATACCACAGCGGAGATCTTGGTTTATACGTCCTTCGAACTCTCAAGACGTTCCTCAACTCGGCCGCTTCACATAATTCGGCAGATGACATACCCTACCGCAGGAAAGAGGCTTCGAGAGAAAGTGTGCCGTGCAAGGCAAACGACGGTACGAGACCTATGAAGCTGCTTAACTATAACACTTAGGTACTTAGATATCTATCCAATATACTAACTCAATTTCAGGCCTCTCTCCCGCCACGGTAGCAACACAGTACCTACTCCACGATCAAAGCCGAGTAATCCAAGATTTCGAAGATGCCGCATCGCCAAGCAACATCGGCAGCGAGGAGATGCGCCAGCTATCCACCTTGACCAGACGAGAGGAATTCAAAATCTGGCTGCAGGAAGACAGCAAAGCTACAAAGCTCCTCATACACGGCGGCCTCGACGACAGCAGCACCCTCTCCGCCCTCTCCTACCTCTGCGCCCGCATCCCCATGGAATACCTCCGGAAAACCCGCACTGGATTCATATGCCTGCATTACTTCTGCAGCCTGCGAAGAGCGCGTCGCGAAGACCCCGCCGACGCATTCGACATCGTGCGCAGCCTCTGCGGCCAGCTCCTCGCGCACGCCGAGGTAGCCTCCGATTTCGACCTAAGTTTCCTCGACAAGAAATGGCTGCACGGGGTCCGCGAGCACGACTTCGTCAAAACATGCCAGTTGTTTCTGCGCCTCCTGAAGCAGCTCGACAGGAAGAAGATAGTTGTGTTCTGCTTCGTAGACTCCATCTCGCTGTACGAGACGGGCAGCCTACGACACAATACCGAGAGGCTCTTTTCGTCGCTTGAGGAGTATTCCAAGTCCCAAAGACGCCGGCGGAGAGGTAACCGGCCGAAGCTGATATTTAAGCTGCTTGTGACGGATGCCATGGCGACTGGTTATGTGCGCAAGTATTTTAGGAGAAAGGGGGAAATGATCGATATGGATGAAAGCGACGAGCGTGGCGATAATGACGATGTAGATTTGGATGTTCTTTACGGTTGACTTTTAACTTAGGTACACATACGGTAACGGGTGGACCGAACCTCTTAACAAAACAAATCGTTTGCCTCAGCAATAGCCTTGCCGTGGGCCTCTGCAGACATGTTTCCCTATCACGTCGTCGCGAGGCTTGAACTTGCGGACGGTGAACTCTGGCAGCCCTTTTCGTGGCTCCCCGTTTTGCAGATGAGCGTTTCGAGAGTCGATAGTTGCTCCCGTCTGGGCAACGATATTGAAGCCTCTCCATAACCTTATATATATTCAAAGGTTCACAGGATGTAAATGGCTTCGGTTTTTACATACCATCGGCTACATCACCAGCTAAACTGAAATGGCAATACGCCAATACAGGCTCTGACTTCCTACCCCCGGTTATATGCTCGGCGTGCCGTGTCTATAGTGTATTAATCGTAGTGTCTGCGCTGCAGTTGTGTAACTCTCCCCTCTATCATCCGGAACGATTCCTACCCAATTGTCTAGAGTAAGGTTGTAGTGAATGGTTGCCCCCGGTATTACACACCAGTGATAATATTTGGTGTAGATATAGGGCCAAGCCAACTGCAAAAGAGAAATGCTATGAAAAATGTAAAGTCTACTTCTCCAAAACAGAACTTACTATATCCTCTTAACTACCTAGGTACCTATTTAACCACCCAAGGTTACGATCCACATATTATTTTCATCGAGGTAACAATATTGTTTGGTCAAATTAGATACGGTAACTTCAACACATCAGCAGATCACCTCAATCACGGGATTTAAAAACCATCACATAAAATCACAAAGCTCTAAGCAAAATAACCTAGCTAAGGAGCGAGCCCGCCAACTTAACGCAAGACGGCCGTCCCTCCGCCACTGATGCTGCCGGGAAACCTGAACGCCGTTCGCTCGGCTAATCTACAATGATCTGAAGAGGAACCCGATGAACACCATCCCTATTCCGTCCCATTCATCTCCTATACACCGGTTGCTTTAAAGACTTGGAAGAACGAGAAGATTCAAAACGTGGGTATCAAAATTAGTGTTTGGATCTTCTTAGGAGCTCGCATCTTCCTTTTCCTTGTCCTTGTCCTTGTCTTTACTGGCGGGCTCCGCAGAACTAGGCGACGCAGCGTCAGCTTTCTTTGCGGGCTGGTCCTTGGCGTCTGCTCCATTCTCTTGCTTTGGCTCAGGGACGGCGGCAACCGGGGCGTCCATGTCGACGTCCCCATCCTGATCGACTTTTTCAGCTTCCGGGGTGCTCTTAGCCTCTGGCGCTGCGCTAGGCGCCTTTTCAGCCTCTTCCGTTGGTGCTTTGCTTTCACCGACATCCCGCATCGTCTCGTCAGCCTCCTTAGATGTCTCAGTCTTTTCGCTCGCAGACTCGTTTTCAGCAGCAGCAGTCTTTTCGCTTTCACTGCCATCTTTATCGGACTTGGCGACTCCCTGGGATCCTTTTGGTGCTCCTTCCTGATCAGCAATACTAGCAGCCTTGCTTTCGTGCTCAGTATCCTTCTCCTCTGGCTGGGAGTTATCACGAGTATTTGCTTCGACCTCAGGTTCCTTGTCTACTACATCCTCCATAACGATGTCATCCGTCTCCTTGGATTTGATGACATGTTCAACAGAGCCGTTGGCAGGCGTCACGGCGCCGCTATCAGCTTCAACATCTGAATTGTGATAGTCGATGAATGTCCGTCGCGTGTTGCCGTTTCGATGAACTCCGTTTGCTTTGTCCAAGTCCTCATTATCGCTTTCCTCGTATTCGTTGTCCCGCTCTATGCGCTGTTCCCACTGGCGCTGACTCATGCGAACATCTTTATTTTCGTCCTCGTCGAGGTCGTCAAGCTCAGCTTCTTCTTCATCAGACATTGCTCCCATCGAGTGACGGGGAACATCCTGCATCTGAACAGATGGAGCATGGGCGGTACGTCGAAGATTTTCGATCAGTTGATTTTTTATCTTCTCTAGATACTCGGGGCTATTGGCGTTCTCCATGTTGGAGGCACGCACGTCAAGCGAGTAATCAGGCCCATAATACTGATTTCAAGGTTAGCTATCGAAGTAGTAGTGAAAAAGAGTGAAAAAGACTGTAATCTTACATCGTAATATTCATTAAATGGTAGGGTTCGATCCATCTGAGCATCAACAAGCAGACCAGTCTCAAAGGCCCAGGTACGGGCGACATTACGCATTGTGTAACCGCCACCACCAAGGACCAGAGTTGGTCGGTTGAAACTCTTGACGAACTTTACGCAGTTGGCATGTCCATCCATACTCAGGTTAAAACAACCGAGGCGGTCACCCGACAAACTGTCTCCGCCACATTGAAGAACGACCGCATCCGGATTATAGTATTCCATGACGGCTGATATGACCGGTTCGAAGATTGACTTGTATGAAGAATCATCTATGCCGTCGCGAAGGGGGAAATTAGTCGCGTAGTAACGGCCCTGGCCGATACCAATATCTCTCAGCTCGCCGGTTCCAGGGAAGTATTCGCCGTACTTATGAAAAGAAACCGTCATGACCCTATCTGTGGTATAAAAAGCTTCCTCGACGCCGTCGCCATGGTGTACATCGATATCTATATATAGGACGCGCTTATTAAATCGTAAGAGTTCGAGAATTCCGAGAACGATATCTACTCAGTAACCGTATTAGCATAGCCGAAGGGAAATGTATATCAAAGTCAGCAAGTCATATGAGATAATTCGTACCATTTACATAGCAGAAGCCACTAGCCTCAGACTTCTTTGCGTGATGGAGACCACCCGCCCAGTTGACTGCGATATCGCACTTTTGACGGTTAAGCCGAGCGGCACCCTCCATGCTACCACCGGCACTTATGCCACAGAATTCAAATAGTCCGTCAAATACCGGACAATCATCTCCAACGTTGTATTTGCCCTGTTCCCTCTGAAAATTGTCCATATTCTCGGGGGTGACTCGCTGTAAGAAATCTATGTACTCGTCGGTATGGAATTGGGTCATCTCGAGTCGCGTTGCAGGTTTCGCACGCTTTGGAATGTCAGCTATCCTGCTAGATAGAGTAACAGGCGCCATGATTACTCACGTAAATTTCCATCTTCTTGTACACACCATAATTCATAATCAAGCTGTGCGCCAACCGGATGCGATGAGGCTTCATTGGATGGCCTGACACGTAGGCGAAGTTTCCAATGTCGGAATCATAGAAATAAGCAACCTTCTTGGGAGAAGGAGCTCCCAAGGCGATGCCATTACCGTTCCAAATGTCAACGGGGGCTGCGTGGGCCATTGTTGATCGTGGGTTAACCAAAGGAGAATAAGAAAGAATAGGTTAAGATGGGAAAGTGTTAATGTCGGGCCAAGATCTCCAGAAACGCACCTATCGTGCCGAATACATGTAGCTATCGATAAGATTGGTGCATTGCGGCGTGCACCTACTAACCCGAACTAGTTGCTAGGGTATGTCAGGAGCCAATGGAGAGCTTAGACCATATTCACTCCTTCCAGTACCTTAGGTACATAGAACGTACGATTCCAAAATCTTTATAATTGTTTATATACGATTTTCTGTATGTTAGGTACCTATTTATTTACCTGGCCTTTATGCTGTACTTTATAGGATCGTAACGCACCTAGGTACATTAATTTCTCTCATTACAGCATGGTAAACGGGGACTTACTGCAAAGAATCAAATGGTAAATTGTAATTGGTCAGCTTTCCTTGAACTAATGACAAACTAGGCATAGCGCGCTCGCTGTTGTTAAAATTCACTGCTTCTAGTATGACGTATTGACGTTTTACCCTTATATCGGTATTAGCCATTAGGTATTGCTAAAGAATAAACTCCCAGTCATAGCTTATATAAATAGCTGCCAATATTGTTAAAATGTTCAAGTATTAAGAACTTGCAAAAAAACAGATTATCTACCTACCTACGTATATTGACACACATAAGAGAAAGCTTGTTACCCGACATGAAGTGTGCTGGTAATGAGGAGGGGAATTATCCATCTTGGCTAAAAGAAGCTTCCTTTGAAATTATATAGAAAGTGGCCATGTCATTTTACTAGTAAATTTGGTGGCAGGTGCATGCACTTGTTCTGTAAGATAGTCTACGTGGAAGGACCGGCAAGGTAATCTACAAATAACATCACTCATTATATAAAGGAGTAATGGTATCATTGTGTTACTCAACCCAGACAAAATACACCAAGACCACTACAATACTTACACACTTGCAAGGATATATATAAGTGGCTTCAAGTGATTAAATAAATTTATTATTATACGATAATCATACGAGAAGTTTCGGGGGATATCACCGGGTATATAAGCTACCTAAGGTAGTCTACAAAAGATGAATTGTCGTAAGATAGAGCCAGAAGCAGGAAAACAACTTCGTTCTTCGGCGAGGAACTCTAAGCTAGCTATGGGGGCCTACAACTATGCATGATGAAATTATTCTTTGATCTACATATCTCATCTAGAATCCTCACCTGAATTTCCTGGTGGGATCAGGAAGCATCAATAGACCTATGGGAGTTCATAAAGTATTATGCTTATTGAAAGCCCCTCTTGTAAGACCTCTATGATGAAATCATAACATGAAAAGCCACGATAGAAAGTTCGATGAGATATTGGTGTCTGGCGCCATCAACTCTATAGAATGCAACCGTCGAAATTAGGACTCAGAAATAGAAATAGTGAATGGCGAGAGTAACTTATAAAGTACAAATGATAAACCAATGGTATTAATAGAATAACATTAACTATCTGCATCTAGGTAGGCAACAACCGACGTTAGGTGCTATATAAACTAAATATACTAAGCTTATATTCATGGTATTAGCTAAATCGGTCCTTGATCCGGAGCTAAGTTATGGATTGATAATATGCTACCTATCTGAGTCATAATATCAGACTACATGCCTCGGTATGTATGGTTAGAGTCATAGTACGTTAGAGTCATAATACGTTAGAGTCATAATACCTTAGAGTCATAGCACCTCCAAAGCAGCGGCTGCATTGCCGACTGTTATACCTTGTACGCATATCCATTACGCACATGCAAGTAGTCAAATCATCATACGAGCGCTTATCGAACTCTTTGCAAATAACCTCGGAATCATTTGTAAGCTAGTGCCCCGTTGTTAGCTTGCGGCCAATAAGGTATTCACCAAAGATCCAGGCATCAGATGGGAGGCGTCATTCCTGATCCCCAACAGAATGTTATTAGCAACGGCAATAATCCGGGTTATGTGATTTCCGGGGAGTTGGTGGGTGAGGTATTAAGGGGAGGGGGGCCGATGAGCAAGAAGCATGTAGGATGGACTTCTTAATTAGTACTCAATTAGTATAGTCGGATGAGACATCGCATACGAAGTAGTACTTGTTGCAATTACCTAAATAACCCGATTGTAGATGCGGGGCTCATGCATTGGCCGGCGAGTTCATGCGTGGATCGGAGACTTTTAGTGTTTTGTCATCTTCAATATTATAGTCGAGCATAAAGACAATGGACCTTCCGATCTAAATTTCTACTTCTCTATTTAATTATTGTATCTGGTGAAGAATCCTTTTGCAACTCTTAGTATTGTATTACTGACTACCTAGGTATCTTCATTATCTTCCTTTACAATGGCCAATCAGGAGATCGTGTTTTTCGACTTGCCGTCTAAGACGCCAAACAAGACATGGTCATACAACCCATGGAAAAGTAGGTGCTATCATACGTTTAGAGATTGGATATCATTTCTAAAAAATAGAAACAGCTCGGTTTGTGTTGAACTACAAGAACCTCCCCTATAAGACAGAATGGGTAAACTCTACCGGAATTTGGAGATACTTCCCAACGTGAAGCTAACACAATTGATAGGTTGAATACCCAGACATCAAGGGAAGATTCCAAGACCAGTGAGTGTGTCTGAAGTATAATGTTTCATGTATTTTTGCGGACGAGCTCACCAAAATTCGAGCGATGTCTGAATTTCGATGGGTCATTGTCGTTACACCTTATTCCTAGAATCAGGCGAATGAGACGGTCATTCTATGGGGTCTCTGGATAATCTACAAAAAATCAACTTGAATTTTCTGACAGTTACCTCGTAGCCTCCCGAAGATGGATGTATACACTATCCCGACGATCATCTTGCCCGACGGGACTTGGGTAAATGACTCCTTCACAATCGCCGAAGTGCTCGAGAAGAAGTATCCGGAGCCGAGCCTCCACCTGGACTCCCCTTATCTGCCAAAAGTGAAGGAACTCCTTGTGCAGATCTTGACTGCCACCAAGGCCGTCTACGTCCCGGGGGTTTTCAACAAGATACTGAACGATTCTAGCAAGGACTACTTCCGCCGGACTCGCGAAGTCATGTTTGGCGATACCTTGGAGGAGGTAGCTCAGAAGCAGGGCGGCGAAGCAGCATGGAAAGCTGCGCAGCCTGCTCTGGAGAAGGTCACCGCCCTGCTGAAAGAAAACAGCGACGGCCCTTTCTTCGAGGGGAAGAAGATGGGCTTCGCTGACTTCACGTGGGCGTCGTTCCTCGTTTTCGCTCAAAGAATCGGCGATGATGTCTATCAAGAAGTACTGAAGCATAGCGGAGACGCAGCAGTGCATGAGAAGCTGCTAGAGGCCGTGAAGCCCTGGTATGAAAGAGACGACCACTAGTCGCGCTGACACTACTCGGGGTGTTGAAATGAGTGGTCAAGGGACTACTTTCAGGTACAGTACATGGGATCTTGGCATGGAATGTATATATATTAAGAAGGACCTCCCTCCTCACTTATACAATTGATACGGATCCGTACACTAAGTCAATATGCAAGTATAGCTTATATGCTGTATCTTTTAGCAGATAACCACGTATGGAGCTATCAGGTCAATTAGTAGATCAATATAGTGCAATATGCCAAGTTATAGCTTAATATACGATTGAGACCCATCGATATTATGATAAAAAGTGACTGGGAAAACTTCATGGCGTAGATTTCAGCCCAACACTAGAAACTACTGCACATGCCCATAAACTTGCGTCTCGTTGAATTGAATTGCGCTGTATTATATATCTAGTATATTGGCATCTGAGGTGTAGTTATGTAGGTTTAACATGATGATATTAATTATTTTCAGTGTCAATTGTCATATTGTAAGTTTGGCAGGTTGGCCGGTGTAAATAGCGGAATGCATGGGCCACATCGAAAGAACAAGGATCCCTTCACGATAAATCCACAGCTATCACGTGACACGGCTTCCTTTTACGGAAATCGCTTCCCGAACTTTGTGGGTCCCTAGGGTTTTTTCTCCAAGCCGCACATTTCCAGGTTTGCGTAGTAAACTTAGGTACCCTCAAGAAACTTGGAGCTGTTGACCTTTTTTTTTTTTTTTCCTCCCCGTGACAACGACCACCAACTTCGACCACCGTTAATACCACCACACCCCGACCGTAAAGAACCCCCGAATAAATCAGTCGCAATGGCCAAGCTCTCGTAAGTTAATCTCATTCGAACTCGAATTCCTCGATCTGTAGCGGAAATGTTGGCGGGGTAAAATGGGAGGAGGAGATTGAAGATTTGGTTGGTGGGGGAATGCGTGTAAAGAGAAAGGCGAATTTGGGAAGAATGATTTGCACGAAAGAGGAGGAGATTGGAGGGTTGGATTGCCATGGAGCAAGCTACACTCGCGACGATGGAATACTTAATTCGACAACGAAGCTCTGAAGCAAAAATGCTAACCTTCCACTTCACAGACGTGGTGCCCCCGGTGGAAAGCTAAAGATGACCCTCGCTCTGCCTGTGTAAGTGCAGGAACTCTGTCCCTCTCCCTCTCCCTCTCCCGCAAACCCAATTCGAGACTAACATACGGAACAGCGGTGCTATCATGAACTGCGCCGACAACTCCGGCGCCCGAAATCTGTACATCATCTCCGTCAAGGGTATCGGTGCCCGTCTAAACCGACTGCCCGCCGGCGGTGTTGGCGACATGGTTATGGCCACCGTCAAGAAGGGAAAGCCCGAGCTCCGAAAGAAGGTCCACCCCGCCGTCATCGTCCGACAGTCCAAGCCCTGGAAGCGAACCGACGGTGTCTTCCTGTACTTCGAGGACAATGCTGGTGTCGTAAGTTTGACCTCCTATATACACCAAATACGCGGCAACCAAATCTGTGCTAGAATTCTACATACATGGTTGAGCACAGATGGACGGGAGACTGCGTATTTGGATTTATATATCATGCAGAGCACATAGCTAACGTATTACCCCCCCAGATCGTTAACCCCAAGGGTGAGATGAAGGGCTCTGCCATCACCGGCCCCGTCGGAAAGGAAGCTGCCGAATTATGGCCCGTAAGTCCTGCTACCACACATCCCTCAACCCCACGGATTCTAACCTGTCTACCCAGCGTATTGCCAGCAACTCCGGCGTAGTGATGTAAAAAGGCGAGCGTTTCGTTTCGGGCGGAGCATTGGGTGAGAGGAGGATGATTCACACCACTTAACCTACATTACCTTATTGACGATACGTCATCACGATTGATTGACTGATTGATATTGGAAGAAGAACGACACCAACCACGGCCGGCCGCTCTCACGACTGCTGGTGAGAGGATTTGAGATGGAGGCCTATGTCGCGTGTCGGGTGGTAGGACTGGTCACTTTGCATTTCGGCTTCGGGGCGTAAAGGAGACATACCAAACCAAAAGAAACTGCATCCTGGACAATCGCTAGTTCGGTTCCCTATTCTGGCGTGCCATTGCTGATTTGTGATTTGTTTTCCATGATTGTAGCCGGCCATTGGTTCATCTCGATTGACACCATGTGCCGTGTATGATGATGGTAATGAATAGTGCTCCTTAAGCTCTCATCCATATATTCCTAGATTACGGGGTTTACAGAGCTGTACTCGCATTTTTCAATAGAGCATTTACTAAACGAGTATATTCGCCTAACACAGAACTACGTAGACAACCGGGTTTAACGGAAGTTGGGGTAGAGGATGAAGGAGCTTATATCTCCTCGCTTAGGTTAGTTACATGTATGCAGTCCTGGGTATACTGTATGTAAACTGATCGAGGTGAATAACTACCTAAGTCAAAGTATAAATAATTAAGCAACTACCTACATGTAGCTAGGTTAGACAACTTAATCACCGTCGGTCTCACATTTTACACAACGTACACCAATAACAGTATTACGACGTGAATATATCTCACATATATATGCTACCGACTTCCAAAATTGATGGCAAAGGTATCTTCCATTTCCCCTCCATTTTATGTATAGGCCCCCTTCTATCCTATTCGCTCCTATGCGTACAATGATGCTCGCTCCGTGGGTGGGGTGGATAGGAATTAATCCAGGTATCAAAACATCCCATCCACCCACCTATGCAAAATAATGACAACGCTTCGCCCTTAGGCCCAAATGCCGTATATACCCGATATGTACAAAGTGCCCTATCCCTATTTCCCAACCCCATAAACCTCCTCGCGTCTCCTGTTTTGAACACCCCCCAGGGATGAGCCCGGGCGAAGGAAAGTTTGGTCCAAGTATCCAAACAGCCCTCCACCCAGACTGTGATATGTAGAGAAATGGAAGGGCCCGCGGCTGGCCATATGTATGGCGCCCAGGCTATCCATCCCTCTACCTATCAATAGGCTAACCAGAAGTCGGTTCAAGTATCCGACAGCCTATTAACCTACAGATAGGAGATGAATGAGTGGACTTGGAATTGGTCCAATTATCCAACCCCAGTCCATTCATTATCTACACATCACCTTCATGGATGAGTAGAATAGGAGCCGGTTCAAGTATCCAAACTCCTATCTACATCACTCATGGAAGATGGAACAGATGAATTGGGCGCTGGTCCAAGTATCCAGCATCCCGTTCATCCGTCCATCATGGGGTTATAATGTGGACGGAGGCTCCCTAGGTGATGTTTGTCTAGGTACACCTCCGTCCCATCCCCGGGGGGTGTCCGAGGGCTGGATGGGTGTGATTTAATTATCCAACACCCCCCCCGCCCTTCATCTGCGGGCGGACGAGTCAGTTGAGGCTTTCTGACCCGTCGCCCTATATTGCGTGGCTGGGAAAGTTTAGTCCAAGTATCTAAACTTCCCATTACTACTGTAAGACGATAGGCTGCTAATAGTACGCAGCGTCGCCGTATAATACTTTTCTCTCGCAACGAGGCGCACGAGAGTGTCTAGTGTTTGTATGGCCGTAACTCCTTGCTTAATATTGATATGTCAAGACTCGATGAATGCTCATCTGATAGTTTTTTTTTTTTTTTTTTTTTTTTTTTTTGGAGTACTTCATATTGATTGGAAGTGGTGAGAAGCAAGAGCAAAAGCAATAGCGCTAATGTCCTAGGCGTGCTCATGCTATGGAGCCGGAATGAGACTTGACTGATGTGATAGTGTATCAACTGTAATGGATGGATCGTGCTAGCTGTAGAAGTAGGCTGCAATTGGAGATAATGGCTGAAATAGTCCTCTATGTGGTAATGCCGCATGCGTTGCTTAACATTGCCCGGACGCCGTAATAAAAAAGATGATGGTAACTACGGCCTTGGGGCGGTTACTTCGTCGTCTTCGTCGCCACCTGGTGTAGATCTAGAGGTAGGTGTTCCTGCTTGGTTGAGAGCCGTAGAATTAGCTCCCGCAGGTGGTTTTGCACTCTGCTTCTTAGCGGCAAGCGTTGCACGGCGCTTGGCTACCGCCGTGTTCATAGAGCCAGATGCCCATCGAGCTATTACATGTTAGTATATTGCGTGATTGAACTGTTTATGGGATAGTGTACGAGGAACTCAAACATACCTTTCATAGAATAGGACATCTTTTCAGATTTAGTCATGGAATTGTAGTCCTTGTTGGGGTCCGCACCAATCTCTCCGTCGGGGGTATTAGGCTCAGCAAATCCATTGTTACTATTGTCGCCATTGGAATTCCCGTTGATAGCATTGTTGGTGTGAACTGGTGCTAAGGGCGAAGGGACTAGTGGCGGTGTGCTAAGAGCAGGCACTGAGGGAGGATGCTGGTTCTTCACCTTGAACTTGATTTTGGTAGGCGGTTTTGGTGCAGGAGGAGCCTTCTGTTCTGGTTGCTGCACTGGAGCGGGTTCTGGAGCAGGTGTGAGGTCCTCAACCTTGGTCTGTGTTTTCTTCGGGGCGCGTTTGGCACGCTTGGGTTTAGGTTCTTCAATGAAGTCATCATCGTTGATATCATTAGTGAACTTTCTTTGACGTTTCTCGCGGAGCTGGTAGTTACTTGTAGACGCCACTGTCTCAGCTGTTGCGGTAGACGATGCAGTAGGGGGACGAGGCTCCTCGGCTTGATGACTCGTAGAAGTGACTGTCTTAGGGGTTGCAGTCTTGAAGGATCCGGATGGAATATCGGATTTTCGGGAGTTTGTCCGACGAGCCGGTTTCGAGGGTGTTAGAGGCTCTACACCATTAGGCACATTTTCTTCTTCTTCCTGTTCTACAACTGCCGTGGCATTTGCGGGGGCCTTGCGTTTACGCTTGTGAGGCTGTTCTTCCTCTATGGCCGCCTCCTCAGCTCCTCTTTTCAGCGAAGGCGCTAAATCGGGTTTGGGTTCCATATTGATGGGTCCTGCAACAGGCTTGACCTTAGGCCCGGGTTTGGCTTGCAACTTAGACAGCGTCTTCGGTTGCGATTTAGGGCGCGAGTTGCCAACAGGCTGGAGTTCGGGATGGGTCTCTTCATGCTCTGGTTCTGGGTCTGGAGTAGGCCGAGCTTCCGGTGCCAGGGGTGGGTTTTTGCGAGGTCTGCCGCCTTTTCCTTTCTTCTTAAGCGGCTCTTTCTCAGCTGGCTCGGGTGCTACATTTAGTGCGCTTGTATCCTGAACCTGAGCTTGAGGCTGGTTTTGATTCTGTTGCTGGTCGCCATTCTCTTGTGCCTGTGCGCCACGACGTCCTCGGCGTTGGGTTGGAGCTGGGGTAGAGCCTCTGCTAGCGGCTTCACCTTCGTTGAACCTCTCCGGTGGCTTTCTTGTTCGTTTTCCTTGCAAGATATTGGGATCTTCAGCCTCGGCTGCCTTGGCGGTCTGTTTGGGCCTCTCGCGAAGACGCCCGTGGCGACCTAAGCCAGTTCGTTGCGCAATGGGGTCTTGTCTACCCACTCTATCTGCTCTTGGATCATACTCGAAGCCGTAGACGTTAGCCATAAGTCTGTCTTGCTGTCGGGCATAGGCGACTTCTGGTTCTGTCGTGTCCTTGGCTCTAACGCCCTTGACGACAAAGTCTTTCTGAATGGGGTTTGCGCTAGGGTCTCTAGCAACAGTGGCCTTAAAGCGACGGTTGAAGGCTTCCTCCTCTTTGTGGGCGCGAATTGAATTATCGTAATCATCCGTCCACTTTCGCAGCTCCTTGAATTCATCCTGCCATGCCGCAAGAGCCTTGTTCGCAACTTCAACTCTTCGGTATAGCTCTTTGGGAGACAAAGACTTAATGTCTTTGAATAGGTCGGTGAATTCAGATGCCTCTCTAGCCTTCTTGAACCGGAATTGTTTCATATCTGCTGGCTGTGTACCGGATGGCTCTAATTCTGCAGCGGGCGAATTTGCGGCAGTGTCGGCCGGCGTGTCCTCAACAGTCGCATCTTCTTCACCGGCGGCGACTTCTGGGCCGTCTTCGTTAGCTACGTCGGGCTCTAGCTCTAGACCAGCTTCGGGATCTGCCTCAGCATTGACTGCAGTACTATGGTTCGCTTCAGTATCTGCGTTCGGATAGGCTTCGGCATCAACCTCGGGATCTACCTCGGCTTCCGGGAGTTCGAGCTCATCATCCTGGTAGTCTGGGTAGTAAACGAAAGAGCCATTGATATATGGAGTGAGACGGTCCAGTAAGTCTGGTTCGGCGTGATCGTCATCCATGTCAAGTATCTCATCATCGTCTGCTTCGTCTTCTTGCTCTCGGAGTTCACCTTCATTTCTGGCCATAGTTTCGGGTTGAGCTTTTCGTAGATTAGTGTGGCTCTCACCCGGGGCGGTATATAGTGAAAGTTGTGAATGCTGTGAGGGTTCTGAAGGTACCGAAGGCTCTGATGTCTCCGACGGCTTTGATGATTGTGAGGATTCCGAAGAAATAGATAGGTCAACGGGAATGTTAGGAATGGGAGCCTTGGCCTCATTATTTGAGCCAGAGCCAGAGCTAGTTCGTCTAAGCATCGACTCATCCGACTCTCCGCTATGGTGTCCACCAACTTCAATGGTGTCACGTACTTCAGCATCATCAATCTGCTGCTCTGGTACATAAGCCTGAGGCTCTGCTGTGGACTTTCTAGTGTTACGTTTGCGAGATGACGATGGCTGAGGTTGCTCGGAAGCTCGTCTACTAGTGCGAGCTTCAGAATCTTCGTTCGTCTCATTCTCATTAGGAACAAAGTCAGTTTTCCGCCTCTTCAACGTGCGGGTAGCGGTGGGCGTAGATTTTGAACCGTAGCTCTCAATATCATCAAGCTGGTCAAATGTATAGTCTACACGAGGACGTTTTCTCAAGGAGCGTCCACCTTTGCTAGCGGAATCTTCTGGCATAGTGCCGGCACTGTCGATGTTGCGAGCGCGAATTCGCTTTTCTCTAGAAGCGGAAGGGCTCGGCGTCTCTGCGGTGAAAGAAAAAGAAGATGCTGCGGATGAAGGTTGTTGCATAGGTTGCTCTGATGAGTTATGAGGTGATGAAGTAACGGGAAAGGTACTTGGAAAAGTATAACTCTTCCGGCCTCTTCCGCGAGGACCGCTAGAGGGGTCCATTGTGAATTCTCTATAGTCGAGAATTGTCGCAGGTTTGCAAGTATGGATATGTTGTATGTGTAAGTGAAGTACCTAATGTACGTGTATGAATTAAAGGTGAAAGAAGTTTTGGGTCGGAGATTATGTAAGTGGGGAAAGGCTCAGGATGTTGATGGCTGAAGCGCGCCTTCCCAAACCAACAAAAAGAGAAGAAGAAGGTACGATCAAGTATAAAACATAAAATAGCCGCTAGCTAGAAATATAGTTTGCTATTAGTGCAAATTGTATTTCTTCGTTGCGCGTCGTTGACAATTGCTCGTTGTTCGTTGTTCGTTGTTAGGCGTAGGCTGTGGCTAAGGGAAAAAAAGTGGTTGTATGTATGTATGTATGTAACCTAGTAAGGAGGCAATGCTTGAAAATTGGTACAAGGCCGGGGTGGACTGAATTGCTAGCTGCCGGGGGAAGATGCAAGGACAAGCAGCCCGCCGCCGATAAAACTTGAAGTATACAATAGTCAAGACTGAATGGATTTGATAATAAAAAAAAAGAAGTTGAATCGAGGCCTTTGAAAGAGTCACTCGGTCGTAGTCTGAAATGGTTATTAGTAAATGTACCTAGTTGGTGCAATTGCAGGTGTGCAGTGAGTGTGTTGTGTAAGAGAGACGTGGTGAGAAAAAAGGTTGATGAAAGGAGCTGACTTGGTAGGAAAGAACGACCAAATTTGATGGTGATGGCTAGGTTGGAAATCAGTAAACCTTAGGCGGTCAATACGTGCCTGAAAAAAAAAAACAGGAAGTTTCTGCCTATGAGAATCAGAATCAACAACTTTAAAGATCAAGAAGTAAATAATATCTGAGGGGACTTGATTCGATCTTTCCTCGTCTCGCCGCTCTACTGCTCTACTGCGTTACTGCTATGACTACCTACTGCCAGCCCGTATTATTAGGTGCAAGGTGCACTGCTAATTTCTCGAGGTTCGGGCTGTTCAAAGCCACAGATGAAATCCCGATTTGGGTGTACTAGCCACAATACTTATCCCACTTGCTGGATTTTACTAAAGCACCTTCCCGTCTTTGGCCAATGGGATAACACGAATATGTTTCTTAGCTTAGGTACTTTTGGATCAGACGCCATTGTACATAGTACGTACATTGTAACTTCCCTGTCAAAGCTGCGGGAGATCACGTAATATACATACATATGTACATCCAATATGGTTCGTGTATTGCTGCCACTGGTCCGCCTACCCCGTTTAGTGACGACAGTTCCTGATGGAACCTGGTCAAAGCTTTCCGTGTGTCCCATCTTCCTTCCCGAAACCGAAACCCTTTCACATATCGACTGGTGATACTGATACCATAAGTGTACTTACTACTTAACATATCATACCTATAATGCATATCACATGCCATATTGAACTGTCCATCCCCCCATCCCCCCATCCCCCATCCTTTATTAAAAATAGCATCTCATCCAGCCTCTACAAAATTAGTTGATATAGCATAGCATCTCTTCTCAGTTCTCAGTTGTTGAAATAGTGTTTGTTGCATCTCGAATCCGCTCAAACTATTGGTTCCCCGCGGCCCTGCATACATACCTACACATATGTACAAGGCCACAGCGAATCATAGTCAATTCCTGTGTACGTCTAGTTAGGATCGCAATAGCTCTTCGTAGCCTATTTCTTAGCGCAGAAACTATTAGCTATCCTCCATTTGTTTCCTCTCCATCGCAATTACTAGCGATCTTTCTCTAATAAAGATACCCTCCCCCCACTACGATAACTACCTACCTACCTACCTACCTACCCAGCATGGCAGCAAGGCGGTCAAAGGCGTCTGCCGATGATGGATTGAATGAGCTCTTCGAAGGAATCGACGAGAGCGTAGTTAAGAAGCCTGCTAGTAAATCTAAGCCGGCTCCCTCTAAGACTCGAGGCGAGAAGCTCAAGAAGGACATACCTGGTCTTGCTGAGCTGGAGGACGAGCTTGGCGAAGAACCCGTCCGACCCCATACTCCTCGCGTCAAAGAGACATCTGCCAAGGCACCTGTTAAACGAACTAGCACAGCAACACCTCCGCCTGGTGCCCCTCGACAATCCGAAGACAAGCCAGCCAACGTCGCACGCAAGTCCGTCGATAGCACTCGCTCCCTCCACGCAAGCTTTACCCCCAGTGCCACCAGCTCTGATCTCCAGGATGCCGAGAAGAAGGGGCCGGTCGAGGAGACAGCACAAGCTGCTGGCGGTGGTTGGTGGGGTGGATTGTTTGCTACGGCCAGTGCTACAGCAAATGCAGCTATGAAGCAAGCCGAAGCTGCATACAAGGAGATCCAGCAGAATGAGGAAGCTAAGAAATGGGCCGATCAGGTTAAAGGAAACGTTGGAGCTCTGAGAGGTCTAGGTATGTATTTGAATACGGCGCCTACCTATCGGGAGAGGTTTGACTAAGAACATATTGAACTAACAATCTTGCTTACAGGCGACGGTATCCGCCAGCACGCTTTGCCTACCTTTGCCAACATCTTACACACTCTTGCCCCGCCCATCTCCTCTCACGAGCGTCTACTTATCCACATCACCCACGATATCGTCGGCTATCCATCGCTTGACCCTCTCATCCACGAGGTCTTCAGCCGGGTCATGTCGCAAGTTGAGGGCGGCGACCTCCTCGTCATCCAACGCGGCCATGAGAATACCGCTCGACGATCCTCGGACGCCTTTTACAAGAGTTCTTCCAACTCTGCCGGCTGGCGCGACGGACCCTGGTGGAGGCAAGTCGATTCGCCTCGCGACCTAGGTACTGTGAAAGGTATAATCGAGGGGACCAAGCTCTGCCGCGTTAGTGCTGAAAGTTATTCCCATGACTACTTCGCGGCTAGCGGTGGTGTTAATGAGGCGCAAAAACGTGCCCTAGAACCCGTGAGCGAGGAAAATCCCGTGCGAACTAGTGACATCTTCCTCGCCGTCCAGCCCATCATCGTAGATGCAGACCCCGCCCTCTTCGCCGGTAGCACAGCTGGCGAGGCAGAGAAGGAACCCAGCGCCGTAGCCGACGACAGCAGTACAGACCCTCATATTTGCTTCGCCGTCTACGTCCTCGACCCAATCCACGATATTGTGTACAGCACCGTGAGCCAGTACATCCCAGCCAAATGGATCCGCTGGTTGGATGCGCCGGCACCCTTGACGCCTGCCAGCGGCGAGAGCGAGCACCTGGGTCCGGAAGGCGTAAACGTCCCCGACGAGATCCGGGAGATCGTGGAGAGCGGCGGCGTAGACCCGCGCGAGTGGGTTGCTGAGTGGGTCGAGGAGACGCTGAGCTTGAGTATCGGAGTTGTAGCCCAGCGGTATGTGGCTCGTCGGATGGGTGTTGGTGAGGGAGGGCTTGGAAAGGGGAAACAGAAGGTTGAGGAGTTGCTTCAGGGGGGCGGGGGTGAGGCGGCTAGGGCGGGGCTTATTTGATGATGGGATGGGAAAGTCTTGGCTTACGGGAAGGGAAAGGGGATGGGACCGGGGGGCAAGAGAGGAGGTATGTTAGTAGGTAGGTAATCAGCTGCCTGCTTTGCGGTCTATTGTCTAGTGCTGCTTTCTATGGAGTTAGCCGGGTCGAATCTAGTACTCGATTTCTTATCGAATTTGGAATTATGCTGGCTGTCGATTTATTTACTATATATGAAGGGATGTAGTAATATATCATGATATCAATTTTTGGGGTTGTCTCGGGTGTCTTGTGTACCTACCTACCCTCCCTATATATGGTTATATCTGTCTAGTATTGCGAATTGAATGGATAGATTAAATTAGTATTTACCCAACCTAGGTATCACATAGTATAGTCCTATAGACAAAAGGTTCTAGTCGAACTGTACCTATATATAGCCTACATGTATAGGCAGGCAATCAGTATAGTCTTCTTTCTACACACGACTTCAAAGCCTACCTACCTATCTTCAGAGTTAATAAACTTCAGGAACACCCCTATATCCCATCAATTAAAAAAAAAAAAAAAAAAACCGACAAGACATAATTTATACCCATTCAGATCCCATGGCTCGCGATTAAAGCATCTAACCTAAGTAGTTGAATCAGACTTATTCTGATGATAGATACACTAGCAACGGCACATATATATATATATATGTGATATTCATAAGTCCCGCGGCATACACAACTACGCCAGCTGATCTACCGAGCAATCCTTAGATAACATCTTCGCCATAACCTCATCCCGGGTTCACCTCAAAACCCACGGGCAAGAGTACTAGTTACCTGATATAGCTCACTCCCTACCTAGCACCTAGCAACCCTATCCCGAACCTTCTCCAGACTCCCCACAACCTTCAACTCCGCCTTCGCCGCCCTGCTAGCGCCTTCCGGCTCAACACGCTTTAGTGGGCGATACACCGGATCCCACATCTGCTCCTTGATCCACTCATCTAATTCCTCTTTATCCGTCGGTATCCCCTTCTCCCCCGCAACACCATCCTCCACCGCCGCAAGAACAACCTCCCTCGCAACGCGCACGCTCACAGCCCGCACGTCCTCGACCCCCGGCAGCAAGGGCGCAGTGTCGTCTTTCAGCGCGGGACTCAGATCCGCGACGCCGCGAACGGCCGCGACGAGCATTTTGTCTGTGACCTTGGACGCGCGGGAGAGCACGGCGCCGAGGCCGATGCCGGGGAACACGACCGAGTTGTTGCACTCGGCCACTTCGATTTCGACGTCCGCGCCGTCTTTGCCCCAGGGGCCTTTCACGGGCTCGAAGGGCGAGCCGGTGGCTACTAGGGCCTTGCCAGCGGTCCATTTGAGGATGTCCGAGGGGACGGCTTCGTGGAGTCTGGTAGGGTTGGATAAGGGGAGGATGACGGGGCGCTCGGTTCCTTTGGCCATTTCTTTGATGACTTCTTCGGTGAAGGACTTGGGGACGGTGGATGTCCCGATGAGGACGCTGGGGTGGATTTCTTTGATGACGGATACGAGAGAGCGTTCCTTGCCATCCCATTCGGATGCTTCTTTGGCGTAGGCCCGTTGGCCGTGGTCGAGCTCGGTTTTGGTGGTGAGTAGGCCGGGCTTGTCAATCAGCCTACAATGATGATGATAAGTATTATACTACGCAAGCAAGGCGGGTATCAATTCCTCATAAGTTTCATACTTACCAGATTTGCTTTGCGGCCTCTTCTTTGTCAACCCCCTTCTCGGTAGCGATAGCATCGCGGACTTGATCAGCAATGCCTACGCCAGCAGTTCCTGCGCCAAAAATGACTATCTTGGTGTCCCGAAGCTTTTGCTTGCTCACATGCAGTCCAGCCATGATGGCAGCCAAGGTAACACATCCAGTTCCCTGGACGTCATCGTTAAAGCAGGGGATCTCAGATCTGTAATGGTCCAAGATACGACGAGCTAAATATGCGCTTTAGTTCAAGGTCCCATCCTACCATGTGGGATCACTCACCATTCGCCAGACCAAAGTCTTCGAAGTGGATATAAGCGTGAGGGAACAGTTTGCGAGCGGATTGAACAAATTCATCAACGAATTTGTCGTACTTCTCCCCTCTTTCCCGTCTCTGGCGCAGACCTAGATATAAATCATCATTAAGAAGACTCTCGTTATCTGTTCCACAGTCCAGCACGACGGGCAAGGTCCGGTTGGGATGAAGGCCAGCGCAGAGAGTAGTGAGTGCGAGCTTCGCGCTTGAGATAAGAATCCCACCTACGCCTTGGTCTCCTATGCCGAGGATCTCCTCACCGTCTAAGTTTGATATGTATCAATATTGCAGTTACACGACAATCGCCGATTCTGAACACTTACCTGTGACGACAATGTAGTCGACATCTTCGGGTTTCCCCCATTGAGCCAAGTCATGTGAAACCCTGTCAATATCGTTGATATTCAGAAAACAGCCATCGGGTCGTCGGAACAAACGTGAGAAGTTCTGAATTGCATCACCTTCTGTTGGTGTGTATACAATACTGAACATCTCCTTCAAGTGGTCTTGAATAAGCTATAAGTAATCAGCATGGCGATTTTTTGTTAGGCGGGCCGAGACTAAGTTTGATTTATGGGGGTTTATAGAAACAACCAAGGACTAAGACTGGGATGAGCCGCAAGATAAATTTACTTTGAAGTATAGGACCAAGTTCTGCTCCTTTAACGATGTCAAGAACGTGTTCTTGGCCAAGTCATCTTGTCTAGAGGCGTACTGCTGGTATGCGCGCTCCGTTTGTTGTTCGAGAGTTTGAATGCCAGTAGGCAGTAAGCCGGTGAGGTTGAACTCGCGTCTCTCTTTAGCCGAGTGTGCCGAGCCACGGTTGAAGTATGGTGTGTTCAACACAACCGTTCCGGACACAGCGCATTCTATCGGACCGCTGGTGCTCAGCGGGAGGTGCGAGAATTTAGATTTAGTGCTGGCCGGCATCTTAGACCTGGTGGAAAACGCTACGTGATTCAAGTATTGACGTCTTGACGATCGCAAGAATGAACGGGTAAAATACATCAAAATTTTATTAGAATAATAAGTCCAGACGCCATGACAGTTGTTACACCACAGATATAAACAAGTTTAAGAAGCAAGAAAACTTCTATATACATTCAAGCTTGGCATATAAAGTGCTCATTCGCACATGCCAAATGCACATGTGCAGAATTTAAGTACAACAACAGGAGCGAACTGCTGTGTAGTGACGTCGTCCAACGTCCCGACGAACGGGCGACGAATGAAATCCGCTCCGAGGGCGGAGATCACCGTTGGGCCGAACCTAGTTGGAACTAGGGCTGGGCACGGCAGACTGAGAGGGTAACCCGAAAGCCGCTATGTCGGAGCGCTTGGAGCCTCGCTCATGTGGAAAACTGTAAGGTAAAGCACAAGATGAGCGTGGACTATGATGGTCCATAGGAATTGATTTTATTCTTGCAGCAAATTAGTTATACGGACGATGCAAGCACCGTCCGCCCTATATCTCCAAGCCCTCTCAGGACCACGACGCAAGACGCATCACGGAAGAAAGATCATTCGGGTGAAAGACTCGTAGGATGGTTCGAGTGGCTGGAGTAAGGTCTGCTGCGTCATGAGATTTACGATAAAATGAGAAGATACAAACCTAGTTGGAATACATCTTTTCTGCTTGTGTGTTTATATTTACTACCAATGAGTGGTGTCATCGAAGAGTATCTCAAAACGCAGATGGTAGAGCTGAAATGCTAAGTTTAAAATGATTCAAGAGAAATTTTCAGAATGAGCAAAAGGGTTGAAAATTAACGCACAGACCACTATGAACCCAATATTTAGTGGGGCTGTCAGCCAGTTGTCACCTATGTACCTGCACGGGCCGGCAGGACTTACACCTACACTTACACCTTGGGAATAGAACTTGTATCCCATCGTAACATGCAAATTAGTACCCAATAATAAGGTGGGTAGGTAGGTAGTCATAACTCTACACAATAGATCAATTCTTCAGCTAGCTTCTCCTAAAAGTATAGTTTTAATATAATCTATAGTTGAAATTTGATCTTTACCCGTGATCTATAAAACATCTTTCCCTGAGGACCCGAGTTTCGTCTCCTGGAATGCCATGTCTATTACTGGTCGGAAGTCTCGTCAACAATTGTCTCATATTCGTGCCTTGATAAGAGCATGCGCTATCAGCGGAGGTGGCGCCTCTGTCCATAGATAATAACTGTTGTTTTCTTAATATCTTCGAAGACATGGCGCTTGTTATGGATCCACACGGCTCTACTGACAACTTTAAAGGGGGATAATAAATAAGTCCTATCCTTAATTGGTATCCTACCCCTGACTTGCATCAGATTGGTCTTGTATGATACTATCCCCTGAATATTAATATAAACAACACGGGGACGGATATATTGGGTTGTTACTAGGACCTGTATCTCTTTCCCGGTTGTTGGAAAATCTATTGTGACGGCACTAGTAACCCGCCACGAGTGATATGGCTAGATCCCATCTCCATACTCACCTTTTTACAAACAGGCCGCTAGCGAGGCTGAACATTGCGAATGAAGATATGGTGTCGACGGCGATATCTTAATGATGGAACTGCTAACAATTCGCGATTGGCTTCGGGGATTTTCTTATTACTGACAGCATGAATCTTTCGACTATTTCCGCCCATCTCTGAGACGGCTGGTTGAAGCCCATGGTGTTATGATTATAGACTTCCGGGACAGTGGATGGCTTTGCTGGTAGCTGGAGTTAAGAAATGCGGGGACCTGACTTGGAGAAGCAGCCTATACTACTATGATTTTGTGAATATAAATATCTTTCAATTCTTCATTTGCAAGTTGAAACACCAACAAACGCACAATCTCAAGACTTCAAGTTCTTAGAAATCTTCACTTTTATCTCTATAACTACTTGTTAACCCATCAGCTTAACGGCTCACTAACCTACCCTTGTAATGGCTTCTTAAAGCTACGTTGGCTTGCCGGAATCTAGTCTATGGACCTAAACACTGATGTACCACGAGCAGAAAGCTCCTTTAGCACGTAAATAACCACGGAGTCTGTATTCGACCCTGACTACCGCTCCCTTGTTGACGAAAACGACTATAAGGATGGCGGCAAGTATCGATGTGATTATAAACGCATCAACATTCCCTTTCTGGTGATATGCCTAGGTTAAGTAGGTTGGCTAACCTATAATACCTCGCAGCCATTATAAACCTGCAGATACGATACAAAAAGCCAAGCCAGGATAACAAAAACTTCGCTATGGGCACTGGCTGGTTGATTCGACCTGATCTGCATATCACTGCTAGCCACAACATCTATAGTCGGTCTAGCGCCGACAGCGAAGACAAACTAGGCCAAGCAGTCCATATTAAGTGACACATCGGCTATCACGGGAGGGACTCACTCAAGACCCCAATCGTCCAGTATCGCTTGGCCAAGAACATCGTGAGTACCACCGAGTGGCTCATTGACAGGGACCGCCATCACCGTGACGTTGCTTTCATCCAAGTCGATCGTCCCTTCGAAGGAAACCTTCGCGTGTTCTCCTACAAGGCTACTCCTAAGATTAGTGACAAGATGATCTGAGTCGTCGGATACCCCACCGACCCTAATACATATATGCTCACGTAAAAAAAGAACCCCTATTACCCTTATTAAACCCTGACAAGAAGTTAAACATAATAATCGACAAGGCAGCGAGACGCACATTTACAAGAAAGAAAACATATATTTATCTGAACTCATTATACATAGCATAAGGTGAGTTTGCCAAACAAAACAAAAACATCGCTATCGCTCCTCTCCTAACCTAATAATTCATGCAACCAGCCTGTTCATAACACACCGACTAATCCATCCATATATCCTAGGTACCTCAAACATGCTTCATAGCCAACACACAAGACACTCATCGCTCAACACACCATCTTACAATCTGGAATAAAGGAATATAGATCAGGCAAAGTAGACGTAGCAGCACCTTGTTTAACATCCGCCTCCACCTTCACCACAACCGCCGCCGCCGCCGCCTCCGCCACAGCCACCTCCGATTCCACCACCGCCGCAGGCCGCACCCGAGGAGCCGCACTAGAGAAGCATAGTGTTAGTGTCCAGTCACAGATCTCAGTAGCAGAAGGGGGAAGAACTAGTAAAGTTAAAACTTACACCACCGCCACCTCCACACCCTCCACTTCCACCACACCCACCACCTCCTTGCCCACAGGCCCCCGCCGCACACCCTCCTTGGGCGCCCTGTCCGGCGACTGCTTCGCCAGGGGCGCCAGTAGGGTAGCATCCCGGGGTGAAGTACATGGGGTAGAGGTACGGGCCGTACATCATGTAGGGGTATCCCCAGTAAGAATGGTAATACTCTTCTCGGGGCGGGAGCTCGCGACCTCTTCTCTGGGCACGCTTCTGCGCGCGCTCGTAGTTGCGGTTGAGGTGTTGTTGGTGCGTCTCGTGTAAGCGGCGGTGCACGACTTCGCGACTAGCGTCTACGTCGGTGAATTTGACAGAGTTGTGTGCCGAGATGTGTGCGCTGCTGTCAGGGGGACAGAGCGCAGCTTTGCCGGATTTATGGAAGGTCTCAGAGACTATGGGGGAAGTTAGCTTAAAGATAAACAAATTTTAACCTTGTGTGAATTGTAGTTATGCTAGCTGTTAGTAAGGAGAGGGATGGACGTACCCTTCTCGTTCCTCGATATGCGGAGCTTGCTGCCGAGAGAGGACACATGCGAAGCGCGAATCGACTCGCAGTACCAGCACGTACACTCCGAGTAAACCTCACCGTAGGTTTCCTGATATACCTTACTCGTCCACTCGAAAGCCGTAGACAGCTTATCTTCGTCAATCTTGTCGTCGTGATCAATCAGACGGCGGGTTTTCGTGTACATATACCTGGTATATGCAAAAGGGCTAAGCTGATGCGTGTGCCATGCCAAGTCGACGTCGAGGGTTGGGACGGCAGTTTTTGAAGGATCTCGGGCCATGATGTCTACAAAGCGTTTATATTTCTTGAGTAGTCGTGACATTGTATCCCGAGCCGCTGGGCTGTGGAGCCAGTCAATCTGTAGATAGTGTAAGCCTATGACTTTACATAAAAACCCAACCTTCAAAATATCACGAACATACCTTGTTCATCTTTTCTACAAATATGCCTTGGCGGAGAACGGCGCCGACAAGATCAAGAGCGAACGGGGAAGGGTTCCCCCAGTACCGCGACATCACCTTTCGAGTATGTGCCTTGGCCTTTATGCCGAGACGATAGCGTTTGGCTAAGTCACGTCCTGTAACACCCTCTATTTGCTTGATAGCGCTGTTATTGTTTAGTGTGCGCTCAATGAGGACGCGGACATCGTTCATAGTAGGTGCAGGGTTTCTATGAGGGTTAATTAATAGCAGCAACTGGCTGCGAAGGCGGTATTTGATAATTCGGTTTGGGAATGTCCGCTCTTGTTGGCGGGCATCAGGAACCTCTCGTGGTAGCCCCGTGTCGTTTTCTAATATCGTACCGGGCATTGGGCGACCATGGGAGAGGAGCCTCCGTGAGTCTTTAACAAATTTGGCTGCCTCGAGGAACTCTCTCGTGATGGTTCTTCCGCATTTGGGACACACGTGTTTAAAGTTTCCATCTCCATAACCCTCTCCGAGAAGATAGGAGTCTTTACTAGTATATCCTTCGGATAGTTCGCATGTTGTCCATGGTATGTTAAGGGTCTTGGCGCAAGTAGGACATTTGAGTACTTTAACCATAGGGTCATCAACATTATCCCACTTCCGGCCTATAAGATTTTCCCATGCTTCCTTGCATTCGAGCGAGACATTATAGTTGAAGTTGGTATCAATTGCATTGTCAACGAGCTGCCATGGCATGCCAGCCGTCCACAAACCATTCAGGCAGTATAGTGTAGCATCCTCGAGATATGCTCTGGGATTGAGCATGTGAGCATGCCAGACCATTAAGACATCTATTCAAATTAATCATGATTTTATATACGCTCATTGTAAATTTGACGTACCTAAAGGCGGAAGTATATGTTCGGCCCATTGGAGGGGTATCCCTTTGGACGTAAACGTACCATATACCGTAGAGGCTGACTCTTCGTCATAGCGGCCTTGCATATTTCTCTCTGTTAGGTGTTTCTTAGAAAGCGTAGCCCACCAAGTCTCATATCGGTCCACAGCTCTTGCTACGAAAAGCGCCCATCGCTTCTCTCGAAGGCTAGCCAAACGTTTCATGGTCTCTTCTTCGAGCTTCTGCCCGTTTTCGACATGTTTGGACTTCCTATCCTGCTGTAAGAGAAAACGGCTATCGAAAAGACCCCAAATGCCATCCGTATAGCCAACGTCCTCCTTTAAACTCTGGAAGGCAGCAAGTAGCTTGAGATGTACAAGACAAGTATCGGGTGTTATATTTGAATTCCAAGAAGATATTTCGACGGGATCAGGGGCAAAATTCATAACATGATCGAAGGTGGCATTTAACTCTTCAGTTGGTGACGCTGGAGCCTGGCCAGGGGATATTCCACCATTTCCTTCACAATAGCTAGGAGGTGCTTCACTGGCTTCTCCATCCGACAGCCCAGATATTACATCGAGGTTGTTTAGCTTCGCCATGATAGAATATCAAGATATTAAATGGTAGATTAAAATCGGGGAAAAGGGGAGACTTGAGTGGTTGACAGTAAAAGCGTGGGGTGGTGAAAGGGGGGTCTCTGGAGATTAAATGGGGGAGTAGAAAGTTGTGTTCCACGGGCGATAACTAATACATATTAAATAGGTGCTATTCGATTATTCCCGCTTAGACTAGAATTATGGTTTTAATATGGTAGTTCCAATATCATAGTTCTACGCATAGGTCTAAGCCAAGAGTAGATTTATAAGATGCGAAGCGTTTCAGGGGGGGCATTACGCGAAGTTAAATAGGCGGAGGGTTGGATGGTGGCTTAAGTTTCGGTGCTGTTTTTTCCGCAGGATTCTACCCAAAAGAACACCGATTTTACCCCTGTAGGCTCACCTTTTTACGCTAATGCGCAACGCCAGCGCGAGGCATTCTGCATTTAATAAAGCTTATCAGACATGAGTTGGGGTATTATTCGACCATGTACTTACTTCCTGAATTTCTCTGAGCTTAGGTACCTTACTTAAGGTTCTTAGGAGGTACTTACATGCACCTACTAAAACACAGTTAAGTGTAAGTATAGTTGGAAACAATATGATTGGTAGAATCATCCGGTAACCCTTACGAGATTTATAAGATGACGTGTGGTGGTTACACGGTGGTTACACAAAATATATTACGTAAGAATATTGAGGAACAGTGCCTAGACCCTGTGACTTTCTGACCCAGCTGCTCGTTAGCGACCCGTCCAAAAAGCTTAAAAAACATCCCTTTGGTTTATGTTGCCCCTATATCGACGTAGCCTTGAGAGGCATTCTAAAGGTTATGACGTTTAATTTCACCCTTTATAACTTTCTCCTATTTAGACTCTGCCTTACCTACCTTTCTAGGTACGTCATTTAGCGCAAGATTAAAGTCTAACCTAAGGGTTTCGCGCAACTATTTCGAGCGATCGGTGATTACTCTCCACAGTACCCCGGAATGTAGAATACATCACACTCCGGGGTTGTGGGGATCCTTCCAAAGCTTCTATGTAACTTCTAGCCTGTAAATTTTCTACTTTGAAGAAACCCATACATAAATATTTACATAGGTAGTTACATATTACGCAGGATTTTAGGCGCGTCTCTAATTCGGCTTGGCAAGACAAAACAAGCTTTCACCCTTTGGAATGCGAATGCGATACCATTTTTCCTTGAAACAATCTGAGGTTATAATTACTGCAGACTGCAGCCTGCAGTGATACCATCGATCATAATGTCTCGTCCCATTCCTCCCTGTCTCGCCATAGGGGTTGCTAATCTTAGATCGACGCTAGCGGCCTTACAGAATATCCAAGTACTTAATTGTAGCTAGAAAATGATTTCTACCTTATGTACTTTCTCGATCTATGGTCAATAGAACTAAAGCATGAAAAAACGCCTTGAGACCCAATCGGTCACCGTCCTTACGAAGCTAGACATTCAGCCCAACGTATCTCGGTGACGCAAATAAGAAATCTTCACGCATAGTATGTCGGTAATTGGTATTGGCCTATCGGTTTGACGGATCAAGTTAATAGTAGAAATAGTAAGGAAAATGGTAAGGATATGATGGCGTAGATACGAGGACATCACGATGTTCGACAATAAACACCTAAGGCATCAAAGGTACTTCATATAAATGAAACTTGGGGGTTGCGCAACATTAGCGGGACCGCCCGACGGTTGAGGATGGGTCATGTCATACTATATAATAGTACCTAACCTAGGTAAGCATGCTAATTTATAAACTGGTTATATATAACCTATGTAGTTGGTAGTTAGGTCGATTATCAAGAAGTACTAGTATAATGCAGCATGCTGACACAGCCACATAAACAACATCAATGTCACGATAACACAAGCATGTCACATGAGAATAAGAAGGAAAAGTTATCGTGAAACAGGCGACAGGTTCGATTAGCGTAATCTACACCCTGTATAAACGACCAATCCTATCAATACATTGAACCACCCGCCAGCCCTCATCAATGTATTGATCTCCTAAACAAGTCCGTGTCGAAGCATTGAGCCACCCACCAACCCTCATCAATGCAATATATCCTCCGCAAACTCTTACATCCATCGCTGTAAGTTCTCCACAAGCCAGTAAACCCATCACGATTGGTTCTCCGCGAACCAGTCAGTATATCCGTTGTTGTTGTTGTTGTTGTTGTTGTTTTTCAAACCCAAGAACTTCCAAAAATACATGACCAAATCCCAATGCTATGCCACAGTAAACTCTATGTATCACCGAGTACATGTGAAAACAAAGCAGTTCCATCAATCTAGTATAGGTCCGCAATAACCCTCCCCCCCTCCCCACATCGCGGACCATTATCCAAGGAAAACCCAGTAGATATCCGCAAGTAATTCCAAAAAAGTGCCCAGCCGCCAAGCTCTCCCTATTAGTATCGTCAGATTAGATCGTTTGCCGGCGTTTTCTTGGTTGGGGCACTGGTGTGGCGTTAAAGTTGTGCAGAGAATGGCTACGTGGCCATGGGAGGCGGACGGCTGGGCGGCTGGGAAGACGAGGGACGCTTGCTGCCATGTCCTCTGCTATCTCGTAGATGGGTCTGTCCCAGGGATAGTCGAACATATCAGGTTCACTTCTGACGCTGTCGTCGTCAGCCTCGCCTTTCGTGCTGGAGAGGTCGACTTCGTCGTCCGTATGATCCGAATAGACCCAATCACTATCAGGTATCAAAATATCAAATGTCCAAGTCGTGTCATCATCATCTGAAGGAGAATCCGTGGCATACAGGACCGGTACACCTTGATCGTCCGGAGGATCTGAGTCGTCTGTATAGTAGGAAGCCCCTGAAGAATTACCGGAAGAAGATGAAGAATCCGAAGAAGATGAATCCGGAGGAGGTGAATCCGGGGGAGGCGAAGCATGAGGAGGTGAAGCAGGAGGGGGTGAAGCATGCGGACGCGAGTTTACACATTCCTGCACAGCTTGGATAAGCTCCCGTATTAAACGAACGCGGTGGTTATAAAGAGCAAGTTCGCTCTCCGTCTGCGCCACTGGGCCGTCAACGGGGGTATTGGCGCGTGGGGCGGGTACAAGGGGTGGAAGCATGTTCCGGACATTTTCGAACAAATACAAAAGATGAGTAGGAGGATAATCAGTATTGGATGCCGCAGATGCCGAAGTTTCCTGGTAGAATCTATTCAGCTCGTTGGGTGTAGGCTCCTCGTCGAAAAGGTGCGTGATCATGTTGTTGATGTTGTGAGATTGCTGTCCCCGGAGATCAGATTGTGCAGATTGAGTATTCTGCTGTTGTTGCTGGCTTGGTGGCGATGGGTAGTTGAAGCTGGCCCCGCCGGGGAAGTTGTTGTTGTTATCATTGTTGTTATCATTACTGTTGTTGTTGTTGCTATTGTTGCTGCTATCAGGGGGCGTTCCTCCGTTGTTTTGAGACATCTTGATGGCAGAGTTGTAGAAGAAGAAAGTGTAGTAGGTATAGTATTACACAAAAATATGTGCAGATTTGTGTATGTGTGTGTATGTGTTTGTGTGATATTTACAGATTTTCCGTTGAGAAGATCTTTATAAGTGCTTTGTGGAATCTAATAGATAGAGAGGTAAGGTAGTGGATTGAAAAGCCGGGGGGTGGGCAAGAATTTATAGGTTGCCTCTGGGGGCTCATTTAGTCTCTTTAGTGAGAACAGACGGGTCGTCAATGGTAAGGTTTGGTATATTACGTATACTATACTGGCAGGCTTTGATAATAGTAGAAATATAAACGACTCTATCAGCTAATAGGAGGGACATGGTTCATTATTTTCACGAGCATATGGAAATAGCTTGACTGGATGAACCTAATATACACGCGCTCCCTCCGTGTTATGAGGGTATATTGGGGAAGTTTAGCATTGCTTGGACGTGGAATCTCTCGTTAGCTTGCTCAACTTGACTACCCAACATAATATGGAAGGAAATAGAATCAGACAAGGCGTCAGTGTGGAATAGAAGTTACTTAGGTGGATAATACTAGTCATAGTAGTGGGTAGAGATCAGTGCTACCAACCCTGTAAAGAGTTCGCCTGGGTTCAAGTCAATACGATAAATATATGAGTATGTGTCTGTGTACCTATGCAATAATGTTTATTCTCAACATATTGACTGAGTCATTGCCTACCAGAATACGGTGCGTCAAAAAACTAGAAAGTATGTTTCGAGTCTATTATACGAGTAGGTATCTCCAGCCACAAAAGTAATATTTCAAATCCTATAATGTGAAGAGGAGTAGGAAACTTCGGAATATGTAATGCTTGTTTAGCGTTTATTGGCGTGGAGTAATAGTAGGTTTACCTAAATTAAAAATATATTCAATTGCCTCTATGACCAGGTCGATAAAGGCTCATCCATGCCCTCATAGGCAAGCGTGCTGTATAGTCTCATGTATTTGATTTGAGAGTCTGAGTAATTATATCTACTCTCACAAGCCACTGATATTGGCTATTAGTTATTTCCTTCATGGAAATTGCCCCGGAAGTTTGCCCTCCGGACTTAGACAGGACGGTGGATACCACCAGCGTTTAATATCCTGGCGAAGGTGTACAATATATATCATGAATAATCTTCAAGCATCTACTATATTCGGGTATTAGTGGTCGTGTAAAATGTACGATGGGTAGGCGGGTTCAGCCGGTCTTAATAACAGCGTGGGTACTAAATATGTGACAATTATACCGTGCATAAGCAACTAGAATAAACTTAACGTTGTTGTAAGGGTAGAATGATGTTGATGGTAGAAAATATACTTTGACAAGTCTCTGACCTCGGGCTGTCATTTCTATAATCGGACCTCGCAACTAAGTTGGCTACGTATCTAAGCACTTAGCACCTACTTAGGTTGGTCAATGACGGTAGTTCGCTGGCTGTGTAAAATATATGGACAGCTGTTGCTCGCAAGGGGTAAGATGAAGAAAAGGGAAAGACTGAATCTAGTGATTGAAGCTATTTAGAAAGTGCCAAGCTAGTATAGCTCTAGTCTGCCAAGGCCCACCGCCTTGATATATGCACAGACCACATTTGGGACAGTGCAACAGCAGCCGAATAGGTACCTAGTGTTGCACACATACAAGGTAGGTACCTAAGGTAGTATGTAGCTGGGATCGAGCCACATAACCAGCGGCTTCTCTAACTCTATCTTTGATTCTTCCTCGAAGAAAGAACCCCCAGATGCTTAAACTCGCCATGGATGCGCTTCCTCTACTTACCTCATCGTATAGGTAGGGGAGATAGATTGTACCTCTAACATCGTGTTAAGAGAAGAATCCCTCCTTCCCTTCCTCGTATTGAATATTGAATTTATGCAGCTGCACTTAATATATACGGATGACATAGCTTCCTTTTCGGGAATTTGTCTCCCTGTAGTGCCTTCTATTTCCTTGGTGGATCTTTCTTCGCTTAAGGCTACCTTAGGTTATTGTGTCAGACTAAGAGCGTTGTCTACAGTTCCTTCTCAAACTTGTAAACGCAAAAAAAGGAGAAGGATAATTATCCAGTGTCACGAGGTAGGACCAATTAATAGGGAAATTACTATGTTGTTCCACGAGGAACTCTAATCTATGTACGTGGATCTATGTATAGTTATACATTCTAAACATGGTCTTTGTTCCATATGTCTTGTCTAGAACCCTGACAATTACTTTGTTGTTCGGCGAGGAACTCTAGCCTACCTAATCTACGAGAGTCTGTCTATACATACTGAACATGTTCTTTGTTCTCGATGTCTCATCTAGAATCCTGACAGTCAGGTTCCATTCGCCCCAAACAATCTACTCAGCCTCTGTGATTTTATGCTTTCTTCAACAAGCTTCTCACAAACAGGCGCAGGTATAACCACAATACCACCAACAACACCAACAATATTACCCAGCGAGTTCGATGAGCCGAGTCAGGTCGGGTATGTTAACTTCGGAGGCTTACCTGGCCGTATTCTTGACCTGACATGGGAGCCCTTAGAAAGCCACAGCTCTAGCCACATCAACTACAGAGAATACATCAATAATAGGTATTACACCAAAATATTACTCTCAAGGTACGTTGTTCTTAGACAAATATAAAAATATCTACGATCTACCCAAGCTAGGTCAAGCTATTAACTGACTCATCAAAGTTGCTGACAATAGTAGTAACAGCAACGGCAACAGAAGAAAAATCGTCATCATGTCCTCAATGATAACTTGTCCGACGGCTGGAGCAACCAGCGCCACCAATAGGACTGGCCGAGCTGGGGTGATGTGCTACCGCTCATCACCCTCATCGCGGTGATCGTGGCTTTGTGCTGCATGTGCTGGCACTATGGCTGGTCGACGGGCCGGGCCAGTGGTGAGCTGGCGGCAGGGGAAGCCCGGGGTGAGAATCGGGTCTTCCAGGACCTTTGTAGTGGAAAACTGGTGGTGCCTAAAAGGTGCAAGCAAGAATAGGTTTAATTTGGTGTGTTCATTTTGGTGCTGGTGTCTTTTGCATGCTTGTCATCAGTATATATTATCAAAGAGGCAGCCAAATTACTACATAGATAGAACTGTCACGAGGTGGAACTAAACAGTAGGGAAACAACTTCGTTATTCCGCAAGAAACTCTAATATATCTACGAGAGTCTGAGTCTATACCTACTGAACATGTCCTTTGTTCTAGATGTCTCATCTAGAATCTTGACAACCTCAACCCACTACGTCTTTACGTGCACATAGCTACTACCTATGTATGTACCTAATGTGCCGTGATCCCTCGCCCCTTACCTATAATGAATGTAGTTCAATGTCGAATGCTATAGCCATAGGTATACCAAAGCTACAAGCGCGCGTTCCACATCCACCAAAGACTTTCTTCTCCCACAATCGGATTGTCATTTCCCAGATATATTCAGAATTCGACTTTGCCTCAAATCTGCAAGTGTTCCCTGGTATAATCTAGGAACCTCAGAATGAAGAATTTGCTACGAGATTTAAGGTAAGTAATGGTAACTTTGATGAGGAATGCGAGACTTGAAATATGGTCTATGGGTTAAATATTCGAAACACCGCCATATTAAACAAGGGGGAAAAGGGAAAGTAGGCAAGGAATTGAAAAAGGAAAAAAGAAGGATTATATACAACCCAATTACTTACCATCTTGCGACAAAATACGTAGCCCAGAACCACCAGATAACACCATGGACCCATTCGGTAGATGGGTTGACAGGATTGCAGAACATATACACACAGCTGCCAAAAATACCTGCTAGTTGAGGTTCGGTAGGAAGGTCGGGTGCGTCTTGCTCTTCTGTCGCTATTTTAAGCCAATAATCAATGGACAGCAACACGGGTGACATGATGATAATAAAAATAAAATATAGAGGGACTAATCCATCACTTCTCTCGTGGGGGGTTAGAGCGACGCAGTCGAGGTCGCGCAGAAAGCAGAGCGTCGAGGCCACGACCATTTACTATGAGAAAGAACCCGCGGCGTGAGCTTGAGAGTTGTTCAGGGGCCAGTTCAGGAGCCATGATGAAATAATAATTTGCCACAACTGGTCGCCTGGAAGGGGTATGGTTCTTAGATGATGAGTAAGTGATCTTGCTGATTGCTGAGGGTGTAATTGGAGTTTGATGACTGGATAGGTACCCAGGGATCTTAGGAGTAGGAAGGTTACTATATAGATATTTGTTATTTGTAGAAGAGGGATTTGACTGATAGTGGGCAGGGGCAGACCTTAATACTTACCTGGTACCTATCTTTATATCATGAGCTGAGAGTAGCTTTGAACTTCCATCGGAACAGAAACACAACTAAGAAACATAAAAGGCTTAATGGAGAGCTACATTGCTATGACTCTCTAACCGGCCCAGTTTACAAGCACAAAAGCTATGAAGAAGAGAGGGTCGAGCGGATTCACCATTGGTCTAGGTGATAACACTTAATTTATTTCATCGTACCAAGGCTGGGGCCAGAGGTCTTGCACGTCTGAGCTTGGCAAAGCTACGTGCGAACGAAAGAGAGACTGCACGGTCTTATTTGAGCTGTAGTGGCTAACATGGCTACCTAATAAATACAGGAGTAAGCCACTTGAATTCAGTGGACGGGCCACTATCCGCCTTTCAGCTGACGTGTTGGCTGATACGGTATGAATAAGTCAAGAGAGATAAGATATCGTGTTAAAATCTAGAATCTTTAAGGATATAAAATGCTGATTTGGTCGGAGGCCTCATCCCTCATAAACTCAGTATATTCTATGTATTAGGTATTTGGAATAGCTACTGACGAGGCTTCGATGGAACATAGTTACTACATAGGTGAAAAGGGGTCCGAGCCTTGATTTAACTACACTATTTTAGTCGTAGTTATACATCATTCTGCATCTACATATATTACTCAACGAAATCAGCAGACCCAAGTGATCAATATAATTTCCCTGTAAATTCGATAGCTACCTACGTCAACTACCTAGTCAAAGTAGTATGTAACGACAACCAATTATAACAAAGTTCCTCAGCTGCAACCCGCAAGCAATGATAAGTAAGGCATGCGGAACACACGCTGAGCCCCCCCATAAGCGAGATTCGTCTATTTTTATCCTCGGAGAAGAAATGATTTTCGGAAAGCTGCCCGATGCCGATGGGCCATCAGGCAACGAAGCGTTGAATTTCATGCGCGCGTGAATGTGCGGTCAAGAGTAACAGTAGGTACCTACTTGAATATAATACCGGAGAAATAGGAATTGCACTTTTTGCTAGAGGCATATATGGATGTAGGACTTACCGACAACACATCAGGCAACTCACTCCGGGAACTAGGTTACAGCTTGGCTTTCTTTTCCATGTTACCCCGAGGCAAATTATTTGCAGGCATGCGGCAGAGATAATGTCGCACTGAAGCTATGCATCCCGGACCGTGGGCACGGGACAATGGGTAGGTAGGTAGGTAGGTAACCCAGTTGTCGGGACTTGAAGGGGAGGCCTACGAAGTATTCGTGCTTTATTTTATCCATTGCCCCCTTTACCTGTAGTAGGTAATTGTGCGGGAAACAAGGCATCTTGGCGTCAAAGTAATCCTGACGATCGTCTACAGAATATCCTCGAAACTAATACGACATATCGATATTTCAAATTCGACGTTGTAAAAAAAAAAAAAAATGAATAAAAACGATCCAGGCAAAAAAAGGCAACACGTCTCTGGCTATTCACCGTGTGCCACGACGAGCGTTGGTTACGCAACCTGGCCGTGAAACATGTTCATGCATGGCCGCGCTGCCAATTGCACATATCTTTGCATGGTATGGAGATGGAGAGACGCTGCAAGCCGTATCATTGCCTTTTGCCTAACGTCGCGATGGTGTCACCGCTCTTTGCGCCATCTGCAGCGAATACTGGGGGCCGTCGGCAGCCCTCGGAAGTATGTCGTGTAGGTATGTATGTGCTGAATCGTTGCTACGGCGCAATTACAGAATCCAGTCCATCGGGTCGCAGTACCGGCCACTTGGTACGCATCTCATGTCGCTAACGCGAGGCCTGCCATATCGTCAGGGGTATGATTGGGTTTTTGAACCCTGTCCTTGTATCAATATTTATGCAAAGTGACTGACCGGGATAATTCTACCGTGGCCAACTGGATGGGCCCCATCCAGCCGTGTCTTATGTGTCTGTTCATTTCTCTTCTTTTTTCTGTTGCACGCCGGGGCCGTTCCGCTTGCCGCCCAGCTACCCAGTCCGCTGGGTCCTCGTGGAGAGGCAACTGGACTAGGGAACGGCCCACCTATTCCCAAGAGATTGGGTCGCGGCTTAAGCTTTTGATCAGCATCTAATCCCATGAGGGTCTTCGAGCCGCATTCTAGGTTGAAGATTGTCCCTTTTACTTATATATTGTTAAATATGCTGGAAGTATTAAAAGGTGGCTCGCAGTCGCATTTAGTTATGATATTTCGACATAACTAGCCTCATTCCAACTACTCTTATATATCAGTTATATCAATGAACCGCTTATAAAAATGACGGTAGCTGAGTTCGATGATATTGAGTATGAGGGTGTTGGAGGACATAGTCACATCGACGTACGAAGTGAGCGATGCTTCCGTGACCATTCCCCCGGCGACACCGTCATTAGCTTGAGTGATGATGGACAAATGCTGTGAGACATGATATATATTCCCTATTTACAATGCCTGAAACCTTTCAGCTGACGTCTATGGTAGTTACACTTGTCCTATCCCTTCCTTTCAAGCCTTATCTCAGAGTCACCCGAGGCCAGACCTGAGTCCTCAGCAAACGCAATCTCATAGGCGCCATGATAGTGTTACTGAGACCGACAACCCGGATGGTTCAAGCATATTGAACTGTGATACCCTCATCGCTATGCAACAACATGCACAACCAAGCTCGGTACGCGAGCTATCACCCCTAACAAGATATCGGCACGACCCACAGGGGCATGAGAGGCTCGTCCTAGGAATGAAAGCCGAAGCCCTGGGATCACATCTTGAAATAGAGAGCCCTCCACCGTGTCCCAAGAAAGCGAACGGAGTATCGAAATGTACCAAAACTTCAATAATATCATCGTTACACCTAAGCCCGGCGCCACACCAAACCCCAAGCGCGAGCCTTATTCCGTCGATGGATCCCGAAACTTCGTCGGCTGCTGAGCAACTCTGTGGGCTGTTAAGCGTTATCGAGACTTCGGGGTGGGATGAAGAGGTATCCCCGGAAGAGCAAGCCGAGTATCTGCGGAGAACGTACGTATGCCCCCCTTCCCTTCCTTTATCCAGCTTAGCCAACGACGTAAGGAAATCAGCTAAGATGCCGGTGTCAAGTACGAAGCTGAAGCGACGGGTCCAGTCCGAGACGAACCCGAGAGAGATAAAACCGCCCAAGGTTCGCAAGCGGAGTCGGCAGACTAGCAAAGACAGGCAGTCATCGTCAACCTAAGGGATGGAGATCGTCGGTATCGTAGCCCGGAGAAACATGATTGTAGCCTTTGTTGATAGTTAATTGGAATATGACTTAAGACACTCAAGGGTGGAAACATTTTTGTTTAGTCATGAGCTGTCTCGGTGCTTTTCGTTGAACACTTGTGTAAGATGCCTATCAATAACTCTTGTCGTCGCAGTCGTCGCCGTCTTCACTACCATTTAGATAGCTAGTTCGCTTCATATAAGAATTCCCTTCAATTATCTTGAAATCTCAAGGTCGAGGTCGTAGCCATCTTAATCATCATCATGATTATCATCATCGACCAAAGCCCCCGGAATATGCAGAGGTGGATCCTCAACCAGTTTCCAGAATTCGCCGACATATTCATGTATGGGCTCGCCAAAATAAAATTCCCAATCTTCTGGGCTTGGGCCGAACTTGAAATCGATAAGGCGCCATTCAAGGTAAGGAATGAGGATGATATAATTCATTTCGACCAAAATCTCGCGTTCACGTCGGCCATAGGTTTCTAGATCAATGCCAGCCTGCTTCAGTGCCTCCAGCCACACCATTACAAATCTAGAAATAAGGTGTATTTCTGAGCTCAGAGCATAATTTAGATCTGCTGACAGAAGAAGGATGTTCCCGAGGGGTGTAAGGCCGGAGTTAAACCAGTAGTATATATCTCTGACGTGAATGTCAGGTATGCCCTTGATAATTTCGACTGCAAAAAGGAAATAATCAAGAAAACTCGGGTCTGAGTATGCTGTTTGCATCATGTTGCTGTGGCTTTTATATGCCAACTTGGTCAACATCAATGAAATAGCCCATAATCCATAAGAGACATCAAAGATGATTGTGATCCCTGAATAAGAAAGAACGGCTTTGGGATTGGTACTCCAATCCGGCTCAAGAATTAAGTCAAACCACCCTTACTGGGGCCACCCATTTCCCATACAAAATCAACAACTTCGCATGTCTATAATTAATTAAAAAAATAGATAAAAATATGTAACCTCTGATGTTTTACCTTTCGATCATTATAATAGCTTATGTACATTTTATCATATTTAAAATCTAATGTTTTGGTAGTAGAATAGTAAAGTATATTTTTAATATTATTTTTAAAAATTTAAAAATTTTAATTTTATATGGAAATTTCATCAAATTACCATAAAACCTTATAAACGCTTATAACTTCTCAAATAAATAAGTTATATAATTGGCCCTAAATTTAAAAGTTGTATTAAAACGTCCTTTATTTAACTATATAGATTTTAAATTTATACCATATTAATTGGTAAAGTTATAAGCAATAATATCCCTTAACAGCTTTACATATAAATTTGTATATGTAATTGTTAGTGTATACTCTTGTATTCATTTTACCACAGATATTAGCCCTGCTATTTTTTCAAAATTTTATACCTGGTGAAAATTCAAAACCATACTCAAAATCAAAGACTGTATAATTTTATCTATTTCCTTGAATTAAGTACAGATATGCGAAATCGTTGATTTTGTATGGGAAATGGGTGGCCCCCACTAGGGTGGCCCCAGTAAGGGTGGTTTGACTTAAGAGAAATGTGTACTGGTTAAAGTGTTTCTCGGATACATGGATAAATAACTATTAAGTGCATGAATATTCATTTATAGCATAACTCAATCCAAGAAGGTGGCATGCATTATTACAAGGATACCGAAGTACTTGGACGTAATTAAATCTCCATGATCCAGGGTTTTATTCATTAATTCATTAATTCGTCATTATCAAATCAAACCCTTAACCCTCAACCCTCAACCCTGACCCATGACCTTCCTCATGCGCCCGCTGCCCACGCAGCAAGCAGCACAACCACAATGCTGCCTCAGAGCCGGCGCCTACGCCATCTCCAAGGTATCTATCTCCGGAATCTGAGCTTTACCATACCCCACGGCAGGGCTACCGACGACCTCGAGGCCGACCTCCCTTCCACCAAGCTCCAGGCTCTTCACGATGAGCCCCCCCAGCTTCACCATTCCCATTCCTCCGAGAGCTTGCTGCTCCTGCGACCCAATTCCCGACGACGTAGCACGACCCTCGCTCATATCAGCCCTATCACCCGTCAGAAGCAGTTGGAATACACCGTCGAGAGTAGAGCTGCCGATGTGTTTTTCTCCCTGCACTGCCACGATGGCGAGGAACCTGTTTATATCAGCGAAGTAGGCGAGCGTGCGATGAACTTCAATTTCCGTTTTTTCGACTTGTCGCAAGCTGGACCGACAGTCACAAGGAGACACCAATTTATAATTAAGATATGGGCCAAGAAGCAGCAATCATGGGTTTTGCTACTGACCGAAAATGTTGACCTGCGTTCCCTGAATTACCTCGGGTCCCTACGAAACCACCACTTCCCCCCAAACTGCCTCGTCTTCCAACTCCTCGATGGCCTGTACTCCTTCGAGCTCTCGAGCCAGACTCCTGAGCCAAAGCAGGCTCCTACCCTACCCACATCATCCTACAATGCGCTCATGAAACTCTCAAATCTCGATAACTCCATCCAAGACGCCCTGGCTACACGCGAAGCCCTCACTGCGCAGATAAACTTGCTCCTCGACCGCTCGCCTCCAGACGCCGTTCCCCAGGCCCAAGACGCAGCCCAACTCGCCTCGAAATACGTGGCCTCGCAGACCCGCACTCTCCGTGCAGCCCAAGCCCGGAAAGCCGATCTCCAAGCCTCGATCGAAGCCCGTCGCGCCGCTATCCGCGAAGGCCGCGCCGCGCAGGCTAGAGCTGCCGAGGACGTCAAGCATGCCCAGGCCAAGCTTCCCGCCTCTCTTGCCCTCCTATCTTCTACGCGGGAAAGCATCCATGGCCAACGCCGGCGTATATGCGAAGACCTAGCCCGGGTTTTCCCCATTGTTCCCGTCCCCTCCGGCGCGCCCCTTTCTTTTAGCATATGTGGCGCCGCCCTGCCCAACACAGACTACGACCCGACCTCGTCCTCCTCGATAGAGGATTCGCTATCCGCGGCGCTAGGATACGTAGCGCACCTAGCGCACCTGCTGCAATTCTACCTGTCCGTCCCGTTACCGTACAAACTGTCTCCCTTCGGCTCCCGCAGCAGCATCCACGATGACATCTCGTTACTCCCGGATTCCCAACGAGAATTTCCGCTATTCCTGCGCGGCGGCTCAACCGCCCAGTACCGCTTCGACTACGCGTGGTTTCTACTCAACAAAGACGTCGAGGCCCTGTGCGTAGCCGCTGGTCTGAAAGTCGTGGATATACGGCACACCCTGCCTAATCTGAAGTATCTACTCTACGTATGCAGCGCGGGCCGCGACGAGGTGCCCGAGCGCAAACGCGGCGGGGTGCGGGGACTATGGGCGGGGCGGATGAAGACTAAGGGGGGAAGGCTGGCGGCAGATGACGGTGCAAGTGTTAGTACAGCCGGCAGTCGTCCCGGAAGCGCGGATAGCGAGGCGCTAGGGGGAGCGAAGCAGAGGGAGCAGTTGATGGGGCGGGTAGTTAGCAGAGAGGAAAGCAGTAGCGTGGATGGAAATGGGATACCCTCGGAAAGTAGTACTATTGGATTGCCGTTTGATGAGAGTGCGAAGCTTAGTTTGAGGACGAAGGGGATGAGGGAGAATATTAGGGCGCATGCTTAATAGTGAGAGTTTGAAGTGAGGTGAGGTGAGGTGTGAAGAGATGATATGAGGAGAGGAGAGGAGAGGAGAGAGGAGAAAAAGTTAGATACCCCCTTGAAAAGTTGAAAGAAGAAAAGAAAAGAAAATGAATAGGAGTACGAGTGAGGTAGAAGAGAGAATTTAGGCGTAGTAATGTATATGACCCTCAGGGGCGAAGCTTCGTATTGCAGCCTTACATTCCAATGGCTCACCTCGCTCTTGTATTATGTACAAAAGCATGTGAAGTAAAATTATCATTAATACAACTAGCCGTCTTATTCGGTTCATACATACACTGCCCTAGGTAGGTAGGCAGGTACCTAAACCTTTCCAGACACCCAAGCTAGCACTCCTCCATCCACTCTCTTGCTTCTCCCGGGGTATAAACGAACCACGGTCTCCCTCTCATGCTACCGCCAACCGCCGTCCCCCCCTAATGCAAATGCCATACCATATAAATACAACCATTCCGCTCCCACCAACTGGTATCTCTTCTCTCCATAGGTAGGTACATACATACATATATACACACTATACACTATACAAACACTCCTACCCAATCCTAACCCTAACCCCCATTACCGCCCCGCCTCCGGCGATCCCGCAAACTTAACACTCTTCCGTCGTTCGGGACCGCTCCCGCTCCCGCTCCCGACCAAACTAGCGCGTCCGGGACTCGAACTAAGGATCCCCGCGAATATCCCCCCCCCATTACTTCCGCCACTTGCGCTGCCTCCGCCTCCATTAGCCCCAACGACCTCAAGCGTAGACAGCGCCTCGCGCACGCTCTCTACCGCTCTGCTCTGCGGGACTTCGATGGCGTCGCCGCGAATAGCGTTGGATGGCGTATTTGAGGCGTTAGCGGCGCTGCCTTTTCGCTCCTTAGCGCCGCCGCGTTTAAGTCCGGTGCTAGAGCCGGCGCTGATGGAGTTCCGGGTTTGTTCGCGCACCACGCGGCCTAGTTCCTCGGTGCGCGCGGCGCTGCTTTCATTGCGCCAACGGCCGGGAAGGCAGGCGTGACCGCAGCCATCGAAGGGGCAGCAGCCGTCGCTGTTTGTTTCTGGGAAGGCATTGTCGAACGGGGTGGAAGAGGTGGGGGGGCAGGATATTTCTTTCGGAACAATTGGTGCGTGCCAATCCTGTAGGCAGTTTGCGTGACCGCCGTGAGAGCAGCCGGGGCAATACCACCACGTCGATAGTATAGGCTCATCGGACGGGTGAGATGGAATTGCTATTAAGCCTTCCGAAACCGTTACTGGTGGAAGCGCGTCGGCTGTTGCATCTCGATGTCCGCAGACTGCACAGGGCGCCATCACGGTACGACAACGTTCGCATTTCCATATACCAGGACCGGCTGTATTGGAACGGTCGATTTCACGCGGCTTATGGCATTGTGAGCACATAAATGCAGCTGAAACGCGATCTTGCGCCGGAGTAAAGACCGAGGTATAATTTTCGCCCCAGGTCGGAAGACCATTAGGCCATCCTTGAACGCAAAGATTGCGCAGGAGCGTGGCTTCGACAAATAGCTTCATGCTCATAAGACGTCTGTGATACTGTCGTAGAATGGCGGCGGCTTGGTGGCAATCGATGACGTCGTCAGGTACAAGAGGTTTCAAGAGGAGAATCATAGCGGATGCGTTAAGAGCGGAGTGTCTCGACTCGAAGGCTAGAGCACGCGATAGGACATCGTATGGGTTAATAGGCGGGATAACTACTTTCGAATTTACCTCGTCCACAATTGGATGTGGATAGGAGGGATCACCCGGCCATGGGAGAAAGTCGGTCTCGGTGACATGAGGTGACGGGTGGTCCTCGGGCTCGTCTATCATAGAACGTTCCCGAGCAAGCCTTGTTTCTAAGATTAATCTGGTTGCATATTTCGAGGAATTGCCATTGATTTCCGGGGGCGGGTCACTATCCATGGTGTCCGTAGTCGTCTGTGATATTTTAAAGTCATCCGTGAGGCCGGAATCTTGCCTCTCTATTGAATATCGTATTGGATATCTCACACTTTCAGGAGATCTCTCGATCCGTTTACCTCTGATTCTGCTTCCATATTCCCCATCTCTCTCTCCTAAGCTCCCGCTTATTTGTTCCGTTCTCTGAGAGATACGCGCACTGCTATTAGATGAACTTGTAAGAACCGATGTTTGTCTACTAGTATCCGACAACGAAAACATTTGCGTATAGCTCTCATCCGAATTGTGTCTAATGGGTCCTCGTCGTGTATTTGGCGATGATGGTTCTGCGCAGTCAAGACTTAGTGGCTCCCTCTTGTTCGGAACATCAATCGCCCTTGGAATCTGCTCGAGAGCGTCTATATCGTAGAAATCGTATCCTTCCGTGCTAGATATCTGGCTATCCTGGCTTAAGGTTGAAAGAGTAGTAGAATTAAGTCTCTTCCGCGGACCGGAACCCTCTGGAAGGACAGAAGGTGGTAGGTTGAAGCCGTCCATTTCTAAGACCGGGGTCAACAGCCTCCCCGCAACGTATTCGTGGTTGTCGCTGACATTTTCTTTAACAGGCCGGACCAAGGGCGTCGGCACATTCGATTCGCTATCTATCTCTTCGGCGAGTAACGACTTCACCAGGGGGTGACGACTCTCGAGAGATGACACGGACGGTGGCTTTCTCGGAGTGTCTTCCCCGTCGACTCTTATTCGTGGGGAAGTATCCGCCTTCAAGAACGCCAACTTAATATCCGAGGTGTCTTTATCGGCTTCTAGTAATGACCTTTCACGGCGCACTTGGCGCTGTTTTAAGTGGTATTGAGACCTGCGGGCCAGGAGTAGGCCGATGGCGTAAGATAATATTCGCCACGTCTGTGCGAGTCGAAATTGACTGATGCTCTCGGAAGCTCGCGCATACTTTTCGATGATTCCAGCAACCCTTTCGTTCAAGGGCCGATCCCCTTCGGCGTATGGAAGATCTTGTTTGAGAATCTCAAGGTATTGCCGAGATAGATAACTATACACGTGCATTTTGGGGGCCGCAGGTATTTGGCCAATTGCCATGATTTGGTGTGGCTTAAATGAGCCCGTTATCTTCATCGCTTGGTCTAATGGGATAACTTGGTCCTCCACACCAGAACCAGATGGAGGTGTTGTACTTAGAGTATTAGCTACCTTATTCTTCCCTCGGCGCTTTTCGGTCGCATTCCGTCTGGTGCCGAGAAAGCTGCCGATTACATCTTCTTCCGAGTCACTACGACTAATGCTGAGCACCTGCCCAGCAGGACTAGAGCTGTAAGACGATATAGGCAAGCCCTGATGCGAAATTACTGCCGGGCGTGGCCGAGGCAAATGTACTCTCTCCTCGAGGAACATAAGCGCCTCTCCTCTAGCAGAGAAAGCGACGTTCGAAAGCGGTTGGCGGTCTATTACCTTAGGAGCGAATGCAACGTCGCACTGAGCGAACCCATCGGGTCCTGCTGTCCAAAGCAGATCCTGATCGTGCCAAAGCAGAGCACTAGGCGAGTTCTCAAATATGTCTATTTCCTTATACGGCATTGTCGGGCGTGCCAGATCCCAAATATGCACAGAACTAATACCATTCTTCTTAACGTGTCCTCCTTCGTCGTACGATACCGCGACCTGGGCGGCTCGACGCCCTTGAGCAGTGGCGGACCAGAGACCCGGTCGCCACGCCACGTTCGTGACGGGAGCGGGGGCATTGATTGTCCACTTGGGCTTTTGCCTTTTCTCGGCATTCTTGGACAGGTCCCAGACGTGGCACTTGCTATCTAATCCCGCGCTTATCAGATGGTCTCCATCCGCATGCCACGAGATGGAGGACGCTCCCTTCTGAGTATCGTGGGCGTTGATCTTTAATAAAGGCGCAGAAGGTTTCCGAAAGTCCCATTTCAAGATGACGCCGGAATCTGTTGCGCAGGCGAAGATCATGCCATCTTTAGGCGACCACTTCACGTCGCTAATCCCATCAGCATTACATCTGAAAGCCTGGATTGTCCGAAATGTCGGGCCACTACGCGAAGGTATAGGTGCTTTTACATCGAAGCAGCGCACCATACCATCCTGGCCTCCGGATAACAGCCAGGTTCCCCAATGAGGGTTGAAATCGAGGGTGTTCACCTGTCGCGAATCTTCCCTAGTTTGGATGGGTTCAAGACCAGCACCCGAACCCAACCGACTAACATCGTACATAAATATCTTTCCGTTGGCGCAAGCAGTAAAGACGGTGAGATCGTTGCCATGGTTAGAGGCCAACTTGACGTCTTTTATTGAAAGCTGGTCCGAGGCCAAACTTGCATTGCTCTTGTTCGCATATTGCGCGGTAATAATGGAACGGATATCAATACCCTCCTTAACTTGAAGACCATCGAAACGGATTGTTTTGAGGATATGGCGACCACCCAACACGGCGATTTGACCATTGGCGGATCTATCGAGACAAGCTACGGGTACGGAGGAGGAATATACTGCGTCTTGGGAGGCATTAGGTCGGTAAGATTGGGGAACAGGCGAGCTAGTGACACCGAGGTTGCCATCACTAGGGGATTCGGGATTCTGGCGACCAAGTAATCTCCTCATTATCTTGTGTTGGTTATACATTAGGTAGGTATTATTACCGACGGCAGTACTTGGCCGCTAGAGATATGCAAGTCAGTAGCGTCATGATTCTCTTGGTGAGAAGTCAGTGGCGAATCTGATCAGCCCATAAGCAATTTAGGTATATCGGTATTTTGGATGGACTCTATTGCGACAAATTATCGATCGTGGTTTTGTGTTTCTAAGTTGAAGTTTTGACTGTGTAACCAGTACAAGCCGAAGTCATCGTTAAATTGACGTAAGCATCCAAGTGGATGTACTTGACTCGACTCGAGGGAATGCACGCAACGCAACGCAACGCGCTGTACCTTCTAGGCGCATTCGTTCGCGGTGCATCAATTGTGCATGCATAGGTACAATACGCAGGTGACCAATAGTAGTACATAGTGTTAGGTAAGTACCTAATTTATGCAAGGGTCTGCCGATTATTACCCGATTATTTCCCTACCCCATTCCGGTCCGTTTTACCGATTGTCAAATGTGAATCTCCCATCTGCAACCCAACAAACAAGAAATACCACCGCCGATATCTTCGCATTATAAAACCCAGCTAAAGGACTAGTCATCCGGATCTAAATATGTATACAGAGTTATTAAGACAACAGCCTAGATTACATCAATCTATTATCTCATGTCTGTTCAATTGTTGGTTAAGCTAAGTTTGCCAGGCTATACGAGACTCGTGAATATAACCTCAATTTACTTAAGCCGAGTATACCCTTCGAATATTTCTAATCCCGTATGGCATAGCGGATACCTGGCTAGGTAAGTAGTTCTCGGGGTCCAGCCTATACTTATGCCGACAGCGGAATGCCAAGGGTTGCAAGAGATCGGCTTAGATGCACCGAACGAGCGCAACAAATGGCCCCGCGCTCCTCGCCTGACCTAGTATATTATTTAGGCGCTACCAGAATCATTCAACTCACAAGTATACTAGAATTGGTGTAGAGGATAAATACCTACATGTAGGTTATATTATAACATTATATTTACCATGTCATTCCCCAAAGTTCCTCCTAGCGGCATCTGGGCGCCGGCCGTGACTTTCTTCGACCCCGAAACCGACAATCTAGACACGGAGTCTCAAGCAACATACTATTCATACCTTTCTAAGACTGGTCTCGCTGGTCTAGTCATCTTAGGAACCAATGCCGAGACTTTTCTTCTCACCCGTGAGGAACGAAAGACGCTGCTCCAGACGGCCCGTAAGGCATGCGGACCGGCTTACCCCATCATGGCGGGCTGCGGTGGACATTCTACACGCCAAGTGTTGGAATTCATCACCGACGCGGCAGAAGCCGGGGCTAACTACGTACTTGTCTTACCCCCGGCATACTTCGGCAAGGCGACCACCCCGGCCGTAATCGACAATTTCTACGCCGAAATCGCTACCAAGAGCCCTCTCCCCATAGTAGTGTACAACTTCCCGGGGGTCTGCAACGGCGTGGATTTAGACTCGGCTACTATCGCGAAGCTCGCGAACACCCACAGCAACATTGTCGGTGTGAAGCTAACCTGCGGCTCTGTAGCCAAGATCACACGTCTTGCTGCCGAATTATCGTCGGAGCGTTTTGCAACTTTCGGAGGACAGTCAGATTTCCTAATCGGAGGTCTCAGCGTCGGCTCCGCGGGATGCATCGCCGCGTTCGGCAATGTTTTTCCGAAAGCTATTGTGCAGATCTACAAGCTGTTCAAGGAAGGAAAGTATCAGGAGGCGCTAGCCTTACACCAGAAGGCAGCATTGGCAGAGCAGCCCTGTAAAGCTGGCATTGCTGCGACGAAATATGCCGCGGCGATTCATACGGCAAAGGCGGCGGGTATCGAGGGCGCGGTGGAGAAGTTGAAGCCGAGACGGCCTTACATAGAGCCTACTGATGCGGCTAAGAAGAATATCAAAGCTCAGATGGCGGAGTTGGCAGCGATAGAGAGTACACTATAGTATCAACCAGGGTAGCGCGCCTTGTTCTCTACGTAAAGATAGAAGATATAAGTGCCCGAGGTATCAATGCGAGAAATGATAGAAATATTAAGACTACCAGCTATGTAGGATAATCCCAGCCCAGGATCATTACTTCTCGGTAGAAGAACCGAAGTTCGGATAATCGTTTACCAAGGCTAAAATAGGCATGAAACACTTGTTCTGCGCCCATTCCGGAGTAACCTCATCATCATGATGCTCAGACCACTGGAGTACCTGGTCCCAACTAATCCAGTCCCAATTCTCGCACTTCTCTGGTTCCAGGAGCTACCACGATACTGTCAGCTTCTAGCATTGAACCAGATTAAGTACAGGAGTAATAAGTCGATAACAAACAGAAGATAAAGCAGGACTGCAATTCAGTTACTCACCTCCGGTTGGTCATCCTCGTTCTCCCTCCGACACTCCACAAACACCGTGACATAGTGCTTAGTCTCCGGGTCGAACACCGAGTTCGTCGTAGCCGCGACACGCAGGGCTTTAACCCGAAGCCCTGTCTCTTCCAGGGTCTCGCGCTCCGCGCACGCCAGCAGCGACTCCCCCATTTCCAAGTGCCCGCCGGGGAACTGCCAGGTACCTATTTTGTATTATGAGTTACTTGCATTCTTAACCCTGTGTTATTTCGCGTAGTTATGTGCTGAGGTAGGTGCGTGTAAGCAAGGCCGGGGGACGGTCGTGGGACGGCCGTATATGTACGTACCTGCGCCGTGGCTGCCCTTCCGCTTCCCCATAATAAATCGGCCCTGCGAATCGCGGATCAGGGCCGCTATGCCGACGCGAGGGTGGTAAGGGGGTGATGTCGTAGCCATGGTGAGTACCTAGGGTATGTTATACTTATTGAAGTGGATTTTTACTTTGCTCTTGCGTGATTTTCGGGGTCCTTGGTTTCGGATTGGATATTGTGTTTCCTATGAAAGCGGACCCGGTGATGGGTGATGCAGGCTGTTGGTGACGGTTATCGGCGGACAGTGTGTATGAACAGTGTGTATAATTTGGCTTACGGTATGTCCCCCTTTTATAGAATAGGGGCTACCAAAGGCTTAGTCGCTAGGTTAGAGGGTTGTTTAGAGTGCTTGTTTACGATGATATAAGCCATTCAGCTACACGATGTAGCTTACAGTACCTAGATTATATATAAATTATTTATAACAATTATGAAAACTTCACTCAATAAGTTCATAGTTACCTAGGTATTATATGATATGAGAGTAAAAGCTGATTTATTTGGGTGAAAGTCCAGTACCAACTAGTTATTGCGAATATGACCTAGCAAATCATACCGTAGCTATATTCCCTAGATCCCTTCCTCCCACAACCACAACCACAACCCCAACCCCAAAGATATCATCAAGTATGAACCAGCGCCCAATTCACAAACTTCCCACGCGTAGTGCCGCTCGCACCGCACTCAAACGCACCCGCACCACCAACCCTAGCATCATCAGCAGCAGCAGTCCCATTCACCACCCTCGGGACACCCGCAGTACTATTCCCACAGTCATCAACATCCGCACGCATAGTCCCATTGCCGTTGCCGTTGCCGTTGCCACCCCTGGAAAACCGCCGGATCGACTCCTGCACAGCAAATACCACGTCCCCAATCCCGATAAACGTGCTCGCCACCACTGCCGTGTCCACCGTCACGCTGAACGCGCACTTCCCGGACGCCGCGATCAAGTTGGTCGTCGTCGTCGTCGTCGTCGTCGTGTTGCCGTGCGCCGCGGTGTTGTTGTTGTTGTTGTTGTTGTTGGGCGCGAGCCCGAACGTCACACACGTCTGGTTGTCGTTGTCGCGCAGGATCTGGTCGATCAGCGCGGCGCAGTGGGCGGTAGGCGGGGACGCGGAGGACGTGGTGTCGACGAAGGTGGTGCCGTTCTGCTTGCAGTGAGATTTGAGGCTGGCGTCGCGCGTGGGAAAGTGGGCGCCTGGCAGGGTGTAGTTGTGGACTGCTCGTTTGTCGCTGGCCAGGGCGTTGCTGTATCCCCCGGCGCGCGCCTTGCGGGTTGCGGCTTGGATCTTTTCGGCGATGGCGATGGCGCGGGGGAGAGCGAGAGGGTCGATGGGGTTGCTGGAGAGCGGGTCTCGGGGGTACATGGTTGTTGAGTTTGGCGGCATGACGGGTGTTGCGCTGGCTATTTGCCAGAGGCAGAGGGATAAGATGGCAGTGATGGACTTCATGATTGGAATTGTAAGGAGTTTTTGTTGCAAGAATTGGTTTGGTTGTCGGGATGGGTTGAAGATTAGGGGTGTCTCTTCAGGGTAGTTTATATAAGTCTTGATCGTGGTCCGGAACGTACAATACATTGTTCGGACTAGCTCTGTTGACACTTGTGCAGTGACGCAAGCTGTAACAATGACTCCCCTTTGTATGTCATATAATGAGCATTCACTACTTCTTGTGCGTCCTTTTGGTGACCGTGATTGGCAGATAAGTGAGTTGCGGTCAATGCCTTGTCAGGGCCTATATCATTACTTAGGACATTAGACGATACTTTCTAGATCGTTCCTTGACTTGATGATAATAATTACAACTAGATATTTTAGGGGCGACGAAATTCACTCAACCTAGAGATATCAATGAGTGAATATATAATCAGTATTTAGATAATTATTCCGAGTCTGAAACATAGGGTCATGGCCATACCGTATCAACATGCCCAGGCTCCTTGACTCTGGGTTCATAATTTCGTCTCTCTCACTTCTTTTTCCGCCTGTCGTTCTTCTTCCAGCACCTCCTCTCTACTCCTTATCTCGACCTCCTTAGCTACCCCCTTCGCAAATCTAGTCAACACAACCCTCTCCCAGTCACCTCCCCTATAACTGTCCCTAAGCTCCGGGCCAGGCTTATCGAGTCCTAGTATTGACTTTCTATCACTTTTCCGTAGACCCAATGTTGTAGGGCTGATCACTTTATCCGCCCAAGAAATCTGAGCTGTGGGGTGTTTCGCAGCTTTAGGGTTTCTCGTGGTCGGCACCGTCGTGAGGAAGCTTCTCAACTTTTCTCTTTGAGCGTGGTAATGCTCCACTAAGTCAGATGCACTTGGCGAACCAGAAGGTGGTCCGACTAAGAACTGGGAGATGATATGTAGTAGAAAGCATTGAGGCGGAAAGAGTACGATCTCGCCCGTTTGTTGCTTCTTTAGCCATGTGCTAGCATCATCGAAACGTGCCGCAGTGATCTCAACACCTCCGTCAGGTGTGGGTATTATAGCCTCAGACCGTGCCGCGGATACAGCGGGGTCGTCGCTGGTTGAGAGTGGAAGCATGTAAAGATACATCTGCGTAGTGAATCGCCGAGGTTGTCCACGGGGAGTTATCCATCTAGTAAAAGGCAAAAGATTATCTGACGATAAGTTTAGTATTACGAATTAATCTAGAGCGTGAATGCATGGTGCATGTTATCACCTACTAGTATCTGCAAGCCCGCCCGCACTCTCAACCCACTCAACGAAGCGGACTTTGTTCTCGTAAATCTCTTTACGCGCACTGTCGCGCTGAGCAACCGGGACGTCTAAGGGCTTCCCATCTTTACCCTCTTCACGGGCGAGTAAGATTCCACTCTCCTCAAAGGTCTCACGGATCGCGCCTAGCCGGTATGTGAGCGAATCCTCATGTCGCTTGGGATCACTTGGGCCTGGTACAGTTCCGTCATGGAACTCGGAGATATTCCCACCCGGGAATACATGAGCCGAAGGGAATGCCGAGGATGACTTCACTCTGTGTAGTAACAGGACCTGATTTTCCGGAGATAGAAGAATGACGCTTGCGCTCGGCCGCGCTTCTGCTAATGTCTTCTCTTTTGGCGGCGTTGATGATGAGTTGTTCCTCTTCGGCATTATGGAAACATTTACATATAGCGTTTGCCCCTTATTCAATTCTCTATAATTGCACCGAGCTCCCCCAAGTTTCCCCGCTGTTCGTTTTAATATGCCACCTATAATTTGGATTGAATAATATGAGATGAGTCGGCGGGTCCCGACTTCTGGGTAGAAAAGTGTAGGTAAAACAAAGTACGTTTCGCGTGTTGGATTTATCTTCTTTAATGATCGGAACGAATATGATGATAAGAATAACATTTCGTTATTATTCAAGATTATGTATAAGTTGGCGTGAGTGGGAGTGACATCAATCCTTGTTAACCATGTAACCTAGAGCGTGTAATGCCGAGGTCCAATGAGATACTACACGTCGTTAATCCGTACATGAGACCTGGATATTCCCCGCCAAGACTATGCATCTTCCTCTTTTATACTTAACCTCTATAATTCAATGCTGAGAGTCTCATAAGACTTGCCAATATTTTTAACCATATCCGGGGTATCCAAGTCTTCATACAAAAAAGACATGCCAGAATCGCAACCTGAAGACAACCGTCCAGCATGGGCACGCATCTCATTTCCATCAGGTTGGAACAGCGAGCGGTTTTTAAATCTCACCGTTCAAGATTTTGGCCAAGTCTCAGAAGATGTCCGGTAAATCGTCCCACTATTCCTGACATGTTCGCTAATTCCATGAGAAGGAACAAAAACATTTAAAAGACAGTATTCGAAAATTTCCCTTCTCGCAAGAATACTCCAAGTTGAGTGATCTTAATAAAGCTCTCCGAGAAGCCAATAAACGGCCTCCTACGCCCCCGTCATACGTGCCAACCGGATGGACTGTGAACCAAGCACGAGGTCTTAGTTTGGACCTCGTTACGAAATTATCGGATGATGTTCGTCTTGTTTCTAGAATAAACCTCTAAATAGTTATATCTTAAAGGATATTTCATACTAAGCCAGGCACTTCTCTAATTAGGAGCAACGATTATGGGCTGCAGGAAAGACGGCCGACAGCGCCCGGAAAGCACACCAACAGGGCCAACTACCTGCTAAACCTCCGTCGTATATACCTACAGGTTGGTCCGTCGAACAGGCAATATTTCCTACCTTCGAGATATTGTCGCAGCTCTCGCACCAGGTTTGTTCATACTACGCTAGGTAGTTTGTCAGTCCGTCCTGCTTACATGATTGTCCAGGACCTCACAACATACATGGAAGCTCGAAACCAGGCGAATATGGCATTATCGCCTAATATAGCATCCCCTCCAGAAACACACACAGTTCCATCGCCACTAGTTAAAATCCACCAACGAGCGGGCTTTCCCTCATGGGGTTTTGTTATCGTACGGACTTACTACGCTTCTGAGAGCCGCTGGGAGGAATTCCAGGAGAGACTCGGTGCAATCTGCGATAAACAACTTGATGAGGAGACGGGCGAAGATCTTGAGAAGATTAAAGAAGCTCTCGAATTCAAGACGATCGAAGACCCGCGGCTTGAAGGTGTGAGTGCTGAAGAAGCCAGAAAGTAAGTATTTCGATATGAGCCCTTGCTTAACCCTACTAAAACCAGACTTAGGCATTTTCACATAGCTAAATCGATGGGGGGTGTCGCTGCGGGGTTTGAGCTTAGTGTCCTGCTCGTGGTTGACGCAAGGGCTGTGGACTCGGTATTAAGAGATGAAACCGAAGACCATCAGACCTCCTATGTTACGGTAGTTGACGTCACCGAGTTCAGTCAAGAGGGAGGCTACCAAGGACACTTCAAGGTCTCCCTGGACGCCTTGCTTTGCGAGTTTTACCCCAAACTTTCTATGGGACTCAGCCCAAGAGATCTTTGGTCTATGATGGACAAGGGGGATGAGATCTGGATAGGAGATGATGAGTGAAGATATATTTCTCTGGGGGGTAAAATGCCAAGGCTCATATTCCGAGCCTTATCAAGGATGCTCGTTGGTGGAAATGGGCTGAGAAGAATATAAATCGAAACAAATGATATTCTGTTTAATAATACGTGCAGTTGTGCCTAATAAATAGGGGTATATTATGTGGATAGAGATTTAACCAGGCGTTTTAGTGCTTAATCGCATTCTACGCAAGTACGTAACGAATAACTCCGCCTTCAACTAATATGGAATATGGGATTAGTCCAATGTCGATGAATGGCTTATTAACCAGCTTTGCAAGACCGCGGGACAGCGAGGACGACAAGGAGACCCAGCAACAGAGCCATTCCACACATATTTATGGCCATCGTCCTCGAGTAGGATATGATCTGTATCAGTTCTTCCCTCTCGAGATCAAGAAAGTCTCGCGCCACACAGTAGTCCCGTGTTTCGCTCTAGGAAGACCTGAAGAAAGATGGAATTTCGGATGGATATGTGCAGACAGCCGAATTTGTAAGCAGTGAAAATGTCCCTGCATCGACTGATTCGATTAATATGGCACTGATCAACGGATCAGCGGTCAACAAGATGTAACGATAGAAGACGATTGGTTCAAGTCTTGGCATGTATATATTACATTCAGATCATTTATCTCCAGTGTATTCTATTATTAAATTATGTGCCTCTTAGCCCCGTTTCTATAGTTCCAGCAAAGAATGTAGGCCAGTAGTGTGTGGGCGCCGCAATGACAGCTAGCTAAGCAGCTTCCTCTGCTAAAGAACTATTTGGTCCCTAATACCTACCTTTACGAAAGTAGGTAGCCAAGCAGATCAGATAGACTTGAACAAACCCGCAATCAGGGCTTCTCCCGCCCAAGACCAACCTTATACGCCTTCAACGCGCGATCGCGACTCTGCCGGTGATCCACAATCGGCTCCGGATACCCCGCCTCCCTAGCCTCCGCCGCAGCGCCCCTATTATACGGATCATGTATAGCCTTGCCCTTGACCCCCCTAAGCTCCGGCACCCACTTCCGGATATACGTGCCGTCGGGGTCAAACTTCTCGCTCTGCAGCAGCGGGTTGAAAATGCGGAAATACGGCTGCGGGTCGACGCCGACGGAGGCGCTGAACCCCCACCCGCCGTTGTTCGACGCGAAGTCCCCGTCGATCAGCTTCTCCATGAAGAACCTCTCGCCCATGCGCCAGTCTAGCAGTAGGTCTTTGCATAGGAACGAGGCGACGATCATGCGGCATCGGTTGTGCATCCAGCCTATGCCTTGGATTTGTCGCATTGCGGCGTCGACGATCGGGAACCCGGTCCGCCCCGTGCACCAGGCTTCGAAGTGTGCTGAGTTGTAGGACCATTCGATGTTGGAGTATTCGGGTTTGAACGGCTTGTTCATGCTGTGGTCTCATGTTCAGCCCAGTATTCTTATCTACCAATAGGTCAACTCACCAGATATAAGGCCAAT